TTTGGCTGGTCTTTACTACCTCACGAGCGCAAATGAATATCTGGGGCCATTGGATCACAGCTTTAGCATCCAGACAGCTGGACCGGGGGATTATCCTTAGAGACGCCTAAAGATGGGGTTGTCCGCTCCATGGTCTAACGCGCCTCTAGTGGCCTCCAGCCGGGCCTGGTAGAGCCCCTAGCACCTGAAGCTCGCACTGACGCCGGCTGACTCCGCTAATAGCGGGGATGGTATCCCCTAAGTGCCATGGATAATTCATTCAGAGTCTGGACAACTTGTTCAACTGAAACTGTCGACGACTCCTTTCAGTCTCTATCCTGGGTCGGACATGTCAATAACACATTGCTAGGTTCATTTCACCGAAATATGAGTCTTGAAGTCACTGTGTTTGATTTCAGGAGCTTCCTGTACCTATCCTGCTCACAAAGACGGTCAAAGTTCAAATACAAGGGTACCACCACCCCCCTAGCTTGAGATTGGACATGGTCCATGATTCAAGGAGTCGATCTTTCTGAACGTGGCGTTGAGGGATGGAAAGGGCGTCATCTGGAGTAAATAGAGTGAAACTTGATTAGCAAACCAGGCGATGGATCATTGTTCACATTTCCCTTGCTGTGAGACAGTCTTGCTTTGTGATGGAAACAGTCGAGGTCTTGAAATTGGGCTGGCCGATATACGAACAATTATAATTTTACGGATACTAACAGTGGAAATAGCTTGCCCAGCCTTTGGCTAACTTGGTTGATGCCGGTACCCCAATATTAGGTTGAGACGAACTCATTCAGTAGAGGACAGGTCTTTGCTACGTTTCAATATCTGTACCATTCTCAACACCCAGGCACTACTGTTGTCAAACAATGTCAAAACAGACTCCTCCCCTAAACAAAAAACCCAAGACCGACTACCGAGAGTACTCGTCTTCATCCTTTACGTGTCCAGTGTTACACTTCAAAGCGTCCTAAACGAACGAGGCCCCTGTGATTACCCAATGTGGTGATGCTTAACCGTATCCGCCTGCGCTAGGGGCAACGAACCTGGGACCCCTTGCTTCAAGCCATGGATACACAAACGAATCCTTGCGGCTTAAACATACTGAAGAACAAGAAAGGGAGCCATGAGTTGAAATTCTTTCTTTGTCTATACGTAGTCAGAAGATAGGTAGTTGCGGGTTATGTGAGACCGATATTGTACATGGCGAAGAGAGAAGTGAAGTTTTCAAAATTCACTAGGAGTATACTAGTTTAGCTATCATAATATCAGTTGTTCAGTCAAATACATAGTAATATGAGGGAACTGGGGGGACTCGATGTTTCTCTTCTTATGTTGGTCTTTGCACGGTTCATTAAACCAGAAAACTAGCAGGCCAAAACTCACGTCATTGAGGGGCAATTCATAGTCTCACTGACAAAAATTGATGAGTTGGAGCTTAAGTGATCTCATCTACATTCCACCGATTCTTCTCCTGGGATCTATCTACATGGCTAGAAGTGTCATATCAAATACCGTGAAGATCCATTCAGCTTCAAGTTTCTGTATTTCCATCAAAAACTAAGATAGTTTGCAAGGCATCCATAGGTCACCAGTCACTTCATTTCACGATGGCTGTCTTCTCAAGTAGTGAGAATGAATTGCTTCTTCGCTCTGCCAGAAATGTTCAATGCCTTGATGAAAGTGAAATTACTCACGACGAAAATTCAACCAACCTCCAGTAAAAAGCCTCAGTAATTCCATAATTGGTTATATTCTGTTTTAACGGTGCCTGGGTCATTCAGCATTTCAGATTCCAAGATTACCTTGCTTACCTAAGGTATATTGTTATTCGATATATTGGCCGATTTCCAATACTGTTTGTTAGTAGCTGATGCCATCCGTACTAATGCAGTAATGTCATGGCACGTATTGTGTTCAATACGACCTCGAGCTTGAAAAGCCAGGTCACGTAAAGCAACAGAGTTCAGGTTTTGTTCACTCTTTGGGAGTCAATGTGCTTGGTCGTTCGGACTGGCTTCGGGCGCTTCCAAGTCAAGATCGGTCCGCTTACCTCGAACGGGGCCTAAGTACATAAGCTACCTTACACAAATAGCAACGGCCCGGCCCTCAGGTCGGCAATGAATCACAACTATCGGTGGTCTAGATTCGAGCCACCAGCAATGCAATGCAACCCTTCAGTCAGGATACTCCATCGCGCCTCGTGGTCTCTAACTGTTTCAAATCGACTGCCTCAGAAGTCAACCTCAGAATTTCGAGGCATCCCCAGCGGCGGCCATCACTCTGCACCATCCATTAAGCAACTACCATGAAGTTTACTACTCCTTATGAAGAAGAGAGTGCGCTGTTGGTTGCGTCTGGTACCTAGAAAAAGGTTCCCATTTCTGTTTAGCCGGGCATTCTCAAGGACGCAGATACATCTCAGGAAACTGTCGAAGTCACCAATGTTTCACAAAACTGGCCCATACCTATTAATTCTTTCGATGGATCCCGTCATGTTCATCAGTGTAGGGTACTTAGAGTACCCAACCCAAAGAAGTCATGCTGTGGCTTGCAAGCATATGTGGCGCATGCCGGGACTTTATTCTAGCGGACCGAGCTGAATCCACTTCCTCTCGAAAATTAGGCAGCTAACCCATCTTCGACTAGCCCGTGGTTCAATAGTCGACAATAATAGCCCAGCTGGTCGTACAATAGGAACTACCTACTCCGTACTTGATGTTTTGATCTAATGGATCGACACCCAGCCTCTTCTAAAGGGCTACCTTAACACGATTTATTGACTGCTGCATATAAACTTCACGCGACTTCGGCAACCGACATCTTCTTCTTGCTCTTTTATTTCTCCTGCGAATTTTAAGGAACAACTTTTGTGCCGTCCAGAACCAACATTATTACTCTTCTGATTCGAAATCTTTCAACTTCCAGATGCGATTCGAATAAAGGACCTGGGAGCCCTTTGTATACGACATGACATTCTCGTCGCCCGCGAGGCGCAACCAGTTGCTTTCCAGCCCGGATCGCAATATAGCAGCAACTTTCCTTCTCGACTCGCGAAACAATGAACTGAACCATAGGGATGCCCTGGCTGCTGCACAACTGGAGCATGACCGCGTACGGCAAGCAGCTATACGGGTTTATGAGCTTCATGAGCTACAAGAGGAGCACAAGCGCATAGTTGCCGAGGAGCGCAGAGAGGAGGAGAGGCTCAAGGCGGAAGCTGCAGTAGTCGCGGAAGAAAAAAGACTACGGGAACTCAAGGCGAGGACGGTCCCTCGTTTACCCCCAGAGCAGCCTGCACCGAAACCACCTCCAGCCAAACCGGAACCTACGAAGACGAACGGAGCAACTCAAATCAAAGACGCAGCACCGGGCTTAGATGCAAAGAAACCTGTTGTCTCTCCTGCGTCAGTCCCGGCATCAGATTCCGCTACGACAGCAAGTTTTACTCAAACGAAACCGAGCAACCCATTCGGCACCACCCAATCTGCTTCTCAAAGCCTATTACAGAAGCCATTACAGAAGCCAAACGGGGCTGGAACACAATCTACTGCCCCAGCTGCTACAAGCATTGCTCAACCTGCAGTCAAGTCCGCAACAAACACAGTACAGCCTGTGCAGTCTAAATCTGCAACCAGCATCGACCGCTATTCCCAGATTCATCAAGAGCTCAAGAAATTACGAAAAGAGTTGCAAGCTCAATCCAAGGTCGCCGGGTCGCCTCTTAAGGGCAAGCTCGGTGCTGCTCGACGAGAGATTCGAGTTGCCATTGGTCAATTGACCGGTGGAAAGGGTGCAAACGCTCAACCTGTAGGTCATAGGCCTCGATTTTGAGACCATTGCTGACACTTTCCAGATCAACAAAATCACGGCAGCACTGAAAGAGGCTTTGGAAGGCCGGATACCAAGTCCCCCGATTGATGTGAATCTGTTTGTGGTTGATAAAAGAGAGCCCGCGGAAGGCTCTCCAAACAACGAGGCTACTCTGCCCTCCCTCTTCATATATCTCATAAACATCTGCGCCAAGGGTATTGTCAGCCAGTTCATTAACGAGGGTGGCGCAAATCCCAAGTCAGCAGACCCAGTTGGTGTTTTTGCAGCTCATATCTTCTCCACCAAGGAATTCCAATGGCGAGGCCAGTCTTTGGTCGATATTCTCATGGCCAAATATCGGATAGTGTGCCCAGTGCTATTCGGCCATAGAGGCAGTGACAAAACTGAACGCGGCCGTATGGCAATCGGCTGGAAGAAAGACGGGCCATCATGGATTACCGAGCAAAGCCATAACGATAGGATGACTGGCCTAGGCGCCGGCTTTGCTTCTCTATCTTTGAGAGATTTCGGCAAATCCTCCAAAAAGAATCCCTACCCACCCACAAATTACTGGAGGGCGCTCGCTTACATTGTCAACTCACCGCCAAATGAGACGTCAAACACTCAATATGTGGTGTTGCGATCCATGATTCAGGGACATGAGCAGCGTTTTCTCAATTTCTACGGCAATGCAGCTTTGGCGGCACTACGACTTGCTCTCGTTGAGTTTCCCAAGAAGGCACCGCAAAATGCGACTGCTGCTGGCTCCTTGGCGGCTCTGGCAGATGTGCTCAAGACTGAATCCGGTTTGATCTTGACCTAAGAAGTGGAAGACGCCCTGCTGTATGATCAACCGAATACCAACTCAAAGAGACTCTCGGCCGGAATGTTGAAAATTTACGACACTGAAGGCCACTCTACTGCAAGATGATACATTCTAGGCATCGTTCTTGGCGGTGTGTTAAATGTTTGATATACTTGTTGAATTATAAGGTGCCATTGGGGTACAGAATGGCCGCTGCTGCTCTATTCTTGTTTGTAGTATACAGGTTTAAGACAAAAAGAAAGAAATACCCGAATCCTATATTGGTAGTCATTAAAGTGATCCCAGCCTAAACTCCAAATTCCCAGATATTATAGCGTCATAAATGCTCTTTACAACAGAGCTATGCATTTGTCTTTCGGTCTGGAGGCAAGCATCACAGGATTAGGAGGAGAACCAATAGGAGGATGAGGACGAATATCAGAACCGCTATACAGCAACTGCTGTATCGGTCCTCGTTCTGCCGCATCACATACTGAAGTTTCTGAACGCCTGTTGCCAACCGGCCACCAACGCGATCAGCCACAGTATCTACCTCCTCCAACATCTCACGCTGCTCCTCGAGCTCTCTGCCCATATCATCCGCCTGGCGACGTAAGTTACCCACTGTTTGAAACACGCCGTCTAGGTGCTGATCCTGCTCGTGCATCATTTCCATCTGCTGCTGTTGCTCGAACTCGGCGTAGTTATCCTCGGCATCACCATCAATGGCAAACGCATTCGGGTCAGGTAAATCGCCCGCGTCCACTTTTTTCGCGAGCTCATCGTGCATATCATCGATCTCGCCGCCAACCTCTTGCACGAGTCGTTTCCGTCGCGTGACTTCATGTGGTGATAGCCCAAATTGCGAGGGTTCGGATTCAACAGCTCGAACCGATGCAACCAGATCTGCTAAGTCGTCGGCAAGGGAAGACAAGGCGGACTCGAGATCGGAGCGAGCTGATGCGAGTTCAGGAGAATTGGCATCCGTGGAAAGCGAGCGGATCCGGAGATATGATGCAAATAGAGGCCGGGCATTCGCCATCTGGTTGAGAACATCTCTACGCAGTTCTTGTTAATGACAACAACGAAGCACCGGAGAGACGAAGACGTACTGTTGGACCTGGAGGAAAGGATCCTCGTCGTTGGTAGAGGACATCATCCTGACAGCGTCGAAGTGACCATACGCAGTAAACACAATGCGCGATGGTTCTGCGCGACTTGGTGGAAAAGGGAGTGGATTAGTGAGTATTAGGCCAGGTGTTTCACGGTATTCGGGAGGCTGCGACAACGAAGGTTCCGAGGGATGACGTTGCATGGACCCTGCAGGTGAGCTTAACCCGGAAGTCCTCGGTGAGAGGCCAGCGGTACGTATCTTCTTGGTTCACCGAGGACTCACCTACAAATTCGATCCGCACACTGAATTAAGAACGATGGTTGCGTTTGAGAACTCCGCAAAGCTGCTTCCGAATTCATGTTTTGAAAGCACTAAGTTGTCTCATTACCTCCTTGTTCGTATCAGAAAGGCTCAAGTTCGGTCAAATTCAGATATTTCCTCGAGTCTGTTGACAATTTCGTCATATCCATACACAACAGCACTTTTAGTCTTGGGTTGACGGGATTTGCTACCATTGTCCAGTAGCCAGCTTTTCAGTGCCAATATTCATATAAAGGCAACATTCGGATAGCAGCGGCAGATATATTGAACTTTGTACGTGTTGAACACTCTTTTATCTCGCAGGCCATCGCACTGATAACTCTACAGGGTAGCCCACACAAACGTTGAATATGATACCAGAAAAACCCCTGCCATTCAATGGCAACTTCTCATCGCCAGAGGAATATATCGATGAGCTTCTGAAATTTGTGAGAACATCTGAGACTTTTCAGATTCTCTGCGGCGGCGTCCATATCCTCGACTTTTTCACTATCGAACCTGGCCTCTTTCACTATGCCATTCCCACAGAGTGGCACGCATTCATTCTCTCAAGAAGTCTCATGGAGTTTCTTGACCTTCTCATGCGGGATGATTTAGACAATCTAAAGCTGGAAGGAGAGCAGCCGCCAGCGAGCCTTATAGATTACATTCGAACAGTCCGTAATCTTTCTCTCGGCCGATCATTTACGCCCCCTTCAGAGAAACTGCCGGTTCTGCCACGGTCGGTGGCTGTGGGCATGAACGTCAAAAAGACTCATGAAGTCACCAACTTCGCGGACTACTTAGCTCGACTATCAGAAGACATAAGTTCGCAGTGCGGCTACGAGATATCCCACTACGTGGACTTCGGTAGCGGCCAAAACTATCTGGGCCGGGCCATGGCAAGTGAGCCTTATAATAGGCATGTTGTAGCTGTCGAGGGACGAGAGAACAACGTCACGGCAGCGAGAGGTCTAGATGTGACTTCTGGATTAGCCGTTAAGCCAAAGGTCATGAGGAATAAGAAGCTATGGACGAAGATTTTAGAAGCGCGGGGGCCTGATGGTCAAGAGGACCCAGAAGCCTTGGCCAAGGCTATTCGCGAGGTTGCAGGAGATGAAGCTTTCGAGTTTAGACCCTTCAAAGAACTCGAAGCTGAATATACTGTGGAAAAAGGTAAGGGGTCTGTTCAGTACATATCAGGTCGACTAGAAACTGGCGACCTGGCCGACGTTATCGCCCAAATCAACCCTGGGAGTCAAACCGAAGACGAGAAGAAGGACCTAAGCCTGATGGCTATGTCAATCCATTCTTGCGGAAATCTGTCACACTTTGGAATTAGGTCTCTGGTTCTCAACCCGGACATTCGAGCTGTGGCCATCGTTGGGTGTTGTTACAACCTGATGACCGAGAAACTCGGCCCTCCAACATACAAGCACGCCTTCTTGAGGCCAACTCTCCAAGCTGTCAATGGTCGGCTCGTTCGGGAATCAGAAAAGCATGACCCTCAGGGATTCCCGATGAGCCAGAAGTTTTCTGCGTATCAGGGAGATGGGGTGCGATTGAACATCACAGCCCGCATGATGGCTTGCCAAGCACCGCAGAACTGGACCGAGAAGGAGAGTGCTGGCTTCTTCTCTCGACATTTCTACCGAGCAGTCTTGCAAAAGATGTTCCTTGATCGAGGCGTGGTGAAGAAAGTGCGGCATACAGGTAGCCAAGAAGAATCACAGGCGGATACTGCAGCCTCAACCCAGGATGATAGTGAGAGCCCCTTCGACATCAGCACCAATCCAGTCATCATTGGATCACTCAGGAAAAGTTGCTACGGGTCGTTCAAGTCCTATGTCCGCGGTGCGGTGGAGAAACTCACGACAAACAACGAGTACAAACAGTATGCAGACGTGATACAGGAGAAGATGGGCGACATCTCAGACGAGGAGATCCAGAGGTACGAGGCATTGTATCTGCCTCGGAAAAAGGAGCTATGTGCCGTCTGGAGCCTCATGGCATTCAGTGCGATGGCAGTCGAGTCCCTTATTGTATCAGACCGGTGGACATTTCTGAAAGAACACGACGATCTCGTCCGTCACGCGTGGGTCGAGACAGTGTTTGACTATGAACAAAGCCCAAGAAACCTGGTTGTCGTTGGAGTTAAGCGATGATTAAACTTTTGGCTAGGTCGTAATCGGAATGAACTGAATTGTCTGAAATGACGATACCCGATCCTAGCCGCATCCCTGGACGAGGTCCTCTTTACTACGTACATACAGGTATGTCCTCGATGGGGACTCGAGGAAAAGATGCAATCAGCTCCTTGTTGCTAGGTAATGAAAAGAATATGTTTGTGTAAGAGGAACTGGGTTTGGTAAGTCGTCAGTTGTGGTTATTGGTGGTGCTAGGCAATATCGGGACGTGGCTGGCTCTCCGAAATGGGCGATGTCATGCATGAACCCCCCTCCGCTTTCTCTCGACACTTCAGGAGTGACATTCTCAAGCGGATGACAGGACTGGAAGTTCTTAGGTCGATCAGCGGCACAGAATAATAGGAAATATATTTACCCGAACGCGGTGTTTTCAGGTATTCGATCATATACATATATTCGCCCAGATGGTAGCAGGGTAGGTAGTTCCGGCTCGCAACCAAAGATACTACCACAAACAGTAGTTATCAGACGTGCCTCTCTTGAATCGTATTACGATATGATGAGGTGTAAGCCTCTACTCCGTACCCCGGAACCCTTTATCTTGTAGCCCACTTGGCGTTCCGTCCCACAAACAACAAGACAGCTGCCCCTCTTTGCTGATAGGCATTAATGAAGCAGCATCCATTTTCGACGGCGTGCTGTCTGTATGTAGGCCTAGCTGCGCTACCGACTCCGTTTGACCATGGGCCGCTCCGGTATGGCACATTGGTCGGCATCTGGTGTCGCATACAACTTGTCAACTTCGTCATGGTGCCCTCTAGTCGGAAGTTGACAGCGTGACATGGACTGCGTCACTCGTAATGCAAGGCAAATATCTAGGCAGGACGATGCAATGCAAAGCAAAGCAAAGGAGGTCACGCAGTGAATCACGAGTCCAGTCAATGGTGCCATTTCTGAGCCACTGACAAGCGTGATAGAGAAGTCAAGTTTATTAGACAGGGTTCCCTAAAAAAAAAAAAAAGAGCTTTGGACAATGTTGCGCCCGCTGCACGGCCAGCTTTCGTGGGGTAATCACATCGCCCTCCATGGACAGTTGCACATTGATAATGGAATGAGATTTCTGAGATGCTGTGTTGTGGTGTAGTGTCAGAATATACCGAGGTGAGATAGATCAAATACAGCCGTATTTAGACGCGTGCAGCGGATGAGAGTCATGCAATGTGACGGCGACGGACCTGCTTAGAGACATGATAGGCAGCGATCCATTATGCCATCTTGATAATATTGAGGTTCCCCAACACGGGATTCGAAGCATAGCTGATGGATTCAGGCATCATGGATGTCACTCTTGTTCATTGGTGCTGAAAGCAAGGCAGCGAGCGGCAGCGGCTGCAGGCCCAGGGACAGCTGACACCTGGAGAGGTACATTCGTGTGCTGTACAAACGTAAAAGCTTCTCTGGAAGTATGCATGTATGTGACTTTCAGGCAAAGTCGTGCCATGGAATTACGGGCAGTGGTTTCGATGTCTCGGCCATACCGATCCAACGTTAGCAGTTGGGATGCCCGAAAGCTGGGGTTTCTAGGGTGTTTCCAATTATGGAAAGCCACAGGATCCTGTAGCTAGCTAGGTAGGTAGGGGTCCATCATCTATCGTTGGAGCTGACCCCGAGCTGGGTTCATGGATGTCTCCAAGATGACAAGTCTGAATTGTGACGTTCCCAAGGTGAAGAAAAGGGCACTTTATGTCCGATAAAAATGTACATATGACGGTGAAGAGGTGAAGCATAGCAAGGTAGCTGCTGGTCGGTGAGTGGCTTCCAATTGCTTGTTACCTTACAGCCCCAGGATGATCTTTGGATGCCTCACTTATGGCAACATCACACGCTCTAACCGAAAAGTCATTGAAGCTCACCTCATTCTCATCAACAACCAACACCTACACATCGTCATTCTTTACAACCCTGTCGCTGGCCTGATGAATGCATCCAAGCTCAAAGATCGTTTGTTTGTTTATTGAATGGAATCAACACAATAGTACTCTTTAGCTGGCTTTTGCACCAGCTATGACCTAGCAGAGGTTGAGCTGATCAAGGCAAGCAGCAACTCTGTATCCCTCAAATGGACGCGAAAATGATCGAGATAGTGAATACTTGACAGCTTTCAGGTTATTAATTCTAGTTTTGTAAGGGAATACGATTAGAAAACGTTACGATGCAGTGCTTCTAGCTCCTGGCTACTGCCGTAGCCATGAACCGTGGTTCACATCCTTGGCTGTGACCATCCTCTACTCGCTCGTACACCACAACACAAGGATCTCGTCCTCTTCCGATCTTCTCAAGTCAGTGCAAGGATAGAGGGCAGCTCACCACTTGCCTGCCCCCACGCACCAAAACCAACTTGATTCTCAGATGGGATGGGCTCCCTTGAGAGAGTGCTCCAGGGGCCTGAGCCTATCAGAATATCTGTTCGTCGTTGACTCCTACATCACGAGCCGATCTCAGGATGATTGTGACGCACTTACATCGAAGAAATATCAGATTCATAATAGCAACAAAGTGAGAGCATGGTTGTCATGCGGCAGCGTTACATGGTACATTTTCCGATGCTCTGTGCTCAAAGGGCCACAACTCAGACGTGTTCAGACATGGAGGACAGCTGATTCCTTTCAGCTTTGGCCATATGCTTCCTGCAGTCGCTGTCGTGGAACGACCTCGGCCACAATCATAGATGCCATCTGCATTTTACGGGCTCTGCCGTACCTGAACTGAAGCAATGTGTGCCTATGTGCATCGGACATTGGGCCAAGATCTGCAACTAAGCAGCCCTCAAGAGCATTTCCTGACGTGAATCTGTCCATCTCCCGTGGTCAACGTTGATTAATGTTTTGCCGATGGAGCTCTACTACTGTACACGCAGGCAAATGGCATTGTTCAGAGCACCTCGAGCTTAACAAACGATTAGCTGCCAGCATGGGTTTTGAAAGTCAAGCCGCCGGCAATGAGAGAAGAGAAGAGAGAGAGAGAGAGAGAGAGAGAGAGAGGTCAAAGTCACCTCAGTGCCCCGAAAAGAGCTACCTGTCAGGATACCCCACCTTATGCGTGTCCATCAACGTTTCTGCCGTCATAGCCAACTCGGCCAACTGGACTAGTCCCCAAGTTGGCCATGGCGCCGGACCTGGTCTCAGACGGCAAAACCCTGCCTGCAGGGCTGGGCTCGATCGAGGGACGTGCCCTTCCCGTTCGGCTTAGAGATAGCGATACTTGGAGCAGTTGAAGTTACTCTTTAAAAGGTAAGATCAGGAAGAGAGTTAATAACGTGGGTTTACCCTTATCGTGCCCTCCGTTGTCTGGCCTGGACTGGACTGGACTCACTTCTAACATTTCTCAATTCCCTCGCAAACCTCTTCGGCTTTTATAAACCTTGCCTGCACTCTAAAAACCAAACCAAAGTTTACCGGGTTTTCGGACACTGGCTGCGCTGCTCCTTTGTCTCTTGTTCCTCTCCGGCTTATTGGCCCAAACCTTGCAACAACGCTGAGACCAAACATCTTCATGATCGAGCCAGTCACTCAATTTCTACATTGCGCCGACTTGTCGCAAGCTACAAAGCAGTTTGACTCTGCCAACCGTAGAACATTTGCATTGCGCTCGCTCCATCTACACTTTGACCCAATCCCGTTGCACAAGGGCCCTGGACCTCTCCAATGCTAGCCGTTCATCATGAACGCGCAGGTATCATTTCTCGTAAGTGTTACGCCTTCGCGCAAAAGAATTGATCCTCTGGTGTATCACCAGCGGCAGCAGTATGAAGCAACTTTGCAAAGAACTACCTCGATCCTAACGTTTTATCTCTAGGATGGCACATATACGCTGATTCACATTCCTCTCAGCCTCTACTCGACCCTGCTCCAGCCAATCCTCCGAGTACTTCTGCCACAATCTCAGGGAACGGGAGGTCTGCGCGATTCGCCCGAGTACGAGTTGCAGGGTCTCACACCTGATGGCCAGCATGGCTTTCTGAATATTAGCATCACTCCTCTTGAGTGTTCTGTTGTCTGTCACACCTCATGGGCTCAAAATGTCTTCGAGCCAGTCCTCAAAGCTATGCCGCGCGACACTGCGAAAGCTGTTTCCGTTTCCAAAGAATCCTATATGGTACTTTCAGTCATAAGTGCTGGGCTCGATGCCGGCGGTCGTGTGATGGAACTGACCTCTCCGCTGGCCCTCGCTGGTATCCCCATCTTCTTCATCACGACATATTACTCAGACTTCATCCTGGTCCCTACAAAGGAGAGGGAAAACGTGGTCAAGTCTCTCATTGCAAAAGGCTTCGAGCTGTCCGACAACGAGTCCAACTTCATCACTTCCGCTGCCAATCACAAGCAGGGCCCTGGATTGTCTGTAACCTCTCCGCCACATGAAGGCCTCCCTCTCAATGTCGCCGAGTTGCAAACACGGATTTTTGGTACACTTAAGAAGAGGCATGTGGCGCCCCAGATTGAGGAAGCGCTTGAATTAGTGCAGTGTTCCGGTCGCGAAGCATCGCAGCTTGCAAACTTCACCCATCAGAGGCCTTCAATCAGCCGCCACGCAACAGGAAACGGCCGCCGACCAAGTTGGGCAGACAATGTGGACACAAAGCTCTATACGTGCATCATCTCAGCGCTCGTATCGCAGCCCCGATTTATGTCCGTCACTCTTGCTCAGGATGACCCGCCATCCCTGTTGCTCGACAAGAATCTTCTTGACATATTTGGTGACTCCCTCGTCGGGGACACAGATGCTAGCCTGATACCGATCTTCCTGGACTTGAAAACTCTTCCTCTGGAGGCCACGGGTATTGTTTGCGGTGTCGCTGGTATACTCGTACAAGACACTCAGATAGCGGCGAGTTCTGAATTATCTTATCTCTCTACTGCTCAGGCAGGTGCTGTGATTCTTTCTGAAGAGCAGTCCGTCAGGGCCATGGGTATATTGAAGCCATTGCTCAGTGAAGAGCTGTAATGCTTTGAGCTTGATCAGTATACGTGCCATAGAAGATAAGACTGTCACAACGATGTAAAATTATGGAAAGCTCACAATCTGTGAGCAGATGACCAATGGCGCAACGGAGATGGCGTTTGTTTTCTAAGAAGCCGTGCTGTTGGGTTTGTGTAAAATCATGATTTGACTTGAGAATTTTAGTATTTTGTCAGAAGAAGAGATCCTGGAGATGCGCCTGGCTTCTATATTGATGCCCATGTTATATATAGCACGAGTGGAACACTCTATTGCGGATGTCATCAATTCGTCTCCCGTCCCGCGAATCATGCGTGGGAAAGTCCCGCAGTTATATTTGGCTGGCCCTTAGTTGTTTTTGAGATATTGGAAGTGATTGTAGTTAGATTGTTCGTAAGGCACGTTGTGGTTTGAACTCCCGGTAATAATGACGCTCTGGCGTTGTCAAGTCTAACACTAAAACCCCAAATTACAAAGTATTTTTGGCCAGTGTATCGTTTCCCGCGACCTTACAAATCTTTTAAGCTTATCTTTACCAGCCATTGCTGTATACAGAACCCAGTCTCTTGAGAATCAAACGGTAAGCGGACTTGAAGGAAAGGGATCACGATATCGGGACCTCATTGATCACTTCCCCTTTTTCTTCTCCTGCTTCTCTTCTTTTACCAATCCGGCCTTTACAAATCCGTCCCTAGCTACGGCATTGATGAGCGCAAACCTTCTAGGTCCTAGCTGAATACCGCCGTACCACCTCGTTACCACTACCATGGCATCCCAGATATCCATGACCTGCATCAGATGCAACATCCTTCCACCAGCAGCTGTCTCGCCGTCGTCATCGCAGTCCTGGAAACTCGTAGCCCCGGGTCCGCGGATCCGCCATGCTGTCATGTTGTGCGTGGCGCTGCGTATGCGTTTGTCTGATGAGAGCAAAAGTTGGACGTAGTATCGAGCCTGATCTGGCGAACTAACTCGTGCGACATGTGCTAAGAATGTTGATTTCGACTCTGTCACGAGATCGGATAGAAACCATTCCGGAGGGGGAAAGTCTGGTTGCTCGTAGTCTTCTTCAGATGTCGATGGCGCTGGGGGCTCACTTTCGGGCTCTGGTTTCTGCTCCTCCGCACGCCGCGTGAACTCCTCCACGGCATCGAATAGACAAACCAGGCCCTCTTGAAATACCTCGCCTAGAGCGTCTCGGAAAAGTGCCAGGTCACGAGCACCAGCGCCTTTGACACCACCAGAACTGTGGTGTGTACTGAGGGCACTGGGGGGCTTAGAGGGGTAATCAGACGGGAATCTCAGACGCAGAGAAGATGCATCGCCTGGAAGTTTGAGAATAAAAACAGAGGTGTCGTCTTCTACCGGGACGAGGCTACCGTCGCCGTAAATGGAATTTATTGCTTCGACTTCATCCTGAAGTTCTTCGGACATCGTTCGGGCAGTGAGGGGTTGAATGAAAGGAGATTGAGGGTCTTGAGTTTTCAGTTTGTTGAGATCGTTCTAAACCTTATTATAGTAGGTCTCAAGAAAGAGTACATTTGAGATTGCTAAAAGCAAAAAGAATCTTGTTACCCAGCAGTTTCATTGCAGGCCTAACAATATTCCAATGTTTCTTACAGTTTGTTGAAGCTGAGTGCACTTTAACCTGCAGAAACCCCACCTCAGCTCATCCATTTCACCTCATTGATCCACTAAATCTCCATTACTCTCGCAGCCCTCTTATGTAGGTAGTATGCTTTCAGCAAACTATCCCGTGATATATAAATGACATAGGGAATGACCTTGCAGTTAGAACAAATTGATATTGAGCGAGTACACTAGACTATGGGGTGGCGCAAACAGTAATCGAATACCGGTCATCTCCTGACCTATCCCCCAGCATGACCTATCTATAGCTTCAACACGGAAACAACCAGTATTGCAACATTGGTATTACATTACTCGTCCATGACAGCCGCAAACTTGTCTGTCATCTTCTGTTGAATCTCCTCGTACTAGAATCGAGTTAGCACATGCATTGTGTTTGCCATCCAAGAACAACTTACTCTCTTGGAGATCACATCCTGGCCGTCGGTGGGAACCTCAAACTTCAACTGTCGTAGGTTGGCTTGCAGGTCAGAAGTGGCCTCTCGTACCTTGGCCCAGCTCTGGCCCTGCGCGATAACCTTCTGGGCTTCGTCGTGGAAGCCTACCATGAGCTTCATCATCCACTCTGTCTTCCAGATAGGACAGAACTGGTCATAGTCCGAGTAACCGTTTTGCTGCAAGAAATCTTCCTTGATCAGGCCTGCAATATCCAGCGTAATCTTGTCAGGATCAGACAGGGCGCTCTTTCCAACAAGCTGAACAACCTGGTCGAGCTCCTCGGAATCAGACAGAAGTTGCTTGATGCGGTCACGGAGTCGAGGGAAGTCGGGGTAATTCTTCTCGTAATACTTATCCAAAATGGTGTTATACTTGCTGTAAGATAACGATGTATTGATGGAAGGGAAATGTTTTCGCTGCGCAAGCTTCTTGTCGAGACCCCAGAAGACCTGCACAATACCCAGAGTGGATGTAGTAACGGGATCCGAGAAATCACCACCAGGAGGACTGACGGCACCAACGATACTGACACTGCCCTCGCGCTCGGGAGAACCAAGAGTCTGAACGCGACCGGCTCGCTCGTAGAACGAGGCAAGCTTGGCACCCAGGTAGGCGGGGAAACCCTGATCAGCAGGCATTTCTCCTAGGCGACCAGAAAGTTCTCGAAGAGCCTCAGCCCATCGAGAAGAGGAGTCAGCCATCATGGCCACGTTAAGACCCTGGTCGCGGAAATATTCGGCAACAGTAATTCCAGTGTAAATGGAGGCTTCTCGGGCAGCGACAGGCATGTTCGAGGTGTTGGCAATGAGCGTGGTTCGCTTCATGATAGGCTCCTTGCGGCCATCGACCTCAATAGTGAGCTCGGGGAAATCCTTCAAGACTTCAGCCATCTCATTGCCTCGCTCACCGCAACCAACATAGACGATAATGTCACTGTTGGAGAACTTGGACACAGACTGACTAATGACAGTCTTTCCGCAGCCGAAAGCACCGGGGATTGCGACGGTACCACCTTGAACACTAGGGAAAAGAGCGTCGAGAACTCGCTGACCGACAATGAAGGGCTGATCGGCAGACTTCTTGTCGTTGGAGGGACGTGGTACTCGGACAGGCCAGGACTGCATCATGGGGTACTCGGTCTTCTTGCCATCGAACTCGACCTCGAGGATGTTCTCGACGACGGTGTACTCGCCCTTGGCAGCGATTTTGGTGACGGTTCCTCGTGCACGAGGAGGGAACAGAATCTTGTGGTCTGCGAGGAAAGAGTTCTCGAAGACGGAGCCCCAGACATCACCACCGGAAAGGTGGTCGCCGACCTTAACGGAGGGTGTGAACTCCCACTTCTTCTCGCGGTCGAGGGCAGGGACGGCGATACCGCGGGGGATATAAATGGACTTGGCCATCTTGGAAATAGCCTCGAGAGGACGCTGGATACCGTCGTAGATACCGTTGAGGAGACCGGGACCGAGTTCGACTGACAAGGGCTTTCCGGTACGGGTAACAGGGTCACCCACCATGACGCCGGCTGCGGTGATGATTAGCTTGTTATTGTTCTGGGTTCAGCGTGGGCCGTCATACATGTCTCCTCGTAAACCTGAATAGAGGCCTGGTCGCCACTGATTCGAATAACCTCACCAACGAGGTTATCATGTCCTACTCTGACCTACAATAGCGGTGGGTTAGATCGTGGCGGATGATGACGATGGAGAATGATAGCAACTGACCAACTCGTACATGGCAACACCAATCATGTCCTCAGCCACGACGACGGGACTGTATAAAGTCAGCATGACATGTTGACAGTCAAAATATCGGTTCGAGTGTATTTTTGGGGATCGAGGATAGGTAGCAGGCTGAAAATAATGGCATGTACTGACCCAGAAATGGAGTAGATTTTACCTGCAGATAGTGTTAGCGACACCGCAAGGTGCTTGAACTTGGTTAAAGAACTTACCGGTTTGATATCCATCTTCCTCATTGGTCTTGCTGCTGTTATTAGCAGCCTTTGATGTTTTCTACAGATGGCTGTAAGTCAGTATTCGAGAACCAAGCAGCATAAAATGCGCCGCGTTGTCGCCAGCAAGCTTGGGGGAGGTCGGGAATCAACGCACAGGAGGCATCTTCAACGACGAAACTGGCGCGTTATCTAATTGAAGATGAGGGGAGGTAGGAGAAAGCGGCGACTGAGGCCGGATGGAGGATGCTGTCGAACCGGGGGAGAGGGTTAACGAAGGAGGCGGCTGAGATGAAGGTTGAGGTGCTGATGAAGGTGAATATGGAGACGGAGACAGATATGGAGATGGTGGTGGAGAGTTTGGCAGAGGCACTTGACGAGCTATGTCCACCAACGCTAGAGCTGCTGCTGCTGCTGCTTTCCCAGCTCTTGAGTGGAGCCAGGATGACGATGCTTTGCGGGTGGGGTCTCGAACAGCAGCAGCGTTAACGGGAGGCCCAGGGGCTCTATCACTGGAGCTCCCTCTGTAACGGCTCCCTCTGGCCCCGGAGCCTGAGCTAAGGCTATCGTCGTCACTGTCGCTCCCTTGCTCTCGCTGGCTGTTGTTGTCGTCGTCTTCCCCTCTGGTGCGGATTAGATCCAGCAGGGAACGCCTCGCTCTAAGAGTAGGACGGATGCCGAGCATAAGCTACAGTTGGTGCCTTTTTTGCGATAAATATTTTGTGGTTTCAAGTTCAGAGAAGCGTAATTGGGAGATCTGGAGTATGTTGTTGATTAAGGTAGATGGGAGCCAATTCTCCAATGGGGCATCATAGCTGAGCCATACCTAGGTTAGCGCTTGGACGGAGGCTGTACTGAAACATTATGCACAACAGCGCTACTGACCTCAGTGCCCCCAGTCCAGCCAGTCGACATGAATTCGAGGATACATTGAAAAACTGGAATATCTTGATGTGCACAAAGTTTTTGTAGGCAATCAGTTAGCCCACGGAATAACTGATTTGATCGCTTGGTTTTTCTACAAGTAGTCTATTCTGGTCTTGATGCGTCTACCCTTCCATTCCTCCTAACGTATACTGCCCAGTCATGGATGCCTACCTAGGTACATGTAGCTATCTCAGATAACAACTTTAGATAAATGATCCTGGGCTTATTGTTTGATTTCACTACCTACCCCCCCCCGAGGGCTAGGTACCTATGGAAAGTCTTGGAAGGCCAAAATCTCAAACTTCTCAACTTCAATTGCTGGGACCACCAGACTGTGAATTCTTTGCGCCATCAACATTGGGTTACTTTGTCTTCTTATCCTTATTCCCCCTCTCCCACTGCTCTCCCAGCTCCTTCACCTCCTGGTTTGTCTTCTCTATAAACTCCCTGGCTCCAGGCCAAGGCTTGCGACCTCGACCTGTTTCAAACAATCTGTAAACCGCGGGAACATCAGTTCCATCCATAAGCAAGTTGTAAAACTTTCGGTCGTTCCACCACAGCTTCCAGGCTTCCCAAGTGAAGCACCCCAAGCGATCGGTGACTCCTGTCCCCGCGGCTTGGTTCAGGAATTCATAAGTTGGCTTAGCCCTCCAACGAAATCCAGGATGAGGAGCCGGGCCTCTCTGAAGTGTCTTGACAAGATAATCATAGTGATCATCAATATCCCTACGCCTCTCTTCGGCAGACGGCATGGGGTAATTTCCAGACCACAAGCTCGCCAGAGCCATGGTAGTAAGATCGTAAAGTACGAATGGGGGTCTCATGATAATCATATGGCCAAGAAACGCCAACGACTCAGGAAACTGCTCCGAAACGAAGCCATGGAAAAGACGTGCAAACTTGCTTTCCTCGCCGTAGAACTTGGTCGTTTCAATCCTCTTGTGGTGGTCAGGGGCAATTGCCGGGTCGGTCGGATCGCCAGGGCCCTTGACGATAGAAAAGTCATAGCCATAGCCCGAGCAGAAGATGATGGCATCGACATCTTCCAAGACCGTGCCGTCTGTAAGGGTAATAGTCTTGGGATCAGTTACTTCCTTGATGCCCTGTACAGATTTAACTGTGCCATCTTTGAGGTTATCCGCCAGATGCTCGGAGAACAATGGAACTCGATGTAGGACTCCATCAACCGGTCGAGTACCGAATACTTCCTTCAAGTGTGGCCATTCTTTATCTCGCATATTGATCATCATCTTGGTCATGAGACGTGCAAAAATATTTGGCATAATGTTGCCTATTGTTCTCACACAAATTGACACACGACGACTCAATGTGTGCTCGAAAGCCTTGCCCTTGACTCTCCTGGGGAGCTAAGGATGATCAGGATCTGAAGCTGAATTTGGCTGGGTCTGGAGTTCTTACCACGAAGACGGTGCCACGATGGCTAAGATAGACCTTGTTGGTTCCAGCTTTGACCAAGAACGAGGTTGAATCCACACCAGTCGCCCCAATACCTACGACAACCACGTTTTTGCCCTGGTACTTCGAAGCGTCTTTGAACTGACGTGAGTGAATGGCATCACCAGCAAACTTCTCTAGACCTTTCACGTGGGGGAGATGACGGGTATTGAGCATGCCTGTAGCGATGACTACGCGACCGAATGTTCTGACCTCCTCAACTCCCGTTTTAACATCCTTGAGAAAGACCCTCCAGGCCTTTCCTGGCTCATCGCGTTCTATATGGTCAACTGAGACTGAGAATCGTATGTGCGGATATAGGCCAAACTTCTCGGTATAAGATTCGAAGTATCTTTCGAGATCCTTCTGAGGGGGGTGCACGGGGAAGTCTAGAAACACTATGAGCTTCACGGTCATACGAGCAATGTACGGCGGGCTTACCATCGGGCATTGGAAAATCAGTAATGGAACACTGGAACCTATTAATATCGCGACATTCCACCTTGAAGAGAAAAAGAAACATACGCATTGCTTGGAGGTGTTGGCTGTCGTGTCCTCCAATGCAGTTGTCTGCTCGATATTGTTTGACGCATGCCATGTTCCACCAACGTATTCTTGTCTTTCAAACGCTGTTGCATTGAGTCCTTGTTCACGAAGGTTCTTAAGTGCTAGAAGACCAAGTGGCCCTGCTCCTACCACGCAGATGTCGGAGTTGAGTTCTTGATTCTGGGAATCCATGATTTAGTCGGAATATGATCTTGATATGGGTCTAATAACAACATACAAAAGTGCGTATCTATGCTCCTTTATATCCTCACTTTCTATGAGCATTTGATATTAACAACAGCGTAAAGATCCGAACTACCGCGCAAGGTAGTGATCGCGCTTAATGCTGACACATCCTGAACGGCGCCGGAATGGAGGCTGTCAGCTTTTAGATCACCACGTCGGGTTACGACGCATAGAACAGATGAGATAAGCTGATTCTAACCAGTAAAGAAATACTACTGCCAAGTGGCCAACGGAGCTGCTTATTATAACGAGTTGGGATGTATCCGAGAAAGTCTCCGGACCTCCTTGATATTCGCACCAGCAAGGGTTTGAGATTGTACTACCACTGGTTTTATGTGTCCGGCCTATTCTTTCTACCGAAAGAGATACGTCTCCTCTTCTATGATGATAGGGTGTTAAGGCTGTAGCACGGAATGCGAAGCCGAGAGAGTCTGTCTGAACACATGGAACAACCTAAGTGGTTGCAATTTACACCAAATTTGGCCAATATCAAGAATAAATCCCTGCTGTTGTGTGCCATTACGGAACGTTTATATGGAACACTTCAAGATTTAAAGGTATGATCAAGGAAAAGGTTGACAGATCTCGACGGATACGAGAATGATGAGAATGGGGATGCAGAGGCTTAGGAGATGTTGGGGCGATACGCATAGTTGCGATTAGAAGTTACCACGAGTGATTTTTGCATGAACATAAATACAGTTTTCAGTTGAAAGAACATGATATAGTGGCAATGGTGATTGCCACTGTAAGATGTACGAGTGAAAACAAAACTCGGATTGGTAACTGTTGCTGGATGCCAGACAAACAGCTCATCTCGGTGTGATCTGCCTGATAGATGGACTCTAAGATCTGGGAACTGTACCAGGAAAGGGTCACAAAAAAAGCCAGGGGATGTATTTGAGCACATCGAGGTTTTCGGTCTCCCAGGGAAGCCACTTTGGAACTCAACAGAGAAAGACTCCATGATCTGGCGGTGATGGAGTATAACGAGAGAAAACTTATAGATCTTTTGGTAAAGCTCTGATCAAGTGGCAATGCCAAGTGCGGTATTCGTCCACGGGTATAGACCACACGTAAGTCCAGAGATATACTACTTTATCCTGTCCCCAAGGAGCAAGAAAGCACCGAACCTTGATGTAAGGTATCAAAATAAACTCAGCAAAGGGTAGCCTAAGTCTATACTAAACTTATATCAAGTTACCTAAGCCTTTTATTCCTTGGGATCAAGGTCCCAAGTTTTCATTCCTCCTCTAGCCTGTATCGTATCTATGATATCTAGACCGCATCCTGAAGGATTGAGAGAAGGGCCTTGAGTAGCATTCTTGCCACAATAGAAATATTTGATCATCCATGCAGCTTCACATTCAGGCCTACCAAAATCTCTTGCAGAATTTTCAAAACACCCTCCTTGGCCACCAAGGCTGAAAAAGTCGCTTGCAAGACTGAGATGCCACACTCATCCCTTTCTGCAACATTGTGCATCCTTGTATGGTAAGAGGAACCAAGTGTTGATACGTCACAGCCATCCTGGCTCCGTGCCGCTCGTAGCATACAGATCTGCGCCGACCGACATTCGCCGGTGCATTCTGGCTGTACCCAGCCTCTGCTGAGACGTAACATGTATTCGTCAAAGGCCGTCTGATTCTTCTCGAAGACCTCGGTGACGTTGTGCCAGAATGAAGCAGTGAGCTCCGCCGTATCGTCGATTAGGGGAGGGGTTGTGAGTGGGCCATATGTCTCCTTTGCAGAGTAATACTTTTCCCACACGGGGCCTTTAGTTTGGTATGTAGGAGACGTCATGTCGGCGCTGTAGGTAGTTGCGTCGAGGACGGCGAAGGTCACAGGATCAACATCGTAGACACGAAAAGAGGGCATTCCCGACATGGGAGTGAGCGAGGGACCGACATACGATGTTATTAGAGCATTGTTAAATGTCTTGCCCGAAGCATCATTGTATGTAATCTGAAAGTGATCTCTGTGGGTGTGACCAAAGAACATGGCTGCGATGGTTGCTGAGTATCGGTTCACTACCTGGTTAAGATAATTCGACTGATCGTGGAATGCATTCCGGTCCCCCAGCGGCATATGCCCAATAATATAGACACGCTCTCCAGCTTTCTCAGCAGCGTGGAGTTCTTCAACAAGCCAATCGATCTGACCGCTGGGATCGCGCAGCATCTTCCTCTGAAAAAGCCAGAAGTTTCCACGGTAGAACAGATTTGTGTTGAGAGAGATGACCCGCAGGTTACCATGGGGATATTTGGTTGAATAAGAGCCGATTCTTGCTGCCGTAGAGGCTGATTCATGTCCAATCCAACGAGACCAGGTCCCTGCGAGAAGGTCGTAGATCCATGAGGATGCGTCGCCGACGGAACTAGGCTGGTAGGCGTTGGTGGGATGGGACTCGTGGTTGCCAGCTGTTCCGTAGACTATACCGAGATGCCTGTCCATATGCTCATATGACCGAATAACTGGATAGGTAGGTTAGTTTTTATAGGTGAAGTATTTGAGTCAAGGACGCTCACTTTGGTGCTCATTATAGTCCCAAGATGTGTTCCAGATTGAATGATCGATAATGTCTCCGGTAAAAATCGTGAAAGCGGCGTCGGGTACCAACTTTTTGATTGCTTCATACATGCTATGCTCAAGAGAAGCAGGAGAGTCACAAGTATGCTCCCCATATGGCCCAGCTGGGGATACCGTTCTCCCAGTCTCGTCATTTTCTGTCAAAGGTCTTCTCAAGTCAACGAACAGCACCACAAGCACTAGGGAAAGCGTTGACTAACCTGCAACATATGGGTTTGTTACACTCCGAATTCGACCCTTCAGTGTAGAGCTGGTCAACATGTATATCGGAATAGTGAACAACTTTGATAGGGTCTCTTCCACTCGAGACTGGACGCTTTCGGCACAGGTGATCAGGAGGCAAAGGGACTTCCCATTCGTCTATAGCAGGATAGTGGCAGAGACCTAGAAATGTTACGCAAAAATGCTGAGAAGTCTTTGAGCCGATGGCAACGTTTCTCAACGCCTCAGCTATAATAGGCCCTTGAAGCTCAATGGTTCCATCACAAACATCTGCATCTTGGACCTTGAATTTGTTAAATCGAGTTTTGTATCTCATAAGGACTTATTAGGCTGGCTACCTTTGACTTTTTGCATACGTCCTGTAGTGTGGTGATAAAGCGTCGATCACCCAGATTCGCAAGGCTCTTGAAAGTCAATAAAAGGCCCTGCACCGTCATCTTTAGCTCTTTATAATCACATCCATGACCAGCTGCGACTTGCCTGACATCCCGAACAAGACGACACACTCTGTATTTGTTTCCATATTCGATCTGCCCAGTCATTTGTATACAAAATCTTTTGGTGTTCATGGAGACCTTGAGCCACGACAGCCTGTCCGTCAGTTCCGATAACCGTTGTTATGACTCCAAGACAGGCTAGGAGAGTTGTTAATAAGCGCATATTTGTCAAAGTGAAAGAAAGGGGAAAACTGTTGATCTCAGTAATGGCGAGATAGAGAACAAGGTATGCATTGAACCTGTTTATACAACACAAGTGAGCTCTAGAGACCATCAACTTATTGCCATCTTAGACAAATCATCTCCAAAATCGGCTTAGCGTCACCACTATCGGCCACATGACCCAATTAAAGCAACCATAGGAGTGCATATGTACGCAGGTTGACAGAGGAAAACGTCACCGCTGGCTGGCCCATGTCTCTTCTCCAGCAGCGATCTCAAATCCCGTCTATCAAGGAGGTTGGCAGAGGATCAACGTATACAATAGGTGCGTGATTATTTCTCATTCATATCCATACATACATCTATTTCGTACAGCTCTTTTCATGCCTTAAAACCAGAAAAATGTAATATACAAGACCGATGATGATGAGTTATACATCTGCGCCATAGATAATGATACAAGGAGCACCTCGCTCCAATCCAAGCAGGCTTTTGGATATCCATAGCGTTCTTCTTTTTGCAGCTGGCCTGTGCTACTCCTTTATCGGAGATGTCTTTTTCTCCTTCTTCGTCTTCGTCTTCTCCTTCGACCGACCTTTCTTTTCCGAGCCCTTCTGACGCAAATGCGCCTCTTTCCGCTTGTTCATGTTGGTCTTATTTCTTGCGTCAGCTTCCCATGCAAGCTTAACGCCTGTCTGTTTCTCGCTCTGCATGACCGAGTCTCTGTACTTCCTCCCAGCTTCTGTGCGTTCCGGTAATGTTCCTCCCCACATTCTGTGCCATTCCCTCTCGCGGTCCTCAGGGGTTGATACAAGCGCCTTCTTCCTGCGCTTCTTGAGTTCCTTCAAAATTTTACGCGCTCTGTCTGATTGAAGCTCCACGACTGTGTATTCCACTTTCCAGTCGATTGGTTCCTCGTGGTCGGAGCAGGAGATACGTTCCACGACCTCGCCGTCGACCATGTTGCGGACTGTGACATACAACCCGAGAATGTCCTTCTTTGGCATGCTCTCACTTTCTTCGTCGGATCTTGCTTCTTCTGTCAGTGAAGGTTTGTCTGCTCCACAGTTCTGAATAGATTCTGCTGGAGAAACGTCACTGGTGGCTGTGTTGCTTTCATCAACCTCGCTAATCGGCTCCCTCTGATCTCGCACCAATTCCGACAAAACTCGCTCAAATGTCCCCAGATTGCTCTGGTTGTTGTCAACGCCTTGGGCAAACTTGATGATAAGGTCCTTGAGAGTAGCATCTGCTGAGTCGTCGCTGTTTAATGAGATGTCATTTCCATCGACAGCGTCGCTAAGTATGGAACTAGGCCTTTCATCCTCAGCCCTAGTCTCGACGGCTTCGGTGAGGCCAGAGTGTGTCTCTTTACCAGCGTATTCCACATCTTTAGAATCCACGTCATTATTGAAATTGTCGCCTTCAAATGCCTCAAAGGATGGGGGCAGTGCATCCTCAGTTTCGGAAGAGGATTCACTCGTATTCAGTGCGTCGTCTTCTGCTGAACCATGCTGGGTTGTGTCTTCAAGTTCACTGGCTGCTTCCTTGTTATCCTTCAACTCTTCGGTCAAAGCCTGGACAAGTTCGTTGATGTAGGTTCCTCTCTCCAGCTCAGGCTTCCCAGTCAGCAAACCACTTTGCTCAAGAGCTTGCTCGATAGCCTCTCGCACACTATCCAAGCCGGCGGCGTCATCCTCCACAGTTTGGTCGACCTTGGCCATCATCTCATCCCACGACTTCTGTCTTTCGGTCGATGATAACTTTCGAGTATCTTTCTTAATCTGGGGCTCGGCTTTGTCACTCATTCGGCTGTTCTCTTCATCCGGTGAAATACGCAGCATGTTGTCTTTAAACATAGCCACGGCTTCACTCCCCTTCTCCTGGGTTTTTTGCATCTCTTCATCGCTGACAGGCTCGGCGAAGAAATAAGTCAGGGGGGGGTTTGTTGGCCGAGTCTCGATGTGTAAACGAAGTGACTTCTTGGGGAAACGCTTCGTAGCTCTGTCCAAAAGATCGTTCAAGAGTTTGACACTGACTTTAAACTCCTCGTTTCCAACACTGCGGTTCGCAGTTCCATGCAGAGCCTCGTCCATTTCCTCGAGGCTAATATACTGGAAACCAAATATTCGTTGTGTGTTATGGAAAGCAACGAATATACCATCCATTCGGCCCATGCGCACTTGCAAAGAATATTTGAGGAACGCCGCTCTGATCATGTCATAGTACTCACGTTCGAAAGACTCCCAAGTACCGAAACGGCTACGAATCTCATATCCGACGCCTTTTTGATAGCCGTCTACATCCATGCGGATGGAAACTACTGCACGGGTTTTCAGATCAAACATGCCTGTTCCTGGAAGTCGTGGATCATAAGCATCCAGCTGTGATCGCATCATAAAATCACCCAGCGTGGAGAAATGGAATGCTTCGTCGGCATTTTTCTCCTCTTCGGATAACTCATGCGAACGGCTTCTCCGGTACTTTTCGAAGTGGGGTTTGTTGAGAGTGAGAAGCTTTTCCATTGATTTCCCGAGCATGCTCAGAACGTTGGCGGTGTCGAATTCTTTGTCGGCGTCGATAGCATACACACCGTCTTTATAACGGGCGAATGCGGCAGCAGGACCTCGGGTCAGCGCGGTGAACGTATCATACTCGACCTGGAAAGAGCGGGACAAGTGTCTGAAACTTAAGGGCCTCCACGCTGAGAGAAGAAAGTGGAATTGGGAGAGCATGGCCGTCATACTAGATGTTGAACCACAGTACTTCTTCTTATATTTGGCGCACAAGTCTGTCAACCGACTGTCCTTGGAGGATGTCACATACTCTTTCAGAGCATCGAAATCAAACTCATCAACGGGCATGATTGAAGCAAGGTATGGGTCAAAGTTGTAAACCCGGGTCCGCTGATCTTGAAGCTGGTAGGGTCCGCCATTGAAAAGAACCTTGTCGAGCTGATGGGCTAGCGTGGGGACGCTTCTCCTGGATGCCTCTTCAACTGCTTTCAGCTTGAGGCGTTGGGGCATGATGGTGTAAACTGGAGGCAATGCCTTCTTCTGCCTTTTGACAGCCTTCGGCTTCTTCTTCTTCGACGGTGGAGCTGCTGTACTGGGCTCTGTCTCATGACTATTTACTATGGTATGCTGATCCAGTTCGGGGGAGGGAGTGGTATGATCTTCCTGGGGGGGGTTCTGAGGTTTCGAAGGTTCTGTAGCCAGCTCTTGTTGCAATTTCTCTTTAAGTGATGCCCAGGCACCAGTCTGCTGATCAACTGCCCCGGAGCTGGCCTCTGATGAGTCGGCTTTAGCAGTCCTCTGTTGTTCGTTTGGACTACTTGGCTTGGATCCCTTAGTTTTCTTCTTTTTCTTCGACTTGTCGATACCATAGACTCTCTTAGCCACAGCCAATGCATCACTAATATCGGTTTCAGTAGTCCCCTCTGTAGATCCTTTTACTTCAAGACGAGCAGCTCTTCTCTTTTTGTCCTCTTTTTTCCTTTCCGTGACTTTCGCTCCCTTTCCTGTCTTTTCCGAGACGTTCTTCTTTGAATCGATTGCATCTTCGGAATCAGGGGCGGGTTTCGGCGTGGGAATTGAAGTGTCGTCGGGGCTAGTCTCTGTCGCAAATAACCGGAGGGGTGAACATTGTCGCGGGCATCGTAGATGGGGCCGGCAGATATGCGCAAACGTGGCCGCTGGGGGTATCCCACGCCGTAGTCGAAGCATCGGGGCGTCTTTGACGAAGTCGATCAACTTTGGAGAAAGTTGGCCAAAATCAAAGATGGAAGGACTTCGCAAGTGACGCTGATCCAGAAAAAAAAATATTGAATCATCAACGGCTCCGGTATAATGTCGGGTCGGACGATACATCGTATGACACGTGATTGGTCAATCACTACCTTGGGGATCCATCGCATGCACCTACCTACTACCTTAACCATTAGCCCCAGCACTTCGTCATTTCCGGAGCCTTCCAAACGTTAAAGGTTCAAGAGGACACCCACCGCAGAGACTCTCGCGGCATCTTCTCATGCGATAGCAATGGGCGCGAGTGATTCAAAGCTCGTTTTCAAACGGGGCATTTTTCGTTTATCAGAAGAACGGCATATCCCAGCGGATGATGCATACTGGACCTCTGTTCGTCTGCTCCACCCAAAGTCCTACTTTACCTTTCCATGGATAACTCGTTTACTGACATGATATCACGCAGTTTTGGGAGCTTCCTGAGTCTTCTGAGGATGTCTTTAGTTTATTCACACCTGCCGACATTCGAAGAACTCGGGATCGAGCACTCGAAAACCTAGAAACCCTCATCCTAGCCATCACTTCTCGTCTATTCATACTACGTCATCACCCATCTTTCCCTGATCCTGAACTTGCTCCAGAACGCGAGGCTCTGAACTGTATCCGAGTACTCACACGTATCTTGCCTTACTTATACGAAAAGGAATCTCTCAGTGAGTGGGAGCAACAGTTTTTCTGGGCTCAACGAAGGAAACGCACTCGGCACGGTGCTATCGCCAACGAGATCCTCTTTGACGAAGCTCAGGAGGCTGAGCGCAAGACGCAAACTGCCGAATTCGAGGAGGTCAAGCCACTCGCCGAAGAGCTGGTAGACACGCTGGTCGATCTGCTATTTTTTTCTGATCTTACTTTACCACGACAACCCAATGGCCGACCGAAAGTTAGCTATGCGATTTGGCAGAGTGGGGTGGGTTGCAACACAGCTGTTGCAACAACAAAAGAATATGAAAGTAATCGATCAGAGATTCTGCGACTTCTCTTGACGCTTTCTGGCCAGAGCCTGTACATGACTGCTGGTGTCCTGCCACAAAACGGCGTACGGACGTTAACACACTTATGCGCTTGTCCAGACAAGCAGGTCGTGCTCTCGGTGCTATGTTCCCTACTCAACACAGTCGGTCCACCTGGGATCTCTCGGCTTCGAGGTGCTGATGCTAATTTCACTTATAGACGTTGAAATACAACCCTGCTACGTGGCGCGTACCTTATAACACCCTTGTATTCAAGGATGGCAAGCAGATGCTTGTGACATACTCACTACAGTTCCTCTTGGTACTCTTGTTGTACCCTATTCCCGAGAACCCATCGAACCCATCGCCCAAACACTCTTATCGTCACTTTCTAGGCCGACTTCACCGGCCCCAAGATTTTCAGTTTATTGTGGACGGGATGACTCGAATTCTAAACCAGCCGCTTCAAGAGAAGACTTCGTATCTTCCAGGTTCTCAGTCATCTGGCCACTTCGCCCCTGAGATACTAATGTTATTCTGGGAGATCCTTCAATGCAACAAAAGGTTTCGATCTTTCATCGTGGACACTGAAAGAGCGCATGATTTTGTTATCCTAGCCCTGTTCTATGCTCTTGAGTATAAGAATGATGCTACCAAGCAAGGAGTTGTTCGCATGTGCGCTTTCTTGCTCCAGACTCTAAGCGTGGAGACTAACTTTGGCGTCAACTTGAACAAGTATTTCGAAGGGCAGGAGAGTCTACCGATGTCTATTCGTGTACCAGGATTCCGAGGGACCTATGCGGATTTTCTTATCCACTCAATCTACAATCTGATCACGACAAGTCAAGGGAAGCTATCGACGATATACCCAGCTCTGTTGGCGGTGATCAATAACATCGCACCTTATCTTGAGGGGCTGAGCAGCACTAGCAGCTCAAAACTGATGCAGCTGTTCTCTTCTATGTCCTCGCCCTCGTTTTTACTTGCAAATGAGACTAATCACGCTCTGCTCCACTCACTGCTGGAATCCATTAGCTCAATACTGGAGAATAAATACCAAAAGAACCCTGAGTTAGTATTTGCTATCCTCAAAAACAAGAAGAGGGTTGAAGCCTTGCGCTCATTCACCCTGGAGAGTGGCCAAGAGGAAATTGAGAGAAGAAACAGGAGAAGAAAGGATTCTGGACACCATTTTGATCCATTCGATGCTGCATCTGTACGCAGCTCAGTTGACAGCTTGAGGAGTCCAAACAGCGCCCAGCCACGGCACTCGTCATTGGAAGAAGTTCCTGAAGACGGTGCCTTCGCGATTGGAGACGATGACGATGACGACGATGACGATGACGATGGCGATGAGAGTGACGATGAGGAACAGCAAGAGACTCCTGCACGGTCAACGTCAAGTGAAGCCCCGTCCCGGAGGTCATCGACCCCCAACGTTGAGGATGCCGTCCCCACTCAATTGCGAGGGATGTCCGAGAAGGCTCGTGGCAAGATGCCAGCGGGTGTTCTCACCTTCTCGCGGCAAAACAGCACCACCAGCCTAGGCGGGCGCTCGATAACAGGACAATCACAGGCAGGGGCATTTGAGCCTTCGGCCCACTGGATCGACAGCTGGCTACTCGAACTACCTCTCCACACAATCCTGGCAGTCATTCAACAGGTGTCTGCCCTCTTGCCGCGACAAGAGTTGGCAGTCGATATGCCAACACCAGAAACGCTGCGACGAATTTCAGGTGTCCATGTTGTTGGCATTGAGCCATCGGCTCCCCGTGTACATTCTTTTGAATGGTCCCAGCTCGCGCTGGGTTGGTATGAGTCTCTGCTATGGGGGGTTATCTTTACAACCGAGATGCAGGTTTCCAGAGGAACCATGGGCATATGGAATGGTACCGCTATCAAGCTTTTCAGGGTCCAAGAGACAGCCCCAGAGGGCCCAACACTAACATCCCCTCGAGGGGCTGTTGACGCTGTCGGTAGCAACATTGTCTCGCGGATAGGGCAGATCAACCTCCGGGGCGGGCCGCAGGGAAACAGCCAGCCACCACAGCGAAACAATTAAGGAGGACACACGGAGAGTTCAATAAGGGCGCTTGCTCAACAACCCTTATTTGAGCAATTAGAACTTTCTACACTGTTTGGCAACTTCTCCTTTACGAGAGAGCGCCGGGTCCTAAAGCTAAGCAGCTGCTAGCATGAGGCTATTGTTTCACGATCTGCCACTGTTGATTCCAACAGTGTTCATCGTGTAGGATAAGAGAACGAATGGTACATGGGAAGCGAATCGGCGTGGTAGTATAGAAACAGGCGTTTGGGTATGGACTGGAGTCAATCAAAAACTAGCATTTGCATCAGAGCGGCTCAGTTCATGCTGTTTTCTACTATGCACATAATCACATGCGCTGTTCGTCCTCATCTCATCAGCTGTTGTTTCAAGTTTTGACTACTGGCACAGTAGGTAACATGTGGCGCGTCGAGATGGAGGTGGCTAATTTGACTCAGGACCAGCCACAGCCAACAGGATCCAGGAAACACCCTATCCGTACACCCTCCAGTTCCACACCGATTGGATTCCTTGTTTTCAACAGCAAAAGTTGGCAGAAGTAGGCAAACAACGTGATTTAAGCCGGCAAAGCCACGTCAAATGCCTGGAGTGATCATTTCCGAAGGGTGCAAGGGGACTCGTACGCACCGCCACCACCGACCGGGGAGCTTCACTTTCACTGCCAATCATAAGCTGCCCCGGACCATTTGTGCCGTGATCCCCATACGCTAAAGCCACAGTAGTCATCAGCCACGTCCCAAGGTCCCTTAATTCTAGCAGCTATCGCGACAAGGGTCTTGTTGAAGGAAGGGTGGGTTGTAAGGGTCCAGGTCCTGTTGTTTTTTTGGCCGGGTTACGGTTTAACACGAAAGCAACTCAGCTTATTGATGCAACTCGCAGGCGGTCGCATTTTTTAATTTCTCGGTTCTCACCTGTCTCCAAGTGTCCCTTTGCTACGCTATTCAATTTCGCTCTGCTTTATTTGGTCAGTACTGGAGCTGGGGCATCTTACATCATATCAAAGTCAAGCTCAAGCAGAACTGAATCTGCTGATACAACACTAGAGCATGTCTCAACAGCAACCCGGTGACTCCGGCGATGAGGTACAGCCTTATCGTATCCGTGTCAGTACCTCAACGAGAGATACCATCCGATCGAGGAGCTACTAACCATTCACTTTTTCATAGGTGTCAAGCAAGTATCTTGATATCACGCGACAGAAACTAGAGCTTACCCGGTTACCTCATGAACCTCATTCAAAAGATTGGTGGGAGCCAAAGCCTCAAGTTGAGTCTCTTGTTGACTTTTGGTAAGTGGTTCTGTGAGAGAGCTGCGCATGGCGAGGCTCACGTATAGTACCTAGGCAAGAATCATTCTCATGGCAGAATCATGAAGAAGAGCTGAACCAAACTCTTGCCCAGTTCAGAACAAGTTTTCAGACCTCCACTTCATCAACGCCAGTCCGGCTCCATTTTATTCATGCCCGCTCTCCTCATGCTAACGCTGTTCCTTTGCTCTTAATACCTCCATTTCCTTTGACCAACCTCTCGCTAGGTCACCTGGTTCAGCCATTGAGTGATCCTGAAGATGCTGGTACAAACCAGCCGTTCCATGTGGTGATTCCGGCCTTGCCTGGCCTGGGCTTCAGCGATGCTCTTCCTTCTAATGCACCTCCTGTTTCTACAACAGCTCAGCTACTGGACAGCTTGATGAAGAGATTATCATACGAACATTACGTTGGAAGTAACGCCGGTTCTGCTTCAATTTCGCCAGCTGCTATTGATTGGAGACTGGCCCGGCACCTCTCAACTCACTATTCAGAATCATGCCTAGGGTTTCATTTTATTGCACCTCCTCTGACATGCCCTACACTTTCGGGCTCGGCCAGTGAGTGGTTAAAATGGAAACTTGCTCGACTCTTAGGCTCTTCAATTCTGGGCTACTCCAAGGACGACCTCTCGGCTATACAGAAGCAGAAGACGCCGCAGTTAAGCATGAAGAAGTCGGCTGTTAACCTGGGGCAGCATAGTCGCAGTGACTTTGAACCAAACACGCCGTCATATGCGCTGTGTGACTCTCCGACAGGCCTCCTCCTCTATGTGCTGAAACTGCTCCGGACTCTTGGTCCCAAGAAGGAACTTACACCTAAAGACATCATCACTCTCACCTGTCTCATATGGCTACCTGGCCCTGAGGCTGCTCTGCGGTTCTGGGCTAAATGCGCGTCAGAGATCGAGCCTGTGGAGGAAAAGAAGACGACAAAGAAACCCAAGGTTGCCATTACCGTTTTCACTGGAGACGAGGATCAGGCTGAGCAGCAAAGAACACTCCCACGTCCTGCAAAGACCATGTACTCTTGCCCTGGCTGGGCTAACAGGGAATACCACATCGTGCACCTCAACCGAGCCCCTGGAACTCCAGGTTTCTTGGCTTGGGACCGGCAAGATGTGATAGTTGAAGGAGTGCGCGGTCTAGTGAAAGCAATATTGGCAAAGGATAAAAGGATGCAAGTTGCTGAACAGCCTGGGGCTGCTCTTCAGGATCAGCTCGAAGTGCAGGATGGCCGGATAGCCCAAGCAGACCTTTCTGGAACAACGGTCCAGGATCCGAACGCCAGTCCGGGTGAGGGACCTCATAAAACTGGTGTACAGAAACCAGCAGGGGACGATCACCAACACCTTGCCCCTCCACAAGCAGCTACACACGGAGGTACTCATTGATGAATATTGACAGAATGATGCGTATGAGGGCAGGTGGGTGGTGGGACTTAATTCGATACCGTCATTTCGGTTTTCTTTCTCTGAGTCTCGTCACTCGCTATGAAGACCATTAGCTTATGAGCAATATTATATACCAAAAGTATGACAGCAGAGTAAAGTTTACTGCGTTGTGTCTTGTTTGGTCAAGATATCCTTTTTTAACTTATTTTCCTTTTGAGTATTGCAGAACTGTTTATACTTGGCCACCATGGATAATGCATCCCTACGAGCAAACTCGGCTCACCTGTAATGAGGCTATTTTGAATTGATGATACATCAAGGTAAAAGCATTTTCACAATCAAGCATTATGATTAATCGCTAGAATTGATGGCGACCTTTCCTTGTGACTAGAGTTGAGTTGAATATTTGAGGTTCAATCTCTAGATCAGATAGTGAGTGCTGGTTACCCTGCGCAAGATTATAGCTCTCCTCAGCCCCTGTACTAGGTACCCAGTGATCCAGACTTAGACAACTCCCCTGGTGCGCCACAAGGTGACCTAACCAGCTCCCACCCCTCGACCCAACTTCTAACTACCGCAACAGCGAACACGACTTGACTCTATCTATATGGGCACATTACAGACCTACGAGCCTTCTATTTTACCAGAGCTGTCTTAGAACTACCCGTCGTTTTCTGCATGGCGACGATGCGCTACGAAACAGCCCATTTCTCTTAGTCGGCCCGCCATCTCCCAACCCCATACTCATCATGTCGAATCGATACGATCGACCTCACCGCGACGGTAACGGCTATGGCAACTTTGGACGCTCCAACGATGACTACCGATCCGGGTACCAAGATGGGTACGGTAGCGATCGATATGCCACACCGCCTGCCACCCAACACCCGCGACCACTACCCAGTCTTCGACAGATGTCCTCCCGATCACGTATACCACAAGTACAAGCTCCACCACAACCAGCAGACACTCATGCTGCACGGCAAATCACCGAGGTTATCGACCATATAAAAAAAGAATGGCCTGCAATGTGTCAAGACGATTGCGTCCCTGTTCAACTGGCGCTGCAGCTGCTTGACAGGAGCTCGGTTGGTCGCGCCCACGAATACGCCCAGTTCCAGCAATCACACAACTACCTGCAAGAGTCGCTCAAGGGTATCGTCCACGAACATCACCAGGGCTTCAACAGTTCTATAGGTACATTCCACAAAATTCAAAGTAGCATTCAGCAGTCGCAGAAGCGAGTACGTGCTTTGAAGGAATCACTGGCGAGTTCCAAAACAAGTCTCTGCGCGACGGATCCTGAATTGAAGAAGCTTTCAAAATCATCACAAGAGTTTGACGCCCTGGTACAAACTCTTAATGAATTGGATGACCTCCGAGCAGTACCCGATCAGTTGGAGGCAAGGATATCGGAGAAGAGATTCTTGACGGCCGTGGAAGTGCTTCAGAATGCGTTGCGAAAGCTAAGGAAACCTGAGTTGGACGATATTGGTGCCCTTACTGACTTGAGGAGCTACCTTGCGAACCAAGAGACTGCCCTGATGGATATCCTTGTAGAAGAGCTACACGAGCACCTCTATCTCAAGTCACCCTATTGCCAGGAAAGATGGCAGAGCTTAGCTAAAACGCAAGGCGCCGTCACCGAAGGTTTTGGGGATATTAAGCCCATCGCCCCATTTCACGTTATTCTCGATGCCATTGACGTTGACAAGACGGTCCGGGAAGATCCTATGAAAAATCCCGAAGCCGATACATTCTACTATGTAGGACTGCTGGTGGAATCTTTAAACAGGCTCGGACGTTTGCAAAATGCCGTGGAGACTCTTAAGCAGCGACTTCCAGTTGAGCTCTTTACTATCGTCAATGAGACTATCAACGAGGTCGATCAAAGGCATCCCAGCTCTTTACGTGGAGGATCAGCCAGAGGCGATGGGCTTCACGTCTATGGAACACGTGAAACACAAATGCGAGCAGATGTGATTTACGACCTCTTATGGTCTCTATATGGCAAATTTGAGGCAATTGGAGAAGGCCATCGTGTGTTCCACGAGTCTATCAAGGTCCTAATCAGAAGGGAAGGCGCTGGTAACAATAGTGCCCTACTTGGAAGCTTCAAAGAGCTGTGGAATCTATACCAGAACGAGATTAGATCTTTGCTGCATAATTATGTTACGACCGATGCAGATGTCTATCAGTTCGACTCGCCAAACCCAGGAGATACGCTCCATGGCAAGAAAGACATACGAGAGCATCTTTTCAAGTTTTCTGAAGCGAATACAAAGTCTGTTGAGATGACGAGTGAATATGACGCATTGGACAACATCATCCAAGATGCCGTTCCTGGGCTAGGATCTCGAAAGCAAGACAGAAAAGGGCGGAATGTCCAGGAAGGAGGAAGAAGAGGAGCAGGAGCAGGAAGTGATGGTCCGTTTGGAAACAGTCATCAAACAACAGGCTCGTACAAATCTCTGGTGGAACCTAGTGTCTTCAACATGAGCTTGTTACTACCGCCGACGTTAGTCTTCCTGCAGCGTCTCAAGAACATCGTCCCTCCCGGTTCAGACCTGGCAGCAAGCACGCTAACAACATTCTTGGACAATTTCTTGGTCAATGTCTTTCAACCACAATTGGACGAGACACTCGCAAAACTGAGCGACACCGTCTTTGGGGAGGCAGATGCATTCACACAAGACCCGGCCTGGAGCCAGGTAGCACGTCGGCCTGTGTTTCGAGGAACAACAGCCTTTTTCGAGGTTGTGACAGCTTTCTGTCGTATGCTGGGAACCATACCACCAGACCAAGCACTCAGCTCGCTGATTGTCACTCAAATGATGCGGTACTATGACCGCTGCTTCAGCTGGTTCAAAACGCTTGTCGTCAAAGCTCAGGATCCGGCTACCGAGATCAGCAACGACAACCTGAGGTCATCGGCACGATTTTCTCTGGACCAAGGAGAGATACAAGAAACAATGAAGAAGCTTTTCATGTCAGAAGGGATGGACTGGGAACTGGCCGAAAAAGAGATACACTTGTTGATGGAACTCACAGATGAGTCGCCACTCGACTCAGGTGACATCATTCAGGATCGAGATTCCATCTCATCCCTGTGCCTATTGTACACCAGCATGAAGTGGCTTGCCGTTAAAATTGCTGGCCTGCGGCAGATCACAACGCATGACACAGATACATCACGACAAAACCTGCCTCGACATTCGAGCCGAAGATGGACTCTTATGAACGATACTAGCAAAACCGCAGGAGAAGAAGGCCCTGTGTCACTACCACTAACGCAGGAAACTGTGCAGTAAGTAATGCGACCCGATAGGCAAACATATAACTGACCAATGTTCAGAGCGTTTGACAGCATAGTGTCGTCTTTCGAAGAACTCGCAGGAACTGCGCTACTAACTCTCCACATGGAGATCCGGTGCCGCATAGTCCATTCATTGTCAATTGCCTTATCCCCCAAGGTGGCACCCTACCTGCTTGACCAGGAAGTGAGTGAACCTGATCCCCAGATCTTAAGCCTCAACTCGGAATTGGTATTCTTTGACGAGACCATCGTGAAGTATCTCAGAGAGAAGGAGATAGCCTTTATTCGAACGGGTCTGGGGCTGCTTATAAACTGCTATCTTGTGAGCAATGCATGTAAAGCGTCGCCTATGAATGACAAGGGCTGTGGGCGGATGCAACTCAATATTCTTGTGCTGCAACAGAACCTCAAGAACGTGGAGGAAGGGGTGGACCTAGCGCGTGCAGCAAATTACTTTTCGCTATACGAACAAGGTGCAGACGCCATTGTAGAGAAGGCAAAGGAGGACAAAGAGCAGCAACGAGGGACCAGCGCGCAGGACCCATACAACTTTTCGTACGACGAGCTCAAGGCACTTGTCGAGCTCTGCTATAGTGAGGCTATGGCACATCCTGAACGAGGAATCGCCACTGCAGCCAAGCGACAGATGCAGGACAAACTGCTTGGGCTGAGTGAGCACATGTGGCAGACATAGATGGATCAGGACGATATGTGATGCACTCTGTGCTGGGCTTCAATGGAGTTGAGGGATTGCTTGGAATAGGTATGTTAGTGGTTGATTTCAAGTGTAAAGTAGGTAGTAGCGGCGCGTGATGAATGGTTATACGAATCAGGCATGAAACCAAACAAAACTGTTTATGCCTGCTTAAATATCGCCGTAAAACTTGCCGCAGGCAATCAAGCTTGATCGACTGTCACGGATACACACAGAAATACAGGCCTTTGTTGTGAGTCGCGGCAGATACCCGTATGGAACCATGCGAAAGCCATGAGGGACACAAGCAAAGACCAATGGGAAGGGAATTGTCATCTTATGACCATCCTTTTGTGTAGCAGACACAAGAACAAGTGACATCACAGTTGCAGTCTCACAGAGACGCTAGAATTAGAAATTATTTTCCTCCCCCGCATTTGAGCAACGTCTGTGAGTGACGGGATCTGCATGAGGCAGCCCAGCCAGAAGTGGCAATGGTAGAATAATACATGGCGATGGCGGATTTGGATTCGGAACCGGTGTGATATCCGTATTGTTCAATGACAATAGCAGCAGGGGTTGTTGATAAACATATAACTTATCGCCCGGGCATACGGGCAGGACGGAGTAGGAAACTTCAATTTACCGGATTGAGGTTATGTGGATAGATACCTACAGATATTTCTATTTCCCTGGTCATCAAGGTTTGAACCTCAAGTCAGAGGAGGAGATTAGGGAGATCATATTACCTGGGTTCAAGGGTGCTAAGATCATCGGTCAAGAATGAACCTTAGATGTGAATTTGTAATGGAAGGATCAAGCATCAAATCTCAAACGGAGGCGAGATGTCTTTATTAAAGCTTCTGTATTCAGGTCCGTGATAACTCTCCAGGTTCAACATGACGAACATGGATATGGATGATATGGATGGGATGGATTATCGATCGATCAGCCGCTCCACAATAATACTGTACACATACGTACCATAGCAGCAGCATAGGTCTCCGCATCGTGGATTTTCCGTTATTATCGTATTTGTAGTTGTTCATTTTGCAGTATTGAGTTCCAGGCTAAAAGCAAGAATAAGCCACAGCGTTTTCTCTTCAGTCTCTGTCGTCCATTGAATCTCTGCAATGCGTTATCCTTTGCGACCTGGACCAGCCAAAATTGGATCTAACTTAGGCTGCCCCTGAACCTAATCTCGAAACATGTAGCGGGCCATAGTGTGCTTGCGGGAGCGGTACCTTGCAGTGCTAGCTCTTATAGATATCCTACCTTATGCAAGCCCCCCGCGGCCTTCGCCTGGCCGTCTCAAACCCGGCCATGTACTGTAGCTTAGTAGGTACCTAGTTGAACTAAGGGAATGGAAATATGATGGAATTCAGGAGTATTGAATGGGCTTCAGCTGGACCACGCGTGGTTAGGAATGTTAGAACCCAATATTTTGAACGAATTGCCCATTGAGTTTGTGAAAACCGGTACAGCCTGGAAGACAATGGCATTGAGTTTAATGGATGGGAAAGTACAGATACCATCCATAATATGTACGGACAAGAGGTTATTAGTTAATTAAGTGACGATTGGCTGCATCTTTCTAATCTACCTAATCGCGGAGCCTCTCCTATTAGTCCCCTTTCCCCTCTGCTGCCAACTTTTATGCAGCCCTTGTCCATCTGAAGGCGAAGCAGCCACTCACTGTCAGTGTCGAAGACCTCGATGCAACAGTAGCATCATCTGTCAGCCCCTTATCACTTCCGCCACACTCCACTGTTCGAGTGCCGGACTGAGTGCCAGAAGTGCACTGAGGCACTGCGGAGACGCTGGCTAGGCTGGCTCCAAATGAGAGACATCAAAGCTCGTCTGTCTATTGGTCGTTTTGGACAATCAATCAACAACAAAACAAAGAGGCCAACCTCTTTTCTCATCTTCTCTCCTCATGTGCCAGCCCTTTCATTGCATCTACCTACCTGTTTCATTCCATCATCCATCTCAGGGTCCTTTTTTCCAGTGCCGACCTCCCATCCTAGTAACGTATCCCCTCACCAGCACCCATCTTGGTGCCTGGGTATTTCATGCTTCGAGATTGTAACTAGAAACTCACAAGTTACACCCAAGATTACTATAATTACCTCGCCTATCCATCCCCTTCCCCTGGTGCATCCACTTCTAAGGACCTTACACGACAGTGGGAGTAAAAAGAAATACAAGACCCCACGCGTCTGAGCGGAGTAGACCACCGGCCAGCAGCCACCTTTCTCCTCCTGTAGCTCCATTTGGCCCATTTGGCTCGTCAGGTTCCCCTGGATTAGATTGGATTGGACAAACCAACTCGGGCTTTTGGGACTTTTCGGCTGCATCAATCTTCACCTCAAACCCTACATCATCATCCATTCATCAACAAACTCCATTCGTCGCTCTCTCGCAAATCTTTCTCGCTCGCTCACTCTCTCCTTTCGCTTTATTTCACACCGCTCTACTTTAATCGCTAGACCAGGCTCAGGCTCTTTCATCGTGGCTCTTCACCTTGTTTTCCCGTCGCAACCAAACCCCTAGCAACCAACGCTCGTTCACCCTTTTTCGCCGTTCTTTGGGTTTCGAGCCCCTACTGCCGCCACAATGGCAAACACGTATGTCTTGATACCCTCGTTCGAAATCGCTTACTGCCTTCGCCTGCCGCTGACACTTTACTTTGATAGTTTCGGTGCGACCATCAGGTCTTTCTGGCATACTATGACTAGTTATGACAGACGTATGCGACCCCTGATACCCGAGCGCAACACTTCAAAAGCCACATACTGAACAACTTGCAGATTCCTCATTTGACTCCCCTTATCGAACTGGTCGACATGTCCCCCTACAGAATGGTCGAGGTGGTATTATGACTGGCGTAGCAACAGCCTCCGATTCTCGAAACGATGTCTCATCTCCCTACTCCGACGAAACCGGCCGGGCTTCTCCCCTCCAACCCGACGGCGCTACTTTCGCTCCAACGAGCGCCCCCTATTCACCTGGCCTGAGATCAATGAGCGCGCGAAATGCCAGCCAGGGCGATGGCTTCGAGGTGCAGAGCCCCGGCGATGTCCCAATGCAAAACTTTGCCGATGGCCTCCCCCCTGCCCCTCCAGTTGCCCATTCCTGGAGGCGTATAGACGCCTGGGCCGATGAAAACTATCCAGAGCTCTACGACCAGCTATGCGAAGGTGCTACCAACAATGACCTGAACGACCTGGAGCATCAGCTTGACTGCTCTCTTCCTCAAGACGTCCGCGACTCGCTTATGGTTCACGATGGTCAAGAACGAGGAGGAATGCCCACCGGAATTATTTTTAGCCACATGTTGCTGGATTGCGAAGAGATCGTCCAGGAATGGGATAACTGGAGGACCGTTAATCACCAGTATTTGCTCGAAACATCTATCAACAAGCCCTCTACCCCTTCCAAGGCTTTCGGCGGCAGCAATGAGGCCTCTTCTTCTAAGCAAGGCGCCGCAGCTGGCGGCAGCCCCGGTCCTTGGAGACAAGATCTCCTCTCTCGCCAGGACTGCGTGCCCCCCAATGCTGTTCAAAAGGCATATGCCCATAGCTCATGGATCCCCCTCGTCCGCGACTGGGGTGGCAACAACTTGGCTGTCGATCTGGCTCCTGGTCCTGGTGGCCAGTGGGGTCAGATCATTCTGTTTGGTCGTGACTACGATACTAAATACGTCGTCGCGCGCTCCTGGGCTGCGTTCCTGGCTGTTGTCGCGGATGATCTCAACAGTGGCAAGTGGTATGTGGATGAGGAAACCAACGAATTGAAGCTCCGAGAGTTCAAAGAGACAAGAGTTGAGCCATCGTACTTCAGCATCCTGCGGTGGAGAATGGATCAGAAATATGGAAGAAGGGCAGCTTCAAACCGAAGGTCAATGGGGCCGAAGCCTAATTCTCCTCTTGGCTCGCGTTCTTCTTCACCTTATGGTAGTGGTGGTGAGAATGGTGAGCCCCGGGGCCGATCTATGCAACGACTCAGTGGATCATCTCCTTTGGCCAGTCCCCGGCCAGGCGCAGGATACGGAAAGGCGACACCTTTGAGTAAAGTCACAGAGGAGACAACAATTCCAGAGCTGGCCGACGCATATATCCAGCCTGAGAAGCTTGTAGAGGTCGAAAGTCCCCGGCAAAGCCAGGACAGCAAACTTCCGAAAGTGACAACCAGCATTCCCCGAGTGGAATCCGACCTCCTCAAGGTGGAACAAGAACCATCTCCCAAGGCGAACGGCAAGAAACCCGAGGTGGTGGACGAATCGATGAAGACAATCGAGATTTAAGCACTAAACAATGGACATTGTATTTTGCAATAGACGAAAGTACGGGGACTGGCATAGGGGCAATGATTGCATGAGACTCGTTATTTTTTACCAACTTCTGGCCAGAGCTTCATGCGGAGCGTCGCACCGGGATGGTACACACAGATTTGGCGTTAAAGGCGTCGTGAGAAATACGCAAGATTCCATGATCCTTTCTATGAGAGGCGAACTTTTTATTGTTTTTTTTTTCTTCTTTCTGTACTCCTCAGCTGGAATATCTCTGGGAGGAACGCAGAAACAGCATACAAGCCTTAGTATACTATGATAGCTTTGTTTATTACTCAAGGACGAGATGTGGATAGGTGATCGTTGGGGATAGTCAGTTGTGGTTATACTGCAGCTCGATGCCTCTCATAGTCATAGGATGGATGGTAATTATTGTATGAATAAGAATTCACGTTTCCATTTACTTTTGAAGATGACAAATTTTGTTAACTATGGCGAAATCCGTCATAAAAAAATTCTAATCTAGGCAGTATAGTCGAACTTGTCGTCGTGGCTGATTCTGGTAAAAACTTTCGATGCACTTGACGCTAGGGATTCTACTGATTGATAAGGATCTTATCTTTGATCTGAAGCTCCAACATTTGATTCATCGAATCCTTCGACGAAAGCACCCCGCGCGAGACCAATAGTAACCAAGCTCTCTCGTGCGGAACTCAATCGCCGGCATCGGGTCCAACTGTTGTGTGACATGATCTTGTTTCTCTATCATAAAACTTGCTCACATTGCGACAGTTGTCTAACAAGTTGTCCAGAGCATATCGAGCTGCCAACACTGTAACTAATATCAACAGACGACACCACGAGCGGGCACAACTATCCGCCATGAGCACAACCATAGCATCGCGTCTTCGAATTGGCATCGACGTTGGCGGGACTAACACAGACGGTGTCCTTATTGATCCCCTCTTGAGCTCAGGGCCTGATCGTGGAATCATCGCATGGCACAAAGAGCCGACAACGGCGAACCCAAGCGTCGGTATCAACAATGCACTCACTACGATGCTCGGCTCTAGTTCTATTCGCCCTCATGAAGTCGCAAGCGTGACTATAGGAACAACTCAATTTGTTAATGCTGTTGTTGAGAGAGATGCTGCGAGACTGTCACGGGTTGCTGTGATTCGTCTCTGCGGACCCTTCTCGAAGCATAACTTGCCATGCGTTGACTGGCCTGATGACATGAGAGAGCTTATCCTGGGTCACCATGCCCTGTTACACGGCGGGCTGGAAGTTGACGGCCGTTTGATATCCGATATTGATCAAGACGAGATCAAAACGCAGTGCTCGATTATCAAACAAAAAGGGATTAATAGTGTGGTCGTCGTTGGTATTTTCAGTCCTATCGATACAGTAGAACGACAAGAAGAGCGAGCGGCAGATATCATCAAGGCTGAGATACCCGGCTGTGACGTTGTGTGTTCCAAGGAGGTCGCTAATCTTGGCTTCCTCGAAAGAGAAAACGCAGCTATTCTCAACGCCTCCATTCTGCCTTTTGCCCGAAAGACCATTCGATCGTTTCACGAACCAGTCAAGAGACTAGGCCTGGGTTGTGCAGTGTTTGTCACCCAAAATGATGGCACTGTCCTTTCTGGTGAACTTGCGGCTCGTTTACCGATCCGAACTTTCTCAAGCGGCCCTACCAACAGTATGAGAGGAGCTGCTTTCCTTGTGCAAGGCGACCTGGATGAAGCCATGATGGTTGTTGATATTGGAGGAACCACATCTGATGTCGGAATTCTACTGGGGAACGGCTTTCCTCGTCAACAGGCAGCTTATAGCGACCTTTCGGGCGTGAGGATGAACTTTTCTTGTCCCGATATCAAGAGCATCGGTCTAGGCGGAGGTTCTATTGTACGGATAGACAGTAGTGTCTCTGTTGGTCCAGATAGCGTGGGATATAAACTCCCGGAGGAAGCAATTGTATTTGGAGGAAATGTTCTTACAGCAACCGATTGCACTGTCCTAGCAAATCCAGAGCTGAAGATCGGCGATCCAGCCCTCATGAAAGACGCTCTTTCGAAGGACCAGCTCACAAAGGTTAGTTTGACAATTAAACACAAGCTAGAAAAGGTTATCGACACCATGAAGACTTCACCCAAAGACATACCGGTTATTCTGGTAGGAGGTGGAGCTGTCATCGCTCCCGATGAGCTCAAGGGCGCGAGCAAGGTTATCAAACCACAGTGGTCACAGGTTGCCAATGCTATTGGCGCTGCGATAGCAAGAGTGAGTGCGGTTGTGGATACAGTTCAGTCGACGGTATCCAATTCGACAAATGAGTGCCTCGATGAGGTTAGTCGGGCTGCCGTTCAGAAGACTGTTGAGGCCGGAGCTCTAAGATCGACTGTCAAAGTTGTCGAGAAGGAAGTTTTCCCGCTTCAGGTAGGCAACTGATATGTGATGCTCTGGAGAGTCTTAACGATGTGACAGTATATTGAAAAAAAAACTCGGTTTATTGTCCGGGCGACTGGAGACTTCGACTTCTCAAAAGAAGTGGTTGCCCCTGAATCTCAGGCCGAGCAGGGAGATCACCAAAATATGGGACACGATGAGAAGAATACTAAGAACACAGGACGAAAGCATAATACACAACAAGATGAAGACCTTGATATCCTTTCATACCGTCCCGATGTGAGAAACCGAACATGGTATGTTTCTGAAAGGGATGTATCATGGATTGCAACAGGTTGCTATATCCTTGGCACTGGAGGGGGCGGGAGCCCCTACGGTCTGATGATACGACTACGAACTCAGTTACGCAACGGCGCGATAATCCGAGTTGTCAATCCTGAAGACCTTCCAGACGATGCACGCGTTGGCTGTGGCGGCGGAGCAGGGAGTCCTACCGTCGCGATCGAGAAGTTAGCTGGTGATGAGCTACTCGAAGCTCAACAAGAATTGTACAAGATGTGCAATACTTCCGCTACTCACATGATATCTGTTGAAGTCGGAGGCGCCAACGGACTGAGCGGGTTGTTGCTTGGGTCAAGTGATCAGATGGATATCCCTACAGTTGATGGAGACTGGATGGGGAGAGCATATCCCACGAAATGGCAGACAACACCTGTTGTTTTCAAGGAGAGGGACACTATCTGGTCACCCATCGCCGTGAGCGACGGTAACGGCAACGTGCTCGTCATGCCCAAAGCATCCTCCGATGAAGCTGTCGAGCGGATCATCCGCTCTGCCTTGAGTGAGATGGGCTCTCAAGTTGGCGCCGCAGATGCACCTGTCACAGGAGAAGAGACAAAACGCTGGGCTGTCGAACATACGCTATCACAGTCCTGGAGAATAGGTCGCGCCGTAGCTCGGTCACGGAAAGAGAACCGCGTCGACAATGTCGCTGAAACGATCATCGAAGAGTGCGGCGGCCCAGGAGCCGGCAGGGTTCTTTGGAAAGGCAAAATTATTGGCGTGGAGCGAACCTTGAGAAACGGGCATGTTTATGGCGAGTGCCTCATTGAAGGGGCTGATGTTCGCGATGAACATGTGGCTTCAGGGGATGTTTCTGAACAGTTCAAGGGGGTTGTCAAGATTCCCTTCAAGAACGAAAATATCGCTGCCCTGAGAGTTCATTCTGATCGGAAGGAGGAGCTTCAGAAGGATATCCTGGCTATTGTGCCTGATTTAGTCTGTGTAATTGATGCACAGAACGGAGAGGCAGTTGGGACACCTGAATATCGCTATGGGCTGCTTGTTGTGGTATTGGGAATAGCAGCAAGTGACAGGTGGACTGGAACTGAGAGAGGGATAAAGATTGGGGGTCCCGAGGCTTTTGGACTTGGCCATCTCAAGTTTGAGCCTTTGGGGAAGTATTTCAAGCCGAGGAGTGTCATTGATGAGTTTGATGAGTGATGATGAGTCCCGTGGGCGCAACATTAAGCGAGATATTTATATGGAGATGGTTCAGAAAAGGATATTAGTGGAAAAATCAATGGCTTGCCTCACAGTCCTTCGCTGCATAAAGACTGTTCTCAAAACCTTATACTAGGTTGATATTCGGCCAAGGTGAGGCCTTGTTCACCTGAGGCCAAATAAGGCTAGCGCATGGCCCCACACCGCCCACCTCATGGCCCTCATGACATCCCGCCGCCTTTCATCATAGTTTCTTTCCTTTTCCAAAACATCACCACCAAATTCGATCGTAATATCACCAACTACCCACTCAGGTAGTCGCCGTGTAACCACATACTTACGAATCTTTTGCGCTTTCGTACACTCATCATGGGCTCCGTCGTACTTCCCCATCTCAACACCGGCTGGCATGTGGACCAAGCCATTCTCTCAGGTAAATACAACCCCCCAAAACTTGCTACCTGGCATCTACTAACAACCTCTTAGAGGAAGATCGCCTCGTCGTCATTCGCTTCGGCCGCGATTGGGATCCCGATTGTATGCGCCAGGACGAAGTACTGTACAAGATCGCCGACAAGGTGCGCAATTTCGCCGTGATTTATCTCTGCGATATCGACCAGGTTCCCGACTTCAACCAGATGTACGAGCTGTACGACCCGTGCTCCCTCATGTTCTTCTTCCGAAACAAACACATGATGATTGATCTGGGAACTGGTGACAACAACAAGATCAAGTGGGTTCTTGAGGATAAGCAAGAGCTCATTGACATTTTCGAAACGGTGTATCGAGGTGCCAAGAAGGGACGTGGTTTGGTCGTCAGTCCCAAGGATTATTCTACCCGACACAGGTACTAGTCGTGGAAACGGCCATCAGAGTTTGAGATCTGGGCGCGGACTGGAGTTGGACTTGCTTTTGAGGTGCTAATACGTTTATGATGGCTGGAGGAAGGTAGGGATATTGGGCTTCCGAGTCGATCGATAATGAGACTACGATACGATACAATTCGTCAAGACCAACGTTCTATGGACCAAATGGTGAGATTCCTCGATGCGTATTTGAACCAGTTTGAACCGCTTCTCTGACACAGTCCGTTAAGATATACAAGTTTGCCGTGGGAACAGTGCAGCCTGGCTTATGGTCTGGAGAGCATATTGCCAGAGGCATACTAAGAGGTAGGACTGCTAACCACGCGTAAATGTGCCATTCAACCATGTGAGACTCGTAGGCTGCTCATCGTGCTTGAGTCATGACAGACCGCGTTGTCAATATCGTAGAATCGCGGGCCCCTACTGGGGAATATTGAGTGAAGCAAGAAACCATCAGACTGACTTGAAGTACTGCATACGCTAGCAACGGCCTATAAACCAAACGGCCATGTTTCATGGTACTTCCGAGGTGACTTGGGCTGATGAACCTCAAACGTCCCCAAGTGTTTCGACTTGTCAAACCAGATGAAGCTATCAAATTGCTCTGGCAAGACGGCATATGAGTAATGCGAAGCCTTCTCCGTCTCAGGCCTATACAGCACACCGATAAACCTTTCCAGCCTCTTTTCGTTGAGTGTTTCTCATAGCTTCTCATCGCATTTGCCTTTACGAAGATCGAGAACAATGTTACCAATGCCCGCGGCATGCATAGGCTCCTCGTAGCTGCCCGGGAGCCTTGGCTGAATCTCCATAATGCTCATGTTGCCGTCCCAGTCCTGGGCTGCAGCCACCGTCCCGGTATTTGTGCCTGTGCCAATACTGACGGCTTGACCCCAAACCTCTCCTTGCAGAGCTGCCCGATGTTGAGTTCTTCTCTTGACCATCCCATGCTGGTAGCCCGGGCATCACCGACGTGGCTGTTATGTGCCCAGACAATGGCTTTGGAATCACGGCCGCGACGTTCCAAAAGTCTCGTAAGAGCTTCAAACATATGGGTATCTCGAAGATTCCATGTTTCGTCTCGCCTGCGATACATGGCTTTATAGTATTGTTCGGCATCTAGGGATGTGTCGGTTTTCTTCCAACGGGTTCTTGTCAGGGGCTAGCTTGCTTACCTTTGACAACTCTGGCATTCTGCTCTCCACTGCGGAACTCCGTACCATCGTCAAGTGCTGCAGAGTATTCAATGCGTTTACTTAGAATGTCCTTTAGCATCGCGACAGCGTCTTTCTCATACCCCTGAAAGGAAGTTGCCAGAGACTCTAGGCCATATCCGTGAGGATCATCTGCCCAATGCATCAGTTTACTGTATCGCCCCTTGGCGACTTGTGCCATATCCTTGTCAACAGTATCTAGATAGTCAACCACTGCCTTAATCGAGGTGCCCATCGAGTAGAGATCTAGGCCGTAGAATCCTGCTGCCCCTTCTTCTTTGAGGTCAGAGTTGTAAGACCGCAATCATTCCACGAAGTCGCGAACTTCAATGTTTCGCCACATCCAAGTAGGAAATCTCAAGAACGCTGGCTCTCTCCCCTTATCCTTTGCCATCTGAGTCGTCTCTACTGTGGCTTGACCAGGGCCTGGGCGGTGCCTGGCATATCGATCAACAGATTCTGCATCAGGCCAGTCTGCCTCAACAGCAAAGATTTTGAAACCATGGTTTTGCATCATATGCTTTGTAATTTCTGCCCGAACCGAGTAGAACTCAGACGCGCCATTCGAAGCATAGCCTATAAGCAACACTTTACAATCTCCAAAGGTGTCGAAGTACTTTGTGATTGTCTCGAGGTCTTGGGGGATTGATCTGAAGGGTTTGACATTGGATTTGAGTTGTTCTGCGCTTGGCGCCTCCATTTCTGACTTGGGTTGAGATTGGAGAGTATGCTCGATGACTCGTTGTAGTGATATCGACCAGATATATAGTCCATGGAGAAAGTGGTCATCATTTTAAGCTCAAGTTCACTTGAGCATTTCACACTAATAGGCCGGCTGATAGTGGCGACACCGATTCTCAATGCAGAATTACTCGAAATTTCAGTCCGTGTGACATAAGTATGTGATTATTAAATTGGAGTAAATAAAAAAGCTGCCAGTCTGATCAAAGTCCTGACAGTGGAACGAGACGGTGATCTACAGCTATGTAACGCTGTTAGTGCGGATGTGGCGGCGACAACTTCATTATGACGGCTTTTCAGTGCTATGAGCATATGAAGAATCAAGATTCAGTGTCCAAATCAGTTGTAAGCCAGGGAAGCCTCAGACAACATGCTTACCGCACAGCTAAGGAAGTTTAGGAATGTCAGAACCTTTGTTGATGGCTCAGCTCATATGGCTCTTTGACTAACATTTGAGGTTTCTCTTGGTCACGCCCCTCAACTGTCAGAAATTATCATCGTATTAACTTGTCGTATAATAAGTTTATCCTGTCTTTTGTATGTCGATTTTCATTTGAAGCACACGGATTCAGTCACAGCTCAGCCTTTTTCACCCCGAGCTCGTCGTGCTGCTTCACGGCTGTTATAGAACACGGCATTTGCATTCGATGGCTGACGGCACGTTCATACGGCCTTCTCTTTGGATGCTGGCAGTTAGATCTGGTGGCATATATTGAGTCTTTGTCTTTGTATTGTGGCTGGGAGCATTGGTATACAAAATGTATAAAGATAGGGGTTAAAGACAAGGGAGTTAGCATCTTAATTGTAAGCTAAGTGGGTTGTTAATGAGAGCTAGGGTAAAGTCACAAGGATAATACACAGAGTCCTAGCATTGCCATGTTTTTTTGGCCATTGTTCCACTTGTCCATCCATAAATAACTGCCAGGGCCTGTGAAGAGACTTACATCAAGGTTCTCCAGCTTCACGTCATCGGCTTTGTGTCAGCTTTCCGTAATTGCGTATCCAGTTGAACTGCGGATCAGAGATGCCCGTCCCGAGTTATTGGAAAGATTGAGTGGGTAGAAGCGGTGTGTCTGTTGTCGCGAAACCTGAACATGAGGATGGAGAGACCACAGTACGAGAGATTCTGCCAAGTGAGTTAATGGTAGCTGAAAGAAACAGATTGCCATTAGTATCAGCCTAAAATATACCATCTAGAGGCGGAAAACTGTAACGTAGCATTGTGGTTCATCCTGCGCAAAGGTGTGCGCTTCATATTGTGTAAGTACAGGATGGTAACGAAGACCAGGCTCGTCTCCTGCGTACCGAGCCAAAGCTCTATAACCTACTTGGACATAAAGCAAGCATTGGTCACCATCGGAGATGAGCCTCAGACCCATGGGGCTTGAGTTCTCTTCTTTCGGCTCGGCTTGGCATCCTGGAAAAAAGGTCGATGATTGTGAACGTCGAGTGTCAGTTAAGGCTGATTTCCTAGTAGCAAAGATATATGGTCGCTGTATTTGAGTTAGCTGTATCTTGTGTTAATCACTCTTCCCTGGCGGATGAGAACTGAAGAGCGTTTAGTTCGACGATGGCTGGCGTTTCGAGGTCGCAAGAGTCAATGCCGTAGACTTTTAGGGCACACATAGAAGAAGCTAGCGGATGCCTTGAGTTGTCAAGGTTGGTGAAAGTCCTTTGGATTATGTTCTAGCTCGAGGTAAGATCTTGTATCCGAAAAGAAGTCAGTCAAGGGGTCACAAAGTTGAGGCGACCATTGTCCGATTTAGGCGAAACATGCCTGGTTTTTCGATCCAATAGACGATAGCATCGTAGGTTGGAAAGACAACTGAGAGTCGCATGTGCGAATATTCACACTAGTTGTTGCCGAGGAGATGCGTGTGTTTCGAGGTTCCGTCTTCCTAGATATGGGCAAGTGAGAGTTATCTCATGCGTCTGCTGTGTCTCTGAGACCAAAGGGGCTGTCGCAGATATGATAGCCTGACGGAGGAAGCTCCTTGTTATGTCTTCCGACCTGTGCAGAGTTCTGTGGCAGAGAAAGCAATGAAGGTCGAATACTAGGTATCTAGTACCAGTTATTGCGTGATGAAAGTTTGACCGCATCGATAGTGTCAGGCCAGGGACGATGCAAGAATGAGACAATAAAGAAACCCTGAGGCTCATAAGTTCTGGATCAGTGTAGAGATACTTGAAGCCAGTATTTCGGTAGGAATATGGGAGTGCAGCTCTTCGCAGGACTACCTTAGGTACTACCTAAGCTTAGTAGCTTCTTTGGGAGCTGGTGGGCGAACATACCTTACCTAACCAGGCGGGAACAAGAAAATGTTGCTGAGGCCGGGGCCACCGAAGTCACCGCAAGCAGAACTTAATAGAAGGAAAAGGCTTAATTCTTCTAAGCTAGCTACAGAAAGAGAGGACTATTTATAATAGTCCTAGAGTGTTTACCTAAGCTAGATTGCCTATAGCTGCCTAGATAGGCTTCCTGCATATAGGCATCTAGGGCAAACAGCAAATACATACAAACGAAGGGCATCAGTTATCCAACAGCAGATGCTGCTGAGCTCTACAGGGAACACGACAGCGAGACTGATGAATTTGCTCCCACTGAGACCCATACTAAGGTAGAGCAGCATTTAGAGAATGAGGAACTGTCCATGTGTGATACAGACGGGTCTGAATAAATGTTTGAGTCGAGTATTTGTTCTCCTCTCAGGGGTACAACAGCCCGCCCGACGAACAAAGCCATCGCCAATGATGGGTTATGTTCTTGAATGTTCCTCTACATACACGCATGAACACAAGAGTCACCTTAAGGACTCGGCCGAGTCTAAAACCACTGCCATCCCTGTCAAGATCGACACTACAGGGTCCCCCCCCCCCCAGTTCAAGATCTGCCCTAGGACAAAGAACGGCATAGTCAGTTCGGAGAGGGTGGACCTGTCAACTTTATTTGTTCTTATGTTCACTACTACCCTACGTAATGTGCCTATTGACGATGCTCGAGAGTGCATTGTGTATTGGGTTTTGTGCTGCAAATCTGTTGAGGGGGACTGGCATTACTACTAACCTCCACTACCTTACCTTTGGCACTGGCTGTTGGTCTTGTATGATGAATTTACTGCGCTCGGGGCACGCCCAATCTTTGCCCTCCACTATTTAACCTGCCATCATCTTCACCCTGGCTCAGGCACTTATGAACAAGACCGTTTGTCTCGCTGATCATGTCTCGGCTCCGTTCATCGGTTTGTGCTTCTATCGCCTTTTTGAGGTCTCACTCTTATCTCCCGTCTTTCCTCTTCATCGACAAAAACGATCGACCATTCCACCTCTACAAACTCCTGCCTCTCTCTCGTAACTCAAGGTCCAGTCGTCACTGTTTAGTCTTCTATTATCCATTTAATTTGTTGGAATGTATGAAATCGAGTAATTTGGATCCGTAGCAGCGTGTTCATGCACAGCTTTAGGAACTCCCTTCGTACCACAAGACCGACGACTCATAACCTTGCTGTTCACCCAACAGTGGAGCTTGGTAGAACCCGGGATGGTGAGTTGGCTGGCCTTTGAGATCGTGGATCTTCTGAAGCATCACTGGTTTCATCAGCTAACATTTCGTATTTGCAGATTTCAGCCGACCATATCGCACCAATCTCAACCTCCTAGAACGACCCTCCTGCTGCTACCGCTTCCAGCACTATATCTGTGCCAGTAACGCTAGACAACCTCACTTGGCACTGACACACTACTCGTACGTAGTCCATGGCTCAGAAACAAGACCACCCCTGTCCCTTTGTCGTATTTACGTCCCAGAATCCTAGAGCTATCGCTATTCCAGTTCTAGTTGTATCCCTCAGCACGCCTTCAGTGAACCACTGGCTTTTGCCGTCACGTACGGAGTAGTTACCACGGAGAAGTGTAGATGGACATTTCGCATAGGTCAGGGGTTCGCGCCTTCGCCTTTTTGACCTTATTCAAGTGGCGTACTACATCTGTGCTTTAAAAGACTAAAAGATTCTCCGTCTATAACCTTTCTGATCATGAGTGAAATAGTTCTTTAGAACGCACGACTTCGATGATGGGATACTTGCAAGAGATGAGCAAGGAGCTTTTCAGACTACAGGCACACGATAGCATTACAAACGTAAATACAATGAGGTAGCACCCTGGCAAACACAGCATGGCGTTTTGACTGTTGAATAAGATATACTTGGGAGCTTCTTATTGATGAAAACTCCAATGGTGTCTAGATGTCGCGTCTCGATCGAGTGAGAACAACTCGGACTGCCCTTCCCCTGGTTCATTTTACGATTCGGAAGAGCAATATTCAGAATCTACCATACGATAGCCTCTAAACTGTAGACAAACATTGTTTACAGTGCCCTCAGGGCACTGGCTGCTCCTAAGCTAACCCCCACTCGCCAGTGATGGGATTTCGGACAATTCGAGATGTGCGTCACTGTCGATTTTCTCCACAACGCGGTATACACAAATGCTCAAAACAACATCGAGGCTTATGGTATGTCCATGAAAGCTATCATGGTAGCCAATAAGTCTAGAACGTAGATTTGGTGGAATACCCGGGCGGGCTGGGCAGCACTCGAGCACTACGATATTGGGAACTAGGCCACTAGGTTCCACACGCCGCTGCTATGAACCGATTATCACTTGTGCACGAGGGCCATATGCAATGGCTTCTACTATTTCATCCAATAGAACGGTCTCCGCAGTGAGCATGCAATAAATGCAGCGCTCAAGGAGTCCTAGGGAGTAGTCATAATTCTTTGGTGCGGTTGGCCTTCGGGCTAGTGCTATTGATCGAAATCAGGAGGAACCTTCTAGAGGACCTGAGGTGCTATAATATGTTTTGAGTGCTGCAGCAGTAGCTTAATTCTGCTGCGGTGGGATGCATATCTTCGTCTCTGACCCTCCGCTCTTCTTTTCTCCTCCACCACCAAAACATCGGGAACACCAGCATAGGCCAGTTACCACCACCACCTCAACTCCATACTTGATATCCCTGAGGCGTTGAGTTCCTTTTCAAGTTCTTATTTAATCCCTTTCATCAAAGTCGCGTTCTCTTATTCGATTTTCCCATATGCACAAACACCCGCCGCTGAGGGCATCTCAGTTTCTCCCTGCTCCCCTCTCACTCACCAATCCATTCCCTTTCTTCTCACGATATTGGGCTCAATAATCATCCCAAACAACCCCCATAAGCAGGTCCCCTATCTCAAGATTAAAGATGCCGTCCCCTTTGATCCGCCGCCCTAAACCCTCCCGAGGCTTGGTCAATACTCCAGCAGTCAAGACCTTCAGAATCGGTGAGCTCTTGCTCCTCATCGTCGAGGAGCTCGGGGAACGGACCGAGCAAGACCCTGGGTACCAGAATCTGGGCAGCCTTGGGAATTTGATCCTTACGAATAAATCCCTGTTTCTCTCACTTCAGGTTTACCTCTACTCCCACGACCTGGAGGGTGACTACCACAAAGGCCTCCTACATGCTGTCTTCAACTGCTCTGACCGACTGAGCTATCGTATTCTATCCAAGTATCCTGTCGCGCTCTTACGCCTCAATATCAACAAGATGTACAAGCGAAGTACTGCGAATGCTAGAGCAACCTTCACTTTGCTTCATATTGCTGCAGCTCGGCAGCAACACCGTGTGATCCGAAAGCTTGGAGACCTGGGTGCTAAGTATCAGGAGGTCAAGAATCTTCACCTTGTCTTGACACAGGAATTCAGATATCTGTTGGAAAAGGAGATCGCGCTTTCTAATCACCTCCCCAGACTCCGGTGGAAACCTGCACTGGCGCCTCTCATACAGCAAGATGTTGAAACTTTCGATCTCCTAGACGAATTCTGGGATGCGAGTTACGTTGGAAATTTCAACTTGGCTATTGCTTTTGCAGCTCACGGCGTGGCACCTCCAGACCCTCCCTTTTGGTCGATGACCGTCCATCACTTGGCGGCATCTTTGACAGATCAGAAATACTCCGTCCAGCTATTGAGACACGCTGTGAAGACCCACTCTTCACTCAATGAAACCCCTGGAGGACTTGAGAGGTACTCGGTTCTCCATTTTGCTATCCAAGCTTTCAACCTCAAGGCCTTGAGATACCTCCTAGAGTCTGGCATCGGGTTTGGACACTATATGGTCGATGCCCTTGGTAACAACCCACTCCACTGTGTATTTCGACTTGCATTGGAATCGGCAAACAACGGGACTTTGAGGACTGCATGTAAAAGAATGGCGGACGAGCTCATGGACAATCACGGGTTTCACCACCGCATGGTCCGAACTTGCTGGCCATACGAGTCACCAGTCCTGATTTTGGCTCAATCTGCCCTCATAGATTGGAGCGGCAGGCAATACATGATCAAGTATCTACTTGAAAAATGCCTCAATAGTGAAGCGGGTATGAAGTTTCACCGGAACTATGACCCTACAGTCCATCAAAACACTCTGAACATCCCTGATGCGTGCGGCAACACTGTACTGGCATTTATTGCCCAAGCCATCGTGGCACACGGGGGTAATGATGCCATGGAAGGTTTATTCAATAAGATGATCCGTCACGGAGCGATGATCAACCTGGACATCAACCCCGGATATAGACCGCGCAAGTACGCCCACTCTATCAAGTACATTGTCCAAGCCGCCGAAGGATGCACCAAATTCAAGAAGCAGGTCGACAGACTCGGTGGTAGTCTTCACCAGGCCGAAATTGATGGTACTGCTATGGGGTACGATGGCATCCAACAGCGAGATCATGTGCCACATGTACACTCGCTGCCTCCAAATCATCTCTTCTCCCAAGGCTACCCCTAGACTCAGCCTATGTCACTGATCAACTCAAGATGCCAAAGATGTGAGCCGAAGCTTGGTAAACCGCCTTCTGGTGCATAATTGGCGCTTCAGATCGATAACCTCGGGAAGCCTCCTGGGAGACACATTTGAGAACCCTTATCTCTACTTATTACCGAAAAGAAGCTCTGTACAATGCATGTAATTTCATCATATTATTCTTTTTTGGGCGCAAGATATCGGCATACAAAGCATCTTAGAGATTACCTGAGACGGCTATAATCAGACAAAATGGGGCATGAGGCCGAGAAGGAATTGGCAAATCTGGTGCAACATGCCGACACGATATCGCAATGCAAAGATTTGGGTGTATGATAATTGTAATGGGGGAACATGTACAGTAATTGCTCGCTAGAGAATAAAATAGAAGAAAACCCACCAATGATTACTTGTTTCTGGCTGTAGTGAGTTCGTAGTTGACCTTGACCCATCTAGTCTAGGTAGTGAACCTAGGGGGAGGAAAGAAAACTCAGGACCTGGATCCTAAGTGACAGAAAGAGATTAGGTAGGTAACTTAGTATAAGTTTACCTAGGCCAAGGTTGACTTAGGATACCCTTTGCTGAGTTTGTTTTGACGCCGTATATCAAGGATCAATGGTTTCTTGCTCCCCGAGGCCAACCTCTTGGTGTCTTGGACGAAAGCTAGACCATGGCGATAGATAAGTAGGTGACCAACAAGTGCATATTTCGAGCACTACGATATCGGACTTCCTAATCAAGCGTCATCATGGAAAGATCTACACATCTTGATTGAGTCTAGTCGAAGCAGCACACAAGTCATGAGACACATTGCCTAGAACAGCAAGTCCTCTAAAGATAACAGCCTCCGGGTGAAGATCAAAACTTGCGTGAGGTGGATGGGGATGCATTTTCCCTTTCTTCTCTGCCTGTATGTGTATGCATGCTTCGACCTCTGGGGGCTTCTCTTCTCTCGCTCTTCTTCCCTCTCCCATCCTTGCAGTCTACCTATTTCAGGATAAACAACAGTTGACACCACAAACACCACGAACAAAACCCCACGAAGACCTATCTACATAGAAAACAACTCCCCCCTGTCAGTCCTCGGACGCAGACTTCCCCAAAAGGCAGGTTACCCAGCCTCTCATCCCCACACTCTTATTCTCCATCCAGAAACACCCCATGTCGATCACCGGCACTACCTTATCAGCGTGGCAGCATCTCAGCCTTTGACTGGACCCTGCAGCCTGCACTTTATAACTCGGCACTGAATTAGACGCTCGATATCCCGATAGTCATCTGCTCGCCTATCACGATGCCTCGTGCCTGAGAGATCTACGGACTTGAAACCCATATACGTGCCTCGGTGAGGATGTTATTGTGCGCCGGATGTATGTCCAATAAGGAAGGAGCATGAATTCTGTGGTTTTGTGTATATGCTTGGTCTTACATGGAGATGGTGATGTGATTAGAGGAATGCCGATATGGTCTCTTGGCTTGAGTGGTATAAAGACGCTTGTGTAACGACCCAGCTATGTTATTCAATGCTCTTCACCTCTCTCTTCATCCCTCTCCGAGTCTCCTGTCCTCAATCTGGCATCTCAAGATGAAGTTCTCCATCGCTCTCCTCGTTCCTGTTGCTAGTGTCCTCGCCGCACCTACACCCGTATGGCACTCTCCACTATACCTCTCATGATATTATCTCTGACATGTCTAGCCCGGCATTCCTAGTGACTCTACCGCTCGCTCACTTCTGAGCGGTCTCACTGTCGCCGCTTCCACCAACACAGGCACCTATGACCGAGACCTCTTCCCTCACTGGGAGACCTATGAGGGTGCTTGCAACACTCGGTGATTGCACCCACATCAGGAGACATGCGTCGAGATACTAACAGGCCTGTCAGTGAGTACGTCTTGAAGAGAGACGGCACATCCGTTGTCACCAACTCGGCCTGTGCTGCGACTTCCGGCACCTGGAAGTCTCCCTATGATGGAGCCACCTGGACACAGGCCAGCGACATCGACATCGACCACATGGTTCCACTGAAGAATGCTTGGATCGTAAGTCCCCTCGCCAACACCTGGAGACACCAGCTAACACATCCATCCTAGTCTGGAGCCGCTTCGTGGACCACCGCCAAGCGTACTCAGTTCGCCAACGATGTTACACGACCCCAGCTGTGGGCAGGCAAGTCAATCCAATGTTGTACGCCCCAAGAACAAACAACAAGCTAACATCGTCACCAAGTTACCGACAATGTCAACCAGGCAAAGAGCGACAAGTCTCCTGATTCTTGGAAGCCTCCTCTGACCAGCTTCTACTGCACCTACGCCAAGAGCTGGATCCAGGTTAAGAGCTACTGGCAGTTGACTATTACCAGCGCCGAGAAGACTGCTCTCGGTTCCATGCTTGACTACTGCTAAGTCAATATGATTTGGGAAGTGGTTCACAGGGAGTATTGTACATATTGAATCAGGTGCCTCCAATAGCTCACGGACTGGCAACGTTATATAAACCACGAACCGCAATATTCTGCTACTTCGGATTCTACAGTGAAGTCTGAAGATCAAGTTGAATTGGGCTTCATGTGAACCACATGTGCAAAGATATTGTCAAAACATCCAATCTTCATATTCAGTGATATATTCATATATCGTCCCAATATCATTACAAAAAAGAGTATTAATTTTATACGCATCCAATTACCAAGGCATTAAAAACGCCCCGTCTTCTCCACCATCAATCAGCCCAACGCTCTCTTTTTTGTATACGCCGCTGAATTATTCGTGAACCGCAACATCTGGGGGTATCAGGGCTGTTTGATTGCCCTTGAGCGAGAAAAGAAAAAAAAAAATAGCAAAATAAAAGTGTCAATACCAACTCCAAATATGCAGCAAACGTCAAAAAGCTGATGCGTCTGTATGTATGTATGGTTGTTCGTACATAGACCGTTTCAAGGTCTCAATGTTACATCCCCTTCATCGTCGCTGCTGACGTCCATGTCGCCTTCACTGAGTTCACCTCGCGCAGCCCTTTGCGCCAAGTCCCTCTCGTGATAGATTTCTTGCTTCCTCGAATCAGCTTGTCTAAGACAGTCGACATATGTCGTGAACTTGACGATTTCGCGTAGTAGATACGCGCTCTTGCGCTCCCAGTTGGCCATGGCCTTCACAGCGTTGCTACCTCTAGGGGTAAAAGCCAGAAGCATGGGGCTGCGCAGTCGGTTGTGCGTCTGTAGTTCTGCCTCGATCCCTTTGACATATGTGTCCAGAGTCTGGAGCTGCTCTGCTTCAGGCTGGTTGCTGGGCCGCATGCTCTGGGTGGGTGGTGCCCATTCGGCAATGTGAATTCGATCGCCTGGTAGCTTACCACGTCCACTGTTGTTCGTGAAAGCACCTGCAACGTGATCAAAGCTTGATCCGCGGAAACTACCACTATTAACACTTGACCTCCGGCCGTGTGCTGCGCTGCTTCCGGGTCGCGATGTCTTGCCAGTCGTAGTCTCGTTGATAGCCGATACCAAAGCGTTGTTGACAATGGCCTCACTCCACCCATACTCGATGTTACTTATACCACCGGTCAATGGATGGGTACTCAAACGAGCGCTCCAGTAGTTGGCTGTGGTAACAAATTCCTTGCAAATCTCGGGTGTGCCGACTTGGAATAAGTGCACAGCGCCATTAGGAAGGCTCAGCGCCCATACATGTGGGCGGGCCCGAGAGTAACCTGGCGGTGGAAGCGCAGATGCAAGAGTCTGTCGTAGGTTATAGCAGCCCAGATTCGTTGCGTTATCTTGCCAATTGCCGCCGCCGACAATAGCAGGGGCACCGCCTGCGTTTCTGCCGCGGTTTCTCGAACGGACAGATTTGTTAGGCTGGAATGAGAACAGATTCAGCTGTCCCTTTTGAATGACAGCAAAGACTTCTGACCAATTTCTGGCCTTGGCCTTCTTATCCACGCCATCCAGGTGGTGCTTGTGAGTGACCATTCCTTCCTTAACCCATGGGGGTCCAGCAAGTTCAAGAGACTCGTCTTCAAGGAGCTGAGTTGCCGGGATCTCAGAACTCATGATGGATGGGGCACCGTCCCCGTACATTTCTTCATCTCGAATGATGGCCTGACTCAGTGCATTTGCAAAACCTATCGACTGCTGATAGTCCCCACGAGGGAGGTGAGAGCCAAAGGAGTCTTGTGAAACCGATGTTTGGGTCCTCCCAAGAGAGTGGCGGCTCCATGTGGCAGAGGACGGTGTAGGACTCCACAGTGAATTGCCATCATCGAAACTTGTACGGCTGGAAGAAAAGCCGTTGCGGCTCATGCCAGCGCGAGATCGACTCTTGGATGTCCACCTTGCTGTATTGGCTCGACCGTTCTCATTGATTCGGCCGCGAACAGATAACTGGCTCTCGGAGGGAGCCTTACTAAGGACGCTGGGAGTTCTCTTCAGCATTCCCATTACAGAGAGTCCTCCACTGTGGGAAGGCTGTAGACTGGCGTTCTTCTCAGATTCAGCGCCAAACAAGGGCAGCCTTTCATCTCTGATAGAGGTATAAATTCCCTTGAGGACAGTCTCTATCTGTTCCTCCCAGGCCTTTCTCGTGCCATTAAAACGGGACTTGACCAAGGGGCCGCAGTCTTCAATGCCCTCACCAGGTAGAGTACCCGAGTCCGCACGAGCCGGGGGTCTGAATGAGTTTCTGAAGGAACGTCGGTCCTGCTCAGAAGGCGGGTCCTGGTTCTCACCAGCCGCAAGACCATTCTTGTCTGGAAGAATGCTTGGGCGGTGGAAAGCATCAGGGGCGGATTCATCGACAGCCTGCAAGATGGTTGTCATGGTATTCTTGATAAACTGACTGCGGGTCATTTTCGACTCAATATCAGCCAAATGCAGGTCAGTATTGAGCAGCATAATTGAGTAGCAAATGGTATGAATCACATCTATCACAGTTAGTTTAGAAAATCATCGGGTAGCTCATAGGCTTACCAGTTGCCTTGAACCCATGGTTAGGATTGCAGTCACACCATCTTTTAGAAAAGGCCACCAGGATGCGATCAACTTGCTGAGTCTCGGCCCGAAAAACCAATCGTCCACAAACTTGTCTCAGTGCTTGAACAATGCTCTGGTTAGTAAAGTCGTACAACTCCATGTAAGCTTGAAGTGTACGTTGTCTGATCGGGCCCTCTTCGCCCATCCACGAAGCGGCCTTCTCCTTCTGGATGAAGTCCTCATTACCATCGTAGATCTTTTGTGCCTTTTGACGATCATCTTCGGTCGGGTCCCCGATGACAAACTCGGGTTCGTCAATACCCTTGTTTTTAATCGAGTCAAACGTGCCAAGTACTTTGGGACTAGGGTCTGCCGAGCTTTCGATCCTCACGCTAGGGGGAGCACTGAGAGCAGACTTATAATCTGTACCAGTTGAAGCTGATCCTGGACTAGAGGCTCGAGCTCCTTCGATCGGCAGTGCCAGGTTGGAGCGGTCTGGCTCATCCTCGGAATCGGATTGTTGTGGGCGATGGGAAGGCTTCCTGGACCCAATTTGGTCTTTGCCAGGTCGAGGAATGTCTCTTGCTGGAGTGTTATCGGGCAGCTTGGACTGGGTTTGGGATACGCTAGCAGGCTTTCGGTTCGAAAATCCACGTTCATCCTCATTATCACTAGCCCCATCAAGGTTCAGGAATGAGTTATTTCGCGACTCGATCGCTTTGGTAGGTCTTTCAGGTGGAGGGCGGGATGGTGTACTGTTGTTATTTCGCTTGTTGAGCTGCTCATCAGACTCTGAACGGACTGCTCTGATCCTAGCATTGGGGCTTGGCGAATAGTCAGGCGAGAACTCTCGCTGATATCCTTCTCTTTCTACGGCCCTGTCGTCTCGCTCCGGTGTCATGTTGGAAATATCGGCCAGTGGAGATGGTCCTTGAGAAGCAGAAGTTCCCGGAGCACTCTGACCGGACCTGAGATACGGGTTCATAACCTTGCGTAAACTGCTGACGGGACTTGGCTGTGGTGGATAGTTGCCATCTCTATCCTGAGGAGCCAGGTTAGGTGCAGCTGTAGGGACGGGAGCTGCAGGCATTGGGGGTAGAGGAGGAGTATCTTCAGTAACGGACTTCTTCCGCCGACGGAAGAACGAGGATGGTTTCTTTTGTAGTACGGGGTGATGAGAATGCGATGACGATGTGTCGCGAGATGGTGGTGCCGATGCACTGCCAGCCATCTTGTCGGCAGAGGGATTCGATTGTGGTGCCGGAGGGTTTGTCGTTTCGTTGTTATGTGAGTTATTGCGGGACGATCCAAACACCCTCCTGAAAAAGCCTGGACGCTCCTTGACGGGTGCAGGTGCATGTGTTGCAGGCGTTGGGCCGCTGTGCACGGTCGGGTCCTTTGATTTACCATAGCCAACATTGGGTGCAGGCGCCGAATCAAGGTCCAGGGCTGGCACAGCAGGTGTAGGCTCCCGGGAGGTGGCAGGCTTGCGTCCCGACACGCTCTTCAGAGAGCGACTGCTGCGTTTATGATCGAGTGTCGGGGGCTCGAGAGGTGGAGGTGGCATTGGTGGTGGGATAGACGAGGGCATTGCCGACATCGCAGGGATCGACGGCTCCCGTCGTGGGCCGCCCGGGACGGTAGGGGTCGGTGCTGCATCGTATTCGTCGTCGATGTAACTATTCGGGAATTCGACTCGAAAGGGAGGCGGTTCAACAACTGGAGCCTGTGCTGCTTGCTGTTGAGGTCCATAGTCAAAACTTGCAGATCTTCCAAACCCGCGTCCATATCGTTGAATTCCAAGTACCTGAACATAACCAGCGTCAACACTAGCGGTACTACTGCTCTTGCTGCCCGGTTTGCCCCCTCTCGAATGCATGGCTCTCGATGAGCCTGCTCTGTGACCTTCGCGAACGCTATTGAGGCGCGGGAAACTTGATTGGAAATTGGAGCTACTATTGCTCCGCCGGCCGCGACTCGATATACGACTAGAATCGTCTGCTCCTTCAAGATCCGAGCTATAGGAATATTGGTGACCGTTGGATCGGGGGGGGCCTGCGACAGAATTGGAGGCTACCCAACTTCTGGTCTGCTCGGCGGCGCCAAACTGGGGCGAGGTCTCGTCGAAGGTATGTGTACGGGATGCAGGTGTGGATGATGGGTCGTACTTGTCGCTCAACTGTGCCATGGAGAATTGGTCGAGAGACATGAGCATATTAGCCACGAGGGAGTCTCGGGTGACGTTGCGAGGAGACAAGGATAGATCGTGGGAGTCGCGCTGGGTGGATGATGGAGGTAGACGGTCGGCCATATCGTCCTCGACGGGAGTGGGATTCTCTAGAAAGGACTCATGCGCGTGAGTATTGGGGGCGGGTAACCTGGTAGGCGCCCGATTGTTGTTGCTGCTACTGTTGTTGTCGGAATTCGTATGGGCTAGAGACCTTGACTTAGATTTGGACTTAGACTGGGACACGCGGTATTCTGAATTCTGGGGAGGCGGCGTCCGTGGGTGCGGAATGGCGTCCCTTTCCCTCGACAACGGCGAGGCAAGGGATGAAGTATTTGTGTTGATGTTCAGGTCGGTATGAGGCCGACGTCGAGTCTTGCGACGAGCATTGTCGTTGGAGGATGAAGTTGAGTTGGACGGCATCTTGACTCGATGGGGGCCGGGTCGAGAAAAGGGCTTTTTTGTCTGGCTGGTCTGCTCAGCTCAGCTCCCTTGGCTCGCACTCTCACCTGCAACCTGCAGAGCTAAATCTCCTCTCACCAAACCAACCCAGGCCAATCTGAGTAGAGGTAGGCTAGTTGAGTTAGCAAGAGAAGCCGGCTTCCGCATGGGTCACCAACAAAAAAGCCACGCGCGAACGATTGGGCCAGTTGGCTGTTGGCTTTGACGAACAACGGGGGCCCAGGAATTGTGACGTGCAAAGTTGGCTGATGCTAAGTTGTATTTCGACTCTCGACGGCGCCGCGAGGAATTTCGAACTAGCAGCACCAACCAGTCTTGCGGTACAAAAGTTGGTAGGTAACGAATGTAAGTATAAGTGCACAGTACCTGCGTCTTGACCATCAAAACAATCATCCCAGTCGAGCTTCGGCGATAGATCTAGGGACTAATTCGCTGCAAATTTGTTCTTTTCGGTACCAACCCAGGGGGGAGAAGTGCCTGTAAAGAGGGGCGACAAGGGTATTTGATGCAGGGGGGAAGTAGGGGTGTCAGTTAATACCTAGAAGTTGAACTCATGAACGCCGGGAAGTACCTGGTACGGACTAAAATGAGAGCAACTGAAAGACTGAGGAATGCTCATGAAACGTTCAGAGGAACGAGGATACATATGCACGTGAACCTATCCGTTCGAGGTTACACAGTGTCCTAGTTAGAACTCAAGACCCAATAGACGAACTTGTTTTGATCTTTAGGCGCCGTTCAAGTGCGTGTCCGTATGGATTCAATGTTTGCGTGGTACCAGTGCAGTTAATGAATGGAGATTGTAGAAGCACATCCACGCACGTATGGATTGGATTGGATGCCAGGTATTTGGGTGTCAGTGGATATCATCACCACAACCACCTGAAAATGAATCTACTGACTAAAAGCAACCAGCAGGGCAGGGCACGATGCTGCAGAACGATGAGTGATCCAGAATGTATGTATGTAAATTCATCAATCCTTGCTTCACCTAAAAACGCCAACCCAACCGGAGAATGTCCCATCATCACTCCATACCTTATGTATGAATGATGATGTGCGCTAATTCCCGCCAACCTAAACTTGAATGAACGTAATTCAATAAAAACGAAACCTTGTTAGGCTTTCAAACAATGTCAATCGTAGAGCCAGAATCAAAAGGATCCAGCCTTGCCGCTCCCGAGTCAGTAAGTAAACTCTAATACTCGACGGATACAAAGTCAAATCGATCAACTATGGCAAAAGATATAGGTAGTGCCATCACTTGGAGAGTGCGTGAGTCTTTGGGCTTTAGCCTTCTATCTTCTCTACTTCTCCAACCTTTTTTTCTGGAGCTGTCAAACAGACTGTCCCAGCGGGCTGGGCTGGGCGTTGAGGCGAGTCCAAGGACCCTTACAAGGAGGCCCCTTTTTCTCTTATTACTGCACTATCGACTATACTCCCCCAAATGCGCGCGAGCATCTTCATCTGCCGCGGCGCCGTTCCTCTTCGGCTGGATTGCTCAAGTGGACATGAAAGGGGGAAGAGAACAGGGATCCTGAGGAACATCGTTCCAGATCAGAATCAGAAGCAATGGAACACGGTTGAACCCCTTGCGAAGCCATGTGGCCAGACTAAGCTTAGAAGAGAGTCTTGGTTGCATTCAACTCACAACGTCTGTGTCTGTGCTCACGGGTAGGCTCCTCTCCGAGGTACGATAGTGAATTACTATCGTCATTGAGTCGGTCGGTGAGATACCAGTAGTACATAATTAACTCAAAGATGTTTGTATGTAAACAATGAACCTAGCAGCACACTCTCGGATCTCTTCCGTGGACAACCATTCCATGCAACTGTGACATAGCATCATTTGCAAAGACGCGCCACAGGCTGAACAGAAACCACCAAACTATATGCATGGCTAAGATGGCGTTCATCGTCTTACAGAAGTAGAAACCAGAAGCCAAAGCGTGCGTGCATATAGTACATAGATACATACATAGACCGCCGAGTACCACGATCAGCTCGAACATTTTCCAGGAACAGATAGGTAGTTAACCCCGATAAACTGGATATCAACATTGGTTCTCCCTCGAAGTGGACATGTTTCATCATTGGTTTGTCGCGGCTGCAAGGTACGTGAGACATGGGTGGATAGAATGCGCTTGGTACTATTCACTATTCGTTGGCAAGTTGTAGTTGGAGTTGATCAATCATTTTCCTGCGATATTGCTCATACGCATAGAGTCTAGTATTTTGACCGTTTCTCATAGTGTCGTTTTACTAACGTACTATAATAAGTATATAGTAGCTACCGCTAGACTGCTGTGGCCTTGGTTAATCTGATCTATATTTACTGAATCATTAAAGTTCTCCCTGACTCTGCGTTATTGGTTGCATTGTCATCGTCGCATAGTAGCGAGTTCCATATAATTTCCATGACTCAGACCTAGAGCTTTGTAGAAGACATGTTATCTCAGTGTGCTGTGATCACGATAGCTTCATGTTCTCAAACTGAATGACAGGGGCGTAAAGAACCGAAGTACATATACCCAGTAATTGTACCAGCCAAGGTCAGCGCTGCCGACCCCGCACAGCCAGGTGACAGTTAGCTTATTAGCCCAGAATCTCTAGCACATTCAATATCAGAAGCCCACCTGGGAAAACATGAATCTTACATGAATCTTGCTTTGAATGATCGCCAGAATATTCCATTACTACTGCAAATGCAACCTATCACAGGCCAGACGGCCTTCTCACCATCGACCACTTTCAAATAAAGTGGCAACTGCAGAAGAAGTCTCTGTATACTGCGGTATTCCACGCCAAGCCGTATGAACTTATCAAAATGGCGTCTTTCATTGCAGACAATTCTTCATCGCCCTCCAACAGCTGGCCACTGGATCAGTTCGTCCAAGATCCTGGATATCTCGCATACCAGGAAGAACTTCGATGCCTCATCTTCAACACAGCTCAGACTGCAGCACCATCCCGCGAAACTTCACCCACGCTTGGAAACTTTGGGCCAACGGACGAAGAACTGGCAGCTCAGGCTCAGACAAAGACAGCCCTTGCTTCCGGACGACGACTTGAATACCTCAAGAACTATGTCGCCCAAGTAGCTCCCTGGGTACTTACATCATGCGTGTGCTTACTCAGTTACTAACACGCTACAGCTCGATATGTTTGATAGCAACGGAGCATTCACTGTTCAAGTACCAGTCCTTGCTCGAAGTTGCCCGGCTCTTCTCTATGCAGTGCTCGCCCTGTCCGCACGTCAAATGGAGCGTAAAGAGGCGAGGCAGCATTCGTTCGACAGTCTAGAACTCTACCAGGAAGCCATTCGTCTCCTTAACCCCCTACTTCAAGCCCGAGACCTCACAATAATCCCGATATGCGTCATTCTCTGCTGTCTAGAAATGATGTCCGCAAGTCCACAAGACTGGCGCCGTCACCTCGAAGGGTGTGCTGCCCTCTTTGATTCATTTGACGTCAACGGTTTTAGTGGCGGCCTCCTACAAGCTGTCTTTTGGTGTTATGCAAGAATGGGTTTGTGTTATTCTTCAAAGTTTCTCTCCTGTGTCGATGTTGACTTTGTTTTAGATCTATGCGGTGCGCTCATTTCTGATGGAACTCAAGGCACGCTGGTACCACTGGACAGATGGTTACCTCCTGGCTCGGATCCCAACTCCGCTGCTGACATTTTTCGAGACCACCGCTCACCAGATATGCACGCCAATTACTCAGTATATCTCTGCTCCAAGGTCTGTGAGCTCGTTGCTGACCGCACTCACTATGTCGAGCTTGGGGAGAACAATGGTTGCGATTCTGCAACTTTTGAAAGACGGTGGCTACGACTCTGGCACGATCTTCAAACTTGGGTGGAGGATCGACCAGCAGAAGTGGTTCCTGTCCAATTCATTGAAAGTCGACCATTTCCCCAGATCCTCTTTGTTCATTGGGCTGGGATCTCATCTAATCAGCTTTATCACACAGCCTGCACGCTGTTGCTAGAATCGAAACCTCGGGAGGTCAAGCTTGACGTGGGATCGACAGGATCTTCCATCTGGCATGCCAAATGTATATGCGGTATTTCCTTGACCAACCCCCATCAAGGCTGTCTCAATAATGCCATCCAGCCGCTTTGGATTGCAGGGAGACTTCTCAGTCACAAGTCAGAACATTTGCTTCTCTCCAAGCTGATCCTGAGCATAGAGGCGATGACGGGGTGGGCGACTAATTGGCGCATAACCGACCTTGAACACGCATGGGGTTACAAGGTCAGATGAAGTGTCTATAGTCTCCCCTCTTCACTACTGTACAAACAAATCACGGGAAACGGTTGAAGTCGATACCATCACCAGCCAACGAGAAGGGGATCCAATGAGTAATAAGTCATGAGTCTCATCTATTTAAAATCCTCCAGGTTATTAATTATATCGCCCAGTCCCCGGCTTAAGCAAAGATACGGAGAGGAAAGTTAGGAAGATGAAAGCCAGGATCGTTGAACCTTAGGCCGCGGTCTAGAGCAGAGATGCTCCCAATCTCTTCTTGAGAAAGGTCAAAACTCACAACATCCAGATTCTGCGCTAGGCGGCTGGGGTTGTTTGATTTGGGAATGACGGCAATGTTGCGCTGCGTTGCCCATCGTAGTAAAACCTGAGCAGGAGTTTTGCCGTATTTTCCAGCAATGCCCTTGATGAGGCTAGACTCAAGGAGAGGCTCGGCACCGTGAGCTCTCTTAGAGAAGATACCGGGGAGCTCCTTGAAGCTTTGGGGCCCAAATGACGAGTAGGCTGTGACCGCGATATCGTTCTCTTGAGCCATAGCAATGAGGTCTGGCTGGACAAGGTAGGGATGGTGCTCGATCTGCAGAGAGGATATAGGACGACGAGCGTAGCGTTGCACATCATAGAGAGACTGGGCTTGGAAGTTGGACACGCCGATGGACTTGGCGATACCTTGTTCGACAACTTCCTCGAGCGCCTCCCATGTCTCGCGAATGGGGACTTTAGCCGGCTTGACAGTACCTTGATCATTCATCCACCAGGCCTAGACGAATATTGACCAACATGCACAAAAAGAATCCATACCAAACATACAGGATAGCGACGTTTCTCAGGCTCAATATACTCGAGGGCAACCGGGAAGTGGATGAGAAAGAGATCAATATTTCCAAGACCCCATGCCTCATTCTGGGATTGGGCAAAGGCAAGGGCATGTTCTTTCGCATGGTAGTTATTCCAAAGCTTCGTGGTGACAAAGATATCTTCACGCTTCACAAGTCCCTCCTTGATAGCGCGCTGGATACCCTGGCCCGCTTCCTTTTCGTTTTGGTAATCGTATGCTCCGTCGAAGAGTCTGTATCCGGACTTGATGGCCTACTGGTTGTTAACACAGTTGAATCGTGAATAAGTATGGGTTCTCACATTGTAGACGGTCTCAGCTGCTTGGTCGGCGGGAACTTTCCAGAGGCCAAAGCCAACCAAGGGCATTTCATGGCCAGATGCGAGCTTGATAGTAGAGGGAGCCATCGTTCTGGATGCAAGTAGCCCGATCACGATCTAGATTATTTTGACTGGTAACTAGAAAATAGAAAAAGGCGGGAATGAGACTTGGAGAGAGCGTCTTGAGCTGCTCTCTTATCAATTCTGCCCTCCAGTATCCGCTTGACCAGCATCTCGAAATACCTGTCATGATAATATCAAAACTAGTTCAGTACTATCCCAAGTCATAAACAGAAGCAAAATCCCTGCCGCTTCCCGACGCTTAGTTATTCCTCATTTGGCAATATTTGTGAAGCTAACGAGTCAAGACCAGCCACGAAAACCCCATGTCATACCCCATCTCCCCAGGTTCCACCCCACGTAAATGCTTCAACTTTCCCACTTTGGAGTTGCAGTCTTTCTCATATAAACACTTTATTTACGATGGGAGACGCTGAGAATGAGTCAAAGACCCGCCTGAAGAGAACGAGGACAGGGTGTCTCAAGTGCAGGGTACGAAGACGGAAGTGTAAGTCAACGATCTGGGTAAATGTCATAGCGGACACTCACTAAATTATACCTTAGGCGATGAAAGGAAGCCTTCGTGCCAACGATGTGTTGGTGGAGGGTTCGAGTGTCAGTATGGCACCAAGCTGTCGTTTCTTCAAAAGAACGCGAAGACGTCTTCGGGTCCTCGTAACGCAAAACAATCGTATGCTAAGCTGAGGGTATGTTGATCAAGGACGTTGATTGAACTATGCCTGCTAACATAAGAACTAGTTTGTTGTGCCAGAAACAGCAACGAAACCTGGTACCCATGCACATCGTAACGGATTCGCCTTGAGCGAGGCTGAAAAGACAGAGAGCTCATCTACAGAGGTAGATACAATTGTTGCTGCGCACAAGATTCAACAAACAAACCCACCCGAACTGCCTGCTCAGCCTCCGTCACCAGCGATAATCAGTCCCAGCATCGATACTTGTGTCACATCTCCTCGAGCTCCTTCTCATAGTCTACAAGACTCTGTAGACTTCAACCTAGTTATTTCACCCTCGAATGCAGCGTATGAAATTGCCCTCGACGGACTCCTCGCTCTTGGTAACGATCACTATGTATCCCGTTCAGCACCTGCAGTAGCTCAAACCGGCACCAATGGGGGACTACTCGGACAGCTTCCACAGAATGTGCAATTAGAATTGAGAGATAAACCTCGTGAAGATGTCTTCCCCAATTGTCTTCATATGCCACAGGATCGTGCTGTTGAGCTGCTACGACACTACAGATATAATATTGCGCCTTGGGTAAAGTTGCCCCCTCTTGTCTCTGGGAACGATCTAACATATCTCACAGCTTGATATCAACGACCCAGACCAGACATTTGGTTTGTTTGTCCCACGTATTGCTATGAACTCTGTTTCTGTTCTTGATTCTGTCCTCTCCCTTTCTTTGGAAACTCTTGGAGATCGTACCCAGCTGGATCTAAATGAGCAGCCCTTGTTACTTGATACGAGCACTTCCCGCATCGATATCCTCTGCTGCGTTCTGGTCTTCACCTTTACCACCCTCCGCCGACAGTTCGCCACACAACCGACCTCTTGGTTAAGCCCGTCTAAGAGTACAGGCTATGAGGCAATCAACTCGACTGCCCTCCAGTTACATCACCCTACTGTCGCACTGGCTATGTCTTGGATGATCCTACGCCTGGGTTGGTTCATATCTCATAAATTTCAAGGCAACTTTTAACGAGTTCAGGTGTTTCTGTCGGTCTTATGAGCGGCTCTTCAGTTCCTATACCCTCCATCGTCTCTCGCGAAGTTTCCTCACCTATGGGCATGCTGAGTAGAGAACCACACAGATGCGGGCGAGAGCCCGTTCTTCTGTGTGCTGAGGTCCTGAATTATTGCTTCGGGGGTGATATCCAGACTGATCCTGACACGATCCGCCTTCCGGCCGCTCACAGATGGAAGGCATTCTCTGAGGCTCTTCAAAAGTGGTACTCAAATCGTCCCACGGACTTCAAACCCATGCTCGAGGCTGAAGACGGCGAACAACTCTTCCCTCTGGTGCTCTTTACCAACGGGTCAGCGATCTTGGCAAATCAGCTGTATCATACATCGATGCTGTTGCTTCTACAGAATCGGCCACGTACCCTCCCGAAGGAGCATGGTCGAAATATCTATCTATCACCGCTATGGCATGCTCACAGAATCTGTGGTATCAGCCTCAATAATGACACGCGGGCCAACTGGGACTTTGGCTTGTTGGCCTCGTTTTATTTTGCTGCTAAGCGGATGACCTATGAACCCCAGCAGCATGCTATTCTGCGAGGAATTGATCGCATTGGGTCGTTGACAGGATGGAATGTGCTCTCATTGTCAGCGCAACTAATGCATGAGTGGCAACCAGATTGAGAAATTCGGGTGTTTGAGTATGCTTCGTCTCTTATGTATATAGGCTTTTAGGGCTGAGAAACGATGTATCTTGTGGCCATGCTTTTAGCCGTCAACTCTACATATCGTTGGAGAACGAGTACATAATTTCAATAGCTAGGTGCCCAGGTGGTATATGTTATCCAGTCACGAAGCCCATGTTTTGGCTCGCCTTGGGATGCTTCAGAAAATGCATAAATGGAGCCTTATAGGCTTATAGAAATCTATTTGTACCATGACGAATGAAGGGTTGAATGGTTGTTGATGTCCGTCCAGAATAGGCAACTTTAAGCCTCGACTAGTCTCTCGGTGGAGAAGTGGGGATATGATAACCTAGAGGCCGGATAGATACCTTACCTTACTGTAGAATAGGTAGAGTACCATCTGCAACACGGACAATGTTGTATGCGAGTAAAACGGGGTGTAATGAGACAAAGATGGCTCTTATTTGCTCTCTTGTTACCTTTGTCACTCTTTCTTTATTACAGTCCTCGCTGAGCCTTTCTTCTCCTTAAACCTTCTTCTCGCTTCGTTCCATCACCATGTGCTCGCTGGCAGCCTCACAACCCCTCACCCATGATACAACACCGATAGCTGATGAGCTCAAGGTGAAGCTCAACGGTTATCCTAGTGATACACAGACTCTCAAGGCTCCCCTACCGAACCCATCCTTGCAGGTCACGGCAGATCATAACTTGAAAAGAGTCGATGCGCCCGTGTATATGCCCAATTCTGGCGAGGTTCTTCTTCAGATCAAGGTCACTGGTATTTGCGGGTGAGATGAGGAATTTCCCGTCTCAAAAGACATTGGTCGCTGATTATGTGGACAGCTCTGATGTTCATTTCTGGAAAACAGGATGTATAGGTTCCCTTGTATTTGAGGGTGACTGTATCATTGGACATGAGGCCGCTGGTGTTGTGATCCGTGTCGGTGAGGATGTTGCAGATCTCAAACCTGGTAAGCAAAAAATGAGAAGAATGAAGTATTATTATGTACTTATACGAATATCTAGGCGACCGAGTGGCTGTTGAGCCAGGCGTTCCTTGCGGCCATTGCTTTCTGTGTAAAGACGGCCGATACAATCTCTGTGAAGATGTACAGTTCTCCGGGGTCTACCCTTATGCAGGAACTCTGCAGCGATACAAGGTTCATCCCGCCAAATGGCTTCATAAGTATGACAAAGTGGAGTTATAAGGCATGGAAGCATTGAGGAACTAATGGCTTTCAGACTCCCCGATAGCGTCTCTTTCGCCGAGGGCGCCCTTCTCGAGCCCCTGAGCGTCGTCCTCCACGGCATAAACTCAGCCCCAATCACACTCGGGACGCCGGTTGTGATCTGTGGTGCCGGTCCTATTGGTCTTCTTGCTCTCGCCGCCGCGCGAGCTTCTGGTGCCCATCCCCTCGTCATCACGGATGTCGAACCCAAACGACTGGCTTTTGCCAAGGAGTTTGTCCCAACAGCTATTACGTATCAAGTTGACATTAGCAAGAGCAACGAGCAGAATGGCAGGGCTGTGAGGAAACTGTTCGGTGAGACAGAGTATGTTCAGCCTAGGGTTGTGTTTGAGTGTACCGGTATCGAGAGCAGTGTATGCTCCGCTGCGTACATGGTACGTCGTGGAGGTGTTCTCATGGTTGTCGGTGTTGGCAGGTCGATTATGAACAACCTGCCTTTTATGCATTTGTCTCTTGCTGAGGTGCGTGATCAAGACTTTTGGTGCTAAGGCGGGACACTGATGATAGTTCACAGATTCAACTTAGATTCATCAACAGATACAAGGACACCTGGCCAGCAGGTATTGCGTGTATTGAGGGGGGCTTGATAGATGCGAAGAAGTTGGTATCGCATGTTTTCCCTCTGGAACAGGCTCTGGAGGGTTTGACTTTATCGGCAGACCCTAAGAATGGGTGCATCAAGGTGCATATCGTGGATGAGGCTGAGACATCGTATTTCTAAAATCTCCAGCAATATGTAGTCTTTGGTCCAACAAGACATCCATTGTTACTCCTACTTAACCAAGGCAGTATTGTGTCTTTAGTTGATGTAGTGAATTAACTGCACCTCAAATAAATACACTGCCTCGTCTTGATAAATATCACTTCTGTAAATATTAATGCCCATAGATCCATCCTTAAAGTACAAGTTGAAGACTTATTATCCTGCGATTTGGCTTCAATACCAGAAATCAAGATAAGGTAGTTAGTACGTACCGCGTAGGTACCAGTGGCTACCCTATAAACTCAGGCCAACCTTAGGTTCCGTCTCCAGCTACCTCTACCTATGGACCCACGATACTGGGATCGTATTAGTGGAAACTGGCACTGAAACAATCCCATTGGCCGCCACATCTTCAACGGCCTCGTCTTGTACAATCATAGACATCTCTTTTTTTACAATTAGGCACCTTAGTCGAGACCATATTCACGACTTGACATTGTAGCGCTCCCTGCCCAAGCCTTTCCGTCTTCTCATCCGTCTTGGCTCCAGTTAGCCACAACCATCAATGCTTTTGATGCCAATGGATGCCCTGGCTGCCGAGCCCACTAAGCCTCAGCGATCCCAGCGCCAAGTTGGTGTGATGACGTCGCATCCAATTCTTCATCGTCAACGGGGGGGGGGCATCTGACATGGTCTTTCGGCCTCTGACTCGTCGTTGCCTGGGCCAAAATCAGGGGATGAGGGTGTCGACATGGAACAAGGCTGAGCATTTTAGTTGCCAACCCGCATACATGCTTGTGTAGATATATAGGTAGTAAGGTACTGTACTATACCTTGGCTAGAGTTGCTTTGCTTCTAGGAACGTCAGCAGTCTTGTTGCATGTGAAGCACCTGCTCTTCGCTCTTGACTTTTTGTCACGCGACAGTTTCTCATAACGTCAGTTGTCTTGCTTCCATATACGGGCTTATATCTAAGTGCCTAGTACCTACTAAGGTGCCTACTAAAATACCAATGGAAGGTAGCCCAGCTGAACAAAAGACAGGCCAGCACCTCGAGTCTCCCAACGCTTCCATACCTCCATACCGCTTCCAACAACTACCTACCGCCTATTTCGATGCTCAATGAATACCTACTAATACCTCACATACATCCATAGCACCACAACTATGGGTGCTACTCAGTACTATCGCTCTCAGATTGGCGAAGAGTCCGTCATCGACTACTCTCATACCGACTTTCCCTTCAAGCTTCTCGCCAAAGACGTATACTATTTCTTTGTCTATGTATGGGCACTGCCATGGGTCATCTGGCCCGTCTATCCCTTCAAATGCAAGGTTTTCGATGAGCTCTATCCATCCCCTCAAAACGTGTTCTGCGTTGTCGTCCACTTGGTTCTATTCTTCCTGCAGCTAGGGTTCATTATAGCCCTGCCATTCTCTGTCGTGTTTCCAGTCTGGATGGCGGCAACAGGTATTGCTGGTTTCATGTTTACCAACTGGCTCATCTGCAAGCTTCTCAACGGTAGTAAGGAAACTTATACCTCGGATGAAAAGTACGCCAAGGCTCGGCCTGAGCACGCCCATGAACAATGGGTTTTCTTGAACGGCGTCGCTGTTGGGTATGATAATCTCAAACTGAAACATGGTATCATCCACTGACGAGATCATAGAGAACATTGGATGCAGTCAAATTTGAACCGGCTTGCACTGACCTTTGGCCGGCCTATTCTAGGTATTCACAACCAGACTCGCGGAATAATATTTGATGTTGTTGAATGTCTGATACAGCGCAATTTTGGCTACGCAACTGGGGATGTGAGAATTTGTTTCAGACTTCTCAAAGACATCCTATATGATGAAAGCAAATCCAAAGTCGTCTTCGTGCTACACTCCCAAGGAGGAATCGAGGGAGGTCTGGTTCTCGATTGGTTGCTCCAGGAGCTGCCACAAGATCTAATGTCAAAACTCGAGGTTTATACCTTTGGAAATGCAGCCAATCACTTCAACAATCCTCATCGTCATCGGTCTTCGCAGATGCTGGCTCGCCTCAAGCCCCTATCTGCGATGAGTACCGTTCTTACCGAGTCTTCTTTCGACTCTCCTTCTGGCAGCCCACTCGAAGCTAAGGATGACCTGGCCCTAAAGACTCGCAAACCCGTCAGGAAAGAATCTTCTGGCGTGTCGACTCGATCTATTTCCGCTGCCAAAGACAGGTGTATCTTGCATGTGGAGCACTATGCCAATAGTACAGATTTTGTTGCCATATGGGGCATACTGCATTTTGCAACGAACAGGATGGAATCGCGGGAACTCCCACGGTTTCAGGGGCGATTGTTCTCTCGGGCAGATGGCCGCCACGGTGGCCATCAGATGAATCAGCATTACCTAAACGCCATGTTCCCTTTGAAGAAGGATGCTGAGACTGGAGAGTATGTGGGAGCTGATGAAGACAATGAGTTCATGAATGAGGCCATCAAAGTCGGTGAAGAAGGCAGTGCCTCTGCCAACGCGAGAGAAGCCTTCGAAATATCATGGGCTGGGACGCAGGGATTTGGGTCTGGCGATGCTTCAACTCCGATTGAGGTTCATGGGATCTCAAACAAAATCAAGGAGGCTAGTGACGATCACGGAATCCGTGTGAAGGATGTGAGTCGTTTGTGGAGTTACAGAAATGGCCGGAGTCCTGCAGAATTACCCCCAATGCTTGTCTCTGAGAACGGTGTGCCTAGAACAGCAACTCTATGAGCTTGGGAGGGGGCAACATAAGCAGATAAGGGACATAAAGAAGAGGCAAAGCATTGAGAAGTGCCACAGCCAGTATACTTGTATGGATATACCCTAAAGCCAGTCATGATGGTTTTGTTTTAATTTAAAAAGACATGGTCGTAACGCGGTCCTTTAAATCTACTTTTTATCCTTTGTACATCATATAATACATATTTGGTTGCAGCCGGGACCTTAGGTCCATGAAATTCTTCCGAGCTCTTACCGTAATGTATCTGGTCGGGGATAACCAGGAGGTTGGCTATTTGTGTTCCGTCTTCTTCGAGTGGCGGTAGCCCGGCTTTCCAGAGCATGAGTCGACTCGCTGATTTCTAGTGGATAGACTGGTTGCGCAGTTGCCGGCTGTAATCTTCCAAATTCAATAATGCGACCGTGGAACTGAATCCCTCCGGAACCTGACCTCACCATGTCCGCGCTATCAGCCTCCGCCTCCGGTCTAGGGCTCGAGGTGATTTCCCTCCTAGAAGCCACTTCGGGATTCCACGGCCCTGATTGCCTCATTTGCCAGGATTGATACCCCACAGAGATATTGTCAGGACTATTTGTGATACGTCGTGCCGAGGGCTCTGTGGCTGTGGCCGATGGTACGCGGCGCGCCCACCTGGGAACAGGAGGGTTGCTCGAGACAGGTTGATCTGATCTGGATGAAGAGTTTCGTGACATGGGCTGAGAAGAGTGACTTTCAGGTCCCGACGAGGGTGGTCGAAGGGTGCTGCTTGCAAGGCTATTTGGCAACGAAGACGAGAAGACCTCCCCAGCAGATAGAGTACGACGATGGTAAGATGCTGGTTGCTGATGATGAGATATAGGTCTGAGGCTGCTCACCGAGTGGCTAGTGATAGGCAGACCCGGTGCCCACTGGTCGATATCTGCATCAAGAGATGTATCCGAATGACTTGCGCGTGGAAGGTCTGTTATGCGATCATGGGTGAGCCAGTCTGCGTTGGCAATCTCCATAGTTGGGATGGTGCCATCTCCTGAACCCATGAAAGGGTTTTCTTCAGCACGCTCACGAGTTATCTCGCGAGGGTGAGAGCCTGGTCGAGGAATAGCCCCCACGCTCTGGCCTCTGACTGTCGGCCTTATAACGTGCTCGACAGGCTCAAAGAGTGGCCTTGACCGAGGGACACTTGGCTCCCTAATCAAAGTCCAACTACCATTCAGGTCGCGTTCAGACACCCTTGGGCTGTTGCCACTTGAACGTCTTTCTGATGGCCGTTGCTGAAAAACCACGCTCCCCATTAGAGTATCGTCATCCTCATGGAACACCGGTACGGGCATGGTACTATCGTAAGGATATGGTGCATCGTTGTCTGCTTCTAGAGAAGGAAAACTAGTGCGCAAGTCCCAAGGGGCTTGCTTTTCTTCCTCGACGTTGTCGTCATCCGGAGTGGTAAAAGAGCTCGACAGAGAAGCACTGTTGCTTTTCTCAAATACCGACACATAAGGTCCCCGAACCCATCTTCCTTCAGAGTCTGTGGTCATTGAGCGTGCCAAAGTCCGAATCTTGATTTGCATATCCTCGAAACGGCCTTGCAAGGCTTGCTCAACGGACATGAGTTCTAGACTCGGCCTATCGACCTCTTCAAGATGCTTCAAAATCCTTCGGCACTGGGTGGCATACCTTCGATAGTCATCTGGAATGCCCATCTCCTTATTGTTCTTGGCACGACTATCTCCGCGGTCAAAAGACTCGAGGAAAACAGCGGCAGCACGTTCAAGCCAAAAATTGTACTGCCCGTCTATCTTCAAGGCCTCGAGAAAGAAGCTTTGCACGATGCCGTGAATCTTGAGCACATCAAGAGGCTCCATTGGTCTTGAACTAGGGATCGTCTCGCCGGGCGTGCTCACCGATGGGACATCTTCTATCTCGTCACGCTCGATGAGAGCAAACGCTATGAGAATGGTGAATGTCTTGTTAAGACTCCGCTTACCCATCGAGTCATAAGTACGCACAGGAGTGCGCTTATCAAGTGCCTTCAGGCCTGGTAAGTTAGCTTCGTTCTGAGAGTGGTGGGGGCCTGATAACATACCAAGTGACAGCATCTCGACCGGCACCCGTCCTCCCCAGAACGCAAGTAGATACATGAGGTTGAGCGCCGCTGTCTCCCCTCGTTCCTTAAGCTTTTCTCGCACAGCTTTGTAAGCGCCCAATCCGCCGGTACGGGGCCGCTTCTTGTAAGATCGGATGTATTTTGCCAGTGGCTCTTTGGTAGCTTTCATTTGACCAGCTGCGGTATGTATGGCTAGTGGCAGACCTTCGACCAACCGAACTACTTCGAGAGCGCGGTCGAGATCGTCCTGAGTCCAAGGTTTCTTCTTGTCCATATCCTCAAGCAGCAATGTGCGAGCATCATCATCTGCCAGGGGTCCGAGTTCGAGTTTCTGGGGATTGTCAAAGTGATGGTCCCCTGCGATGGATGTGTCAGTAGACGTAAGGATCAAGCTTGAGTTTCTCGCATCGGGTATGCAATTCTCCAGATTTGGTGTGTCATATAGAGCTCCATCCAGGATGAGGAGCCAGTTCTCCGATCGATCAAGCCAGTTTCGAACCAAAGGGATCACCTTGCTCGGATTCTGGAGGGTTGTCTCGTCCTGTATATCAATTTCTGCTCGAGACATGGCATGTTTTGCAATCCTCAAGAATCCATCTTCGAGATCTTCAGGAGTCTTGGTGCGTACCCAGAAGACGCCGCACGAGTAGTTATGCCGATGTTTGAAAGCATATTCCCTGGCAAGATGTGTCTTTCCTCCCCCAGGAACTGACCATATGAGAACAGCAGAAGTACCCTGGTCTCTACGCTGTGGGTCCATGAGCATGGCATGAAGATCCTGCAAGTCTTGCTGTCGACCTCTGAAGAGCGAGTTGGGTCGAAAGCGTTCTGGGTGAACGAATATTGATTCATCTCTATTGAGTAGCGCCAAAGATGATCCTTCCAGGACTGGTTTCTTCCCTCTGAACGCTGATATATCTCGACTCAGCACAGGTGTCTGAGTCTGACTTGTGTAAGGCGACATGATCTCGTTTGCCCTTGCCATGGCACGGGCTCGTCTCTCGTCTTCTTCGGCAAGCCATCGTTCCTGGGTAGCAGATGGGGCCCTTTGAATCCACTGCAGTATAGTGATAGCAATGCTACGAAAGCCTGGGGAGTTGGTGCCATCGAACTTGCACATGTTGGAGTGCGATGCCTCTATCCCGTAGTAAGTGACACCAGGCAACTGAGGACCAGCTGAGTTGGCATCAACAATGAAAATTCTATAAAAGAAAGTTAGCTAGGTGAGCAAGCTTCCGACGGGGGAAGGACGGCATACTTGTGGCCCTTGATATCCGTTTTCTGATTCTCGCGAACCATATGAATCTCAAAGCGCTGATATATATCCAAAAAGTGACTGTTGATATTTGCCAAGGTTTCGTTGTCCTTCTTAAGAGTCTTCAAAAGCACCGACTCAGAGTCGAAAAACCTCTTGGGTATGACTGCATCGGACATGGCTTGAAGGATGAGACCCCAAGTAGCTGCATCTGAGCCAACATGGGGTGTTCCTAAGAAGACCAGGCCGAAGGTCGAAACGAAAATGGATCGGAAATGCTCGAGGTGAGGTTCGCGAACATCAGATGAGTAAAGGAGAGCTCGTTTGACGAGAATGCCCCCCAAGCTATGGCATACCCAAATGATGGGGTTCTTGAATGTGCCTTCGCTTTGGCGATGGAGGGTCAGATTTGTTATGAGATTCTGCGCATGCTGGTGAATGAAGCTGTCGCTGGCTGTTTGATTGTTCTTTTTGGAGTAGACGTCTGCATTATACCCATAGACCAGGATGTTAGCCTGGGCACCTCTGAGTGCAACTGGTAATAGGTCCAGAGGCCAGAAAGTTCCATTCTTGGCCGTCCATGTCTTGTCGGGTGTTCCATTGAGCCCATGCACGAGAACAATGTCAACTTTGGCCTCTGGATGAGTGTATACCGCTGTTGTCTCGTAGCGGGCTACTGAACGGTTCTCGGACCCCTATTTCGGCCACTGTTAGTCAACTGCTGCGCGCTGTAAATGAGACTCGACAGGTTCGAGCAGTGAGACTCACCATGATGTGTCGTCGAAAATGGGGAAGCTCGATAGTCGTGGTGTCGTTCCAAACATTGGGGAATCCCTGAACAGAGCTAAGTCGAGCGAGCAAGCAAGCAACCTTGCAAGAAATGCGCGGCTGATCGGCGTATAAATGGCCGCTCGAATCAGAACGAGGCTGTCGACAATTGCGCTGCCTAGACTAATAAGTGACGGGAGTGAGCAATCATTTCCTCTCACCGAGGCTGTGAGTCGCAACCCTGTTATTCTATTTATTGCCGGGCTGAGTGCGACGCGCCATCTTCAACTATTGGGGGCCATCCCATCACAAGACTCATACCAAACTTTAGGTAGATAGATACTGTTGAAAGCTGAGTCAAATGGTGCATATCCGTGTCCGTGTCAGGGGCAGTGGCTGAGCTCGCCCAGCTGAAAGGAGCCTGTAGGGCTTTTTTATCGCGTTGGCCGAATGGGTTTCAGCTAAGACCTTTTTTTGTAGGTGCATTTTCGGCGGCTGCTATAATTGGCAGGGGTGTTCGCTCGTTTATACTGTTGATATTGGATGGATGGATGTAATGAGCATCATATAGATATTTGCTGAAGGGATCCAAACCACGGAAAATATGGGGTTTGTGAGACTGAGATATGTTTCGAGCCTTAAGTGGCTTTTTATATTACATAAAAAAAGTTGAAAATTTGCCCCATCGTTTGGAATCATAGGCTTTTAATTAATTCATATCCTCCTCAAAAAGGTAATATGGTCCCCGCGACCACTACATGACTACCTAGACACTCAAAACATCCCGCCTTAAGCTTCAGGCCATAACAGCTAGTAAAGACCGCAGAGCTACCCGCCTTTTGCTGTAATGTAGGATAATCTTGGAATTTATATAGTTTATGCTTCTTGGCAACCCTTCACGTGCCGTGACATCAAAGAAAGGACATGCCGTTTATCACTGTCGCACAATCTTTGATGTTGACTGCCTTGAAGATCTGGGGATGCCCTCACTCAAACACATACGACCATACCTATCAGAGAACTCTGGGTCCCGTCCGCTCCCCTATAGATAAGCTGATAAGGGGCGGATTAGTAGTTGGGTCGGTGACGACCAGCGAATACCTGCTGTTGTATGTAAGTCTTTTTGCCAGTTGAGTTGTCTGGCACTTATATGGAGTGAAAGAGAAGACTGTGCATCTTCATAAGATTAGACTTCCGCGGAATACCATGAGGCCATGTTCCAATAGTATTCGATCTACACGGGGTTATGTTATGCAGCTTGGATAGGTCTGATCAAAAGCTGTCTACCTATTGAGACAAGATATAGGGGTGAATAGATAAGAGACAACAATCAGACTCGGCAACATGAAACCTGATTTGGTTATTTGAACTTGGAGCCCACTTGCTACTATATGGTAGAACAATCCGTTTCAACTATCTGCTTATTAGTTGGGTAATTTAGCAATAATCGCCTAATTTGTCCTGCACCTAGAGAAATTGAAGACACTGGCCCTATTGGCTTACAATGTATTTTTACAGATGGCCTTATAAAGAGCATCTCAGACTTCACCTCACGTCTAATAACAGTAGCGTCACAGCTTGCCATTCATCTTTCGGGAGGTTGGTTTGCATGGGTAGTTAACTCCGTTAACGTTGAGGGAATATGTGAGAAAAGCGGCAAAAGACATATAGTAGCACCACGAAAATAGTACTGCTCTTGAATAAGACACAAGCATAGGACCAATACCTTTCTTGCCTTCTGTTAAGTCTATCTGAGGTGAAAGCCTCAACTGTTATTGTCCTTGCGCCGATGCAAGAATTTGCAACCCCAATTCGTGAATACAGATCTGAGAAAAATCCCATCCAGACTAGAAGCAGGTTGATACTTGACTCAGTGCCGAGTTTTTGGGCCAAAAACCTCTCTTATGTGGTGCATTCAGGGCTAATACTCATGGACCTAGTCGATATGAATTCAGGCCCCAGCAAGTTGCTTTCAGCCGCAACAGTCATCCAATCTCAACGAGGTTTCCGGGCCATTGCGCAGTTGAGTCATCGCTCAGCCCTTGACTGAAAGCTCGGGAGTCACCCGAGAGCCACCATGGTCCGTGGCCTCATTTTCATGAGATTGGAAAAATCGACCTCTCCTTGTGGGAACATCGCCTCCGCCTCTGAGTGCCTGTTGGCGTGGCTCTAGACCTCGTATGTGTACCCTTCTTGAATGGCCACATTGAACCATGTTCCTTTGCCCAGCTGCTGTCAATGCTAGTGTGCATATGGTCCAAGTTTCTTATTTGTGGCATGTGTGCTTGCCGTATGGTTCCATATTGGACACGGGCCTTGAACCTCCATGCTCGAATGAGCGTTGTTCCATTTTCGTAAAGATCAATCTCTTGGAGCAAGCATTATCACATACTCTCTCGTGCTGTGCCCGAATTGGATCATATCCTTATCCCTGAGCTCCAGATATCTGCTATCTGGGATCTTGCTATCATTCAAAACCGTTCCATTGGCACTTTCCAGATCGATGAGGTACGGCTTGACCTTGCCGATTTTGTCGCCAAACTCGTTCCTTTTCTCAACATAGCGAAATTGAATCACGGCGTGTTGCTTGCTGATGCTAGGATGCTCCGCTGGCAAGTCCACAACTGACATTTCTCGCCCGATGAGCCAGCAGCTCCTCGTGCTGAGCTCTATCGTGTCGACAATATCCTGGCCTTTGAAAACGAACAACTTCCATAAATCGCGTGGCGACGGCTTACGCGCCTCGGAGGGCTCGTGATACTTGAGCGTAATTGTCGTGCCGTCCGCCTGTGCCACTGAATTCGATGCCGCCGCCAAGACGCCTGTGGATCCAAAGTTGGGCTTTTCTTTGGGTTTCTCGGGAGCCTCGCCGGTGGTAACGGCGAAAGAATCTGCCTGAGATGGCAAAGGGCCAGTGCGCCTCACAGGGCTTCGCTTTGCAACCTGTCTGTCGCCTTCCCCGTCATCATCGTCACGTCTTCGCCTTGAAGTCTTATCGTCTCGTGACCTCCGACGTCTGTGTTCGCGGTTTGTGTCTCGTTGACGGTCCCGGCTTCGTGACCTCCGCCGTGAAGTTTCTGGTGTCCGGGACCGTCTTCGCTCGCGTCGGTCGTGTGATCGACGACGTTCTCGGCGTCCGGAGTCACGTTCTGTATGTTTCGATCGACGATCTTCACTGGCTTCGTTGTCCTCGCCCTTGTAGCGCCTTCGGCTGGGCCTACTTCCTCGTTCTTCGTCCGACGCCATTGCGATAATGTAAGGTACACGCAGTTGAAAAAAAATGCAGGGCAGCCAAGATGACGCAGCTGAGATGGGAGAGCTACGTACTGTAGTAGGTAGTGGAGGCTAACTAAGATCTGCAAGCTGCAAGCTGCAAGACAGCCATCAAGAAAAGTGGACTATCAAGTGCGTGGCTGGTACACTAACTGAGGCGGGCATAGAACCGTGGCTTAAGCACGTGGGATGCGCTTGCACATGCCATTTATGATAAAAGTTTGATAAATTTCCAACTGTCATATCAAAGATAAACTCAATGGATCTGCTCTATGCGTGCTACCTCTATTTTCACTTGGGTAGGTAACGTAGGTTTATCATCGCTCATACGCCGCCATAGTACTCCAGTAAGCGCAGTTAGCTGCCTGCAAATCCCAAAAGAACCGGAAAAAAAAATTGCCAAAAATCCCGCTGTGGATATCAAATCTCCTCTCCCAAAAAAAATCCAAAAAATCGAAGGGTACGTATCAGTAGAGTCAAAATGTATCGTCAAGTCGTCATGAGGTGCGAAATCGCCAATCCTTAGGTGGCAGAAGAAATAGCCATGACAGTTATCCTGGAGCCATTGTCAAGGTAGGCTTCAGCATTGGTGTTGAGGTCTTCAGCGCCCTTCCTGGAGACGGTAAGACGCTGCTCGTCTTCGTCCCACCAAACATCATCGCCGACCTCGGCGTCCCCTGGGACTAACAAAAGAATACCATTGTTGCTACCAAGAGCGATTCTGCAAGAGGGGTCCTTCACAAAGGTCTCGAGAAAGGGAACGTCGTAGCCCTGCATCCCCCGCAACGGTCCCCCACTCTCCACAAAGTCTCTGATCAAATTGCTCCTCTCAAGACTCCAGAATTGACGGAAATCTTCTGGGCGTGAGAAGGCGTCAACGTTTGTGAGAAGCTCAAGCATGCCAGCCATGCCGTTGAGGACGGGGCTGAGAAAGTGGACAAAGGAGTTCAGGATCTCCTCGCGGGAGTATCTGGACTCTGTCTCTGTTCTTAAGGCCGGCGACATGGTATTCAAGAGAGTAAGAAGTCGTTCCTGATTCGAAGGCAGCGGTGTTCGGATGTGATAGGCCATGGTGAGGAGAGAGACAAGAGAGAAGGTGGAAGACATGGAGGAGAGAGGGTCGGAGAGTGTGGCGATGCTATCGATGTAGATGGCCTTGCTTGGCTGGTTTGTGAGCAACTTGGAAGGATGCATGTTGCTGGTCTGTCTGGTCTTGCGTCGATAGTATATAGGAGTTATATAGAGTTTGCTGTATAGATATATGAGTTGGTGTTGTTGACGAGGTAGGCTGTGGTGTATATAATAGTGTAGGTAGTAGGTAGATAGGTCAGGTAAGGCAAGGAAGGTAAGAGAAAGATGATGAGCCAGACAAATATCGAAGGACTCAGCTTCTGGAAGGACATACCAGACTATTTCAATGAAAGGCAAAGATCCATTCGACTAAGTTAGAGGGAGTTAAAGCAAAAGAAGCGCCGACTCCCCCCTCCCGTCCCCCTTCCAGAGACGCCATCCCATCTCCGTTGGCTCCGTTTCCTGACCTGTGGTGTGTAAGTGACCTGAGGTGAGAAACAGCCCAGCAGAGCAAAGTGGATGAGAACCCTTAGCGAGACCCTGGTCCCTGGATACCTTACCTTACCTCGAGACAACCTTAGGTGGTTGATTACCCAATAAAGTCACTCATGATAGCAAGGTGGTCGATTGACAGGGCTCCAGGCCCCCACGAGAGGAGCCTCTAAAGCCACGCATCGGGTAATTCCCAACCGAGCTTGGTCTTGACAGTGGCTGGCTGTAGTGGTATGGCCAGTGGAGACAGCGCATCGCATTTCCTATGTCGCCGCCTAGTTACTCCATACGTAGGTAGGTAGTCAAGTAGTAAACTTGCCTGTGAAACTTGTTGAGAGTGCAACTTTCACATGGCAAAAGCTGTCTGCCCATCTCTTGTATGTGATGTCAATTGAGATGAGAGGGTTCAACAAAGATGTTGTACCAGATACGGACGTCCCTCGCCTTACGTGTCATCATACTGTATGTACACCCAAAGATTCCCGTACTCGAGCTATTCCAAGTTTGTTGATATCAAATCAATCGAGCTTGTCCTATCCTGTCTCATGTCCAACCTGGGAGGGATTCTTTTCTCGTCACTCGGGCCTTTTACTCCCTCTGATCCCTTCTTGGCTGACTCCCTCTTCTGTCCCTCCATTATGGGATCGTCTCCCGTCCTTCCCGCGGCTTACGCGCTTCCGACCTTTTCAGGCCCGCCAGATAATGATATAATTATATTTATTTTTTTTTGACAACCATCAGAGCTTTCTCTGGAAACCCCCACCCATGTTTCTGCTCTGTGCCCTCCATCAATGCTTTGCGGGGAGGGAGGTGAGCGGAGCGGATAAAGCAGTTCCATATCAGCCTCTACAGCGACTTGCCTTAGCCTGGTCTCCTCATTGAGCCTAGAATTGAGAGTCTGGTGAAGCTACGCGGCCCCCCAGATTGTCTCATTCATTTGTGTAACCTCCTTATTTGATAAGTACTGTAGATGCAATGCATGTATGTATTTACGTACGTACGTGTCCCCGACTCTACCGAACATGACTTGCGGCGTAGTCTTCGGTCGAATTCACCAGTTCGGGTTCCGTTCCTCTCTCACGTTATGCCGTTTCCATATCAATCTCATCCGTCTCTGTCTCTGACTTTGTCTGTCTTTCCATCTCTCGGATGTAACGCTCCGTTATGTCATGCTGCGTCTCTCGTCACGTACGGTTTCATGGAATCGTCATTGGTTGGACAATCTGTGTGATCAAACACAACCCTGAATGCCCTCACCACAAGTCTCCTGACAACTGTGGCCCTTTTCCGAATAGCGACCAAAAAACAGGTGATTAAATCTATACTTTTCGGTGTTACTCAGATTGCAAATCAGATCTCGTGTAGATCGCATGTTGATATTTGATCAGAATGTTACTTCTGCCGCAGAGCCTCAACTCTCATTCAGCCCTTTCCCATTTGAGTTGAAGCAATAGCCATGAATGTTGGCCCTTTTGATTACTGGAATTGGCTGCATGATCTATTGTATCGGCGCGTTACATTCCAACTCACTAGCCCTTTACAGAGTTTCTGAGCCCTGAAGCTGTTTGTAACACCTCCTCGCATCTCCTGACATCCATATCCTAACATTAGATCTCCGCTCAGACGCTTTCTTGGTTTGTTGTCTTGGATGACATACGAGTGCCGTGACTTTTCTATCTCCTTTCTAGAATATCCTGACTCCGCGGGCCGATTTTTTGATAACTGGGTCTTCACTGATAAGTGCCCACTACTAATGGAATGGATGTTTGACTTTGCCCTGACTTCCCTGGCTACCTAGGGGATCTACTGCCCATGGCCGTTTCAACCATGAATACAATACAGCAGAGGCGGCAATTATAAATAAACAAGGGTAACCTCTTTGCGTTTCCAATGCTTTGATACTATGGATATGAAAAATATGCTGCTATACAGGGTAATACTTCATCGCCTGGTTATTCGATACTATTTCTGTTGAGCCATGGTTGTTCAACATCGTGCCCCCTATTGTCAGGCCCTTGATACACGATCATGGAAATAATGTTTCTAGGTTGTTTGAAGATCTCGTAGATCAGTGAAACGCAAGCTTTCCTTCCACTTCATGTTTTAGTTAAAGCTTGTTCGCTGCATGCTGTGTTACTATTGTTAGTCTCTTCACTTTGCAAGGTTGCCCTTCAGTTTCTAAGTCAGGGTCTTCAGCTAATACATTTTTTCGACGATCAACAATGCATCTATAACAAAGCTTGGCCACGTGTACTTTTGTACTCGAAACACCAAAAAAAAAAAGCCTCGCTGTTCACCGTTTCACCCAGTGGCTCAGAGCCTTGACCGGTCAGTCACTCGGCTCGGCTCGGACTTGAATTCGCCGCGGTGGTGTCTCTACTAACGTTAATGAGACCGTTCAGACAATATGAGACCGCTCGGGGCCATGGTTGCAATGATGTCTATGCAGCAACGCCAGCTCATCACTTCAACACCTTTTAGGATACAATGTACGATACGGCCCCTGTGAAGCACTACAGGATGAAGCTGGCCACTTCCACCGAATGACTCAACCGGCGGGGGCTTACTGGGCACAATACTATCAGGAAGACTACAGCTTTCAAACATTCAGACAGCTCATCCAGCTTCCAAATCGTTCCCTAAAATTCTCCAATAACTAGGGCAGTGAATAGCGGGAAGAATTAATATGTAAATATGTGATCTCCCACAGCGAAAGATAGTGATGGAAATCAATTACGTCACGGAACAAACTACCTAGCTCAGGTATTCTCTGCATCGACTGTGGCATCTAACTACAAGTACAGCCAATACAACACCCAAAACTACAATGCCGACCATCAATAACAACCCTGAAAACTACGCCCTCTTTCGAGATTGTCTGTCCACCACTCTTCTTCGGCCCGCCCCTTCGGCCCCTGACCCGCCCAAGCGCCGTCGGCGTGGTAAGAACACCGGGGTTCCGCTCGTTACCACCCCGGCCCCGGACACGGACACGGAGAAAGATGCCGACGAACTTGCTGAATTTGTCGATTATCTCGCTACTGAGATATTTGATAACCTTCCAGAGGAGCTGCAAGATCTCGAGTACCGGACATGGCGAGAGGATGAAGCGTTGCAGGAGCAGTACTCTCTCCCACTCACGAAAGACAGCCTTTTGCTGTTAAACCTGCCACCATCTGTTATCGAGACCCTCACAACTTACAACCTTATCTCTGCCGATCCCTATGTTGATTCACATCTTCCGTCCTCCCCAGAGTCATTCCTCCTTCCCATTCTCACCTCGTACATAACTCCTCTCATCGAGCCACCTCCCGCTACACGTTCAACTCGTGCTGACGCGTGTGAGCTGTGTGCCCGATCCTGGGTTCCTCTGTCCTACCATCACCTCATCCCACGGTTCGTCCATGAAAAGGCCGTTAAGCGAGGATGGCACCGTAAAGAAGATCTGCAGAACGTGGCGTGGTTGTGTGGCGCCTGCCATCGCTTTGTTCATCACTTCAAAACGCACGAGGAGCTGGCACGGGACTACTACACTGTTGACCTGTTGCTGGATGAGGAGGAGGTTCAAAGATGGGCTCACTGGGTTGGTAGGTTGAGGTGGAAAGGGAGGTAGCTCAAGCAGTGACTTTGACGAGTAACGAGAAGAAGGGGTTATTGCATCATGCAAAGCATTCAATATAGTGATATTCCATGAATTTTATGAGCTTGTTCAATAGTTGTTGGAACATAGTATCAGCTCTGAACCTTTCTTGCCTTGTGCTGAGCAGCTTTACCTTAAGCTAACGACGATAAGGAATCCACTGACAATATCTTGGGCAACTACATGAAACTTACGAGCTTGTATAAGGATGGATGAATAGCAGTTGAGGTATAGACCATCTCGGCATATATTGGCCTTGTACTCCTATCCTTTCATCACGACCCACCAAAGTATCTACTCATTATCTGCTTATCTGTTGAGACGCCATGGCAATGGTTGAGAAGCTGCGGGTGAGTGAGATAAGAATCGAGTAATTCTGTTGAGGCGTTTCTGTGGTGACAACTCACCGAGTCCAGGCCAGTTATGCAACCTGAGTCTAACATAGTCGCATAATGCAGCGAGGAAGACAACAAAGATTGCCTTAAAGCAAGTAACCCAGGTGAAAGCAGCCTTTGTGGTATACATAAAAAAGGGGGGTGTCTTGAAGATTTCCTATTGTGTCAATATCGGTTAAAATAACACGAAGTGTCTATCTGTTTTTCCATAAAATAGTCATGACACGCACGACACTGTCTCAATTTAATCATGGTCCTCCTCGGTCAAACCCGGACAACCCTCCATCTCAGCATCAGGATAGACCATTTTGCACCAGAAGCAATACTGGTGCGTCTCTCTTAGATACTCCAACACGCTCTTCAACCGCTCTCCAATCTCTAGCTCATTGAACTGGTCCAGCTCCTCGTCTTCTTCGTCGAGATCTTCAGCCGTAGCATACACGGTGTGTCCCTTCCCGAGTGCCCTTTTGTCGTCTGCATCTTCCTGGTCGTCTTCGTATGTTGGTAGTCGCGATAGTGATTGCTCAAGATCGTAGCGCATACGACGGTCTCGTTCTAATTCTTCTCTGTGTCTGACTAGTCCGCGATAAATAATCGGTATTGACTTGAGAGGGCGGGATGATATCGGTCTTGACTTTTCCTTTTCATTTTCAGAATCTGGCAGTGAAGCACCAGGGCCATAAACTTCTGTCTTTTCATCGTCCATCCTCTCCGCCGTACGCTGGGCTGCAAAGAACTGCTTCTCAAGCCTTGCATCCTCGCGCTCTTTTCTCACTCGCTCTCGATACTCGTCTGGGTCCATTTTAACAGCCTTGATGTCCCTCTCTTCAGCTGCTTCTCTGACTTTTCGTTTCTTTTCATTATCCAACCCAATACCTCCACGGTCGTCCTTCACGCTGACCTTGATAGGCTCTGTGCGCCCAGGAGCAGCCCCATCTTCTGTCTTTTTTCCTAGGCCACCGCCTGTGAACCCCATCTTGGCCATCATGGCGAGTCCTTTGCTCTTTTTCGCCTTGGCATCGTCAAGCATTGAGGTTGAGAGAGCCTTTTCACGTGCGGCTTCTTCTTCCTCTGCGATTTGCTCTTTCGACTTGATGATGCCACGTGCTCGCGATTCGCGCTTCAATCGCTGTGTCCGCTGTATGGATGTCTCTTTTACAGGTATTGGGTCGTCAAAGGACATGTTCATGTAGTCATCCTCTTCTTCATCTTGTACCCCAGCGCCGTTCTTGTGTTCACTGCTCATACTTTTTTTTTTGTATTTGTGGACGGTTCGCTTTACAGTCGACAGCAAGGTTGAGGCGTAGGTATGATGATACTGTAAGATTTGATGTCGATAATGAAAGCGGTTCCAACCTAGGATAAAGCAGTAGGGTCCACTAATTTCTACTAACGTCAGTGCTCTTGAAAGCCTTCAGAGAGCAAAACTCCGAATCTATACTGGTATGTCATGGAAGCCGTAAAAGGTTTTAGGGAACTCTAACATGTGTTTAGAAGGCCTCTAGAGTGGAATGTTTTTGTTATTCAGGGTAAAGGTTCCCCAAGGCACTCATCTCAGGCGAGCGTCTGCAATTCGTGAATCTCTATCTACCCGGCTATCGGCAACCTGACGTCGATAAGTATTCGCCAAGTTTAGACGCTTCAAGGCAATATATATTGAATTCTTGGGCTGTATACTAATCGATTTACTTAGGACCATACTTGTACGATTATATTTGTCGTATTGCAACGTCTGATCTATTTTGAAGGAGACCTTTGAGCCTCAGGACTCTCTACAAATGTTTGTTTACACGCTCTCTTGAAGCACACTATAAATGGACATACGAAAACATATATTGGTATCCTGAGCCTATACCTACGCCGTAGAACCCATTTACCTGTTCTTGGCCCTCTTTCTCGCAGACTTCTCTCGCTCGTATGCATTCGCCTCGCGACCCTCCTCGCTTTGAATCTCGGCAACAAGGCGCTTGTACTTCTTCTCGTATGCCTCGTCCTTTGCCTTCTTGATCCGTAACTTCTCGCGCGCCATGAAGTTGGCGTCCTTTCGCAGCTCCCGAAGAGCACCCTTGCGTTCCTTCTTGTGCTCCTTCTTGAGTTTGGCCAACTCTGCTCGCTCGCGATCGGGGTCGTAGTGCTTATCAGGATCGAATGTCTCCTCGAACTTGGGCACATAGGTTTTGATTGCCAGGGGGCGATGGTGATGCAGCTCAACATTGCGGCGCGATAGTTGCGCAACCTTAAGCATGCGGTCGAATTTGACTTGCAACTTCTCGATTCTTTCATTGAAAGCAGTAGGTAATTGTGACCTGCAAGTTTTACTGCCGAGGTGCTTGAGTACGCTAGCAGCCTGTCCAAAGGTCTCAAGGAATGCACTCTTCCCAGTCCACGTATCTGCTGCAGTTTCTATAACTTGTGCTGTGGTATCGAGGATAGCAATCTTGCGGGCTATCGTTTCAGTCTTTTTGGCTTCTTGCTCGATGCAGTCTGAGAAGTTGAGTCTCCGTAGCTCTGACTTAGTAGCAGCTTCTGTGCGGATGCCCTCAGGAGCGATGTGAAGAGGAAAATTCCCTACCTTCTTGGAAGTGGCAACAGGGGCCAGAGCCAAGAGTGTATTCAGAGAGAAGTTGAGAACTTCGGGCACGTAGCGCTTAGCAAGTTTCTGGTAACTGACAGCAAGAATGCCGAGATATGTACCAATAGCATAATGTGCCAGGTTTTGTGGTATTCTTTGGCCAAGGTATCGAGTGATAGTCAGCACGGCAGGAGTGACGACTTGATGGAAGTGATCAGAGGTAGGGAAGATGGTGCCAATTACAGAAAGCAAAACCAAGTCTCCAGTTCCTAGTGCTAAGGGTCGAGACTCTCCCATCTCCTCGAGATTCTTGCGGAACTGCTTACTGATCTCGATAGGGAACATCTTTGCGAGAGAGTGGATGTGTCGGACAATGCTTTCAAGCACCGTAAAAGGGGCAGAAGTGGCAGGGTCCCAGGGCAGACCGATGTAGTCAACTAAAGCAGTTGCAAAGTTGCCAAGCTTCTCCTTGTTCACACTGCTGAGCTTGGGATGATAGAGGGCACGAATCCTCTGGACAATTGTAGGGAAGGTCTTGGTTGGGTATGGTGCCAAGACGACTTGCAACTCGTCACAAGATTGGGGGCATTCAAAGGTGTAGGGGAGGCCTTGCTCGTCGCCTTTCTGAATCGCCGAGGCTTTTGTGGTCGAGTCGGCATCGAAAACAGGATTTCGACTCTCTTCCTCATTAAGCAGGCCTTTGGTAAAGTCATCCTCCTCATCCTCAGCTTCCTCATCAGACACATCCTCCATGTCTGATTCATCCTCGCTGTTGAGTTCCAGGTCCGAGCCGCTAGCCACGAGATCATCGTCGATGACGAAATCATCTTCATCGTCAAAGCCAAGCTCAGTAGCAGTAGGACGAGCTCGGATACCGCTGCCCAATCCAAAGTCCTCCTCATCGTCCAGGTCCATAGCATCAAGTTCAGGTTTCTTGCCCTTGTTATCGGCTTCTTCATCCTCACTGTCACTGACTGACTCTCCTCTCATGCGCTTCTGGCGTTTGTCTTCGAGCTCCTTGAGTCTTGTAGACTCTTCTTCAGCCTTCTCCTCCTCGGTCTTGGTGCGGTCGGCAGGCTGTGCCCTCTTGTCCTGAGCCAATTTCTTTATTTGAAGATCGAAGTTCTTCTCGAAAGCGTCTCGGTCAACTCCAGCGATGGTGAGTTTTGAAGCTCCCTCGTTCTGAGGTTTGGCGCCTGGCCGGCTGTGGTGCAGCATGTACTGGATGTTTTGCAACTCCTTGTCGAGTTTCTCTCGGAGCTCTTCATCTTCCTCCTTTGCAGCTTGTCGCTCGTACTTGTAGTGTTTCGACTTGGCGATGACCTCCTCCATCACCTCCTTCTTCGTCTTTTTTCGTTCCGGTTCATCGTCCTCGCCATCACTACCCTGGGCTGCTAATGCACGAATACGCTTCAATCTCTGCTGTTCACGCACCGAGCCATCACTGTCGTAGTCCTCTTCGAGATCGTCCTCTTTGAAATCGTCCATATCGTCAAAAGAAAGAGATTTGCCCATGTGAGTCAAGCCTTCTGAAGCATCGTCGTCTTCCAAATCAAACATTGAGTTCTTCTTGTGGCTTCTCTGTTTCTCTCGGGCAAATCGCTCAAGCATCTTATCTTCAGGGGCCATTGTCGGATCGTTTTCACCGAATCGACGATCGAGAATTCCACCAACCTTGTTGCGGCGTTGCATCTCGACCAGAAGGGTTTGCCGGCGCTTTATGAATGTTAGTTGATTCTTCATGAAAGCCTGGTTTGTGATCATATCGAGGTCCGAATAGACTTCAATAGTTGATGTGAACAGATCGTGTCACCTCCACTGCCCTGATGGCCCCTCGCGAATATGAGTTATAACTTACCCTCTCCTCACTGGCTGCTTTGGCCTGGCCGGGACGACCTTTGATGCTGCCAGCAGTCAATGTAGGCCGGTTACTCGTGACTTCGAATTTTGGGCCCTTGGCATGCTTAAGATCGAAAGGATTGAATTGTTCGCGAATCCCCTCCAAGACCACTCCGCGCTGAAGTCGTTTGTCATTTCGAGAGCGCTCATCCTGAGCATTGCGTCGTTTCTGCTTCTTCGATTGCTGAGGGCCGACAATTCCTTGCTCTTTGAGAGACGCCTTGAGGCGTTTGAGCTGGGAGCCGGCCATTGCGACTGATAATGCTGCTGATGCGAAAGCTGCACTGGTAGCAGCGACTCTCAGTTTTTTTTGCGATAGAAAAAAAGTCTTATCGCTATCAAGTTTCATGTGGGGCCTACATGCGAAGCTACGGGTAGTCTAACCTTATCTGAGCATGATGGAACGGTGAGTCATGGCAGAATACCTTACGTCAGGAGTCCTGGGATATCTATGAAGAACTCATTTACCAATACTTCAGTAAAGCATGAACTCAATCAACAGACTCAATCAAGATGGGATGGGCTGATAGCCTCCTAAGTCTTGCCCGGGATGAGAGGGTTGTTCTTGTCACCTTGGGCTTTGCCACCTTTGGGGTAGTGAGTACCGTCTTCACTGCCCTCACCATCATAAGAGACGACAACGAAATTCCGCCTCCACAGCCAAAGACACAATACATCACTCAAGACACGGAAGACTCGTTGGAACTTGAAACCCTCGAGAAGCTATTAGATCATCCCAATTATTCCATAAGAGAAGTTGCGATCAAGATCCTTTGCGATCGGGCCGTGAACGATTCCGAGACAACTCACATATTGCTATTCGGCATCACTCGACCAGATTATGACGAGAGGATGCGGTGTCTTAGAGCTTTGGCCCTGCTTACTGGTCAGACTATCGGTGAGTTTTGCAAATAAAGTCATAAGATACAGCTGACATTTTCAGGGCTGGATGGACTTTCGAAATTGAACAATCCCAAAGCCTACTCCGCTCTTGTCCGTTCTCTGGAGCTGAGCCTGGATGATACCGAGCGACCGAGCCTCACTGATAGCCATTGGGATGAGTATTACCTTCGCGACATGGCCGAAAGGTTCTGCTTAATGTTCATCCTGGAGCTCGCCAATAAGTATGGTGCCAGCATGCTAGTCAAAGCACGCTTCGTCGAAAAGTGGTTAGCAAAGCAGGAATGGGGCGATACCCCGGAAGAAAGACGCCGAAGCTTCAGGGATTACATGGCTCTCAAGACAAATAGGATTGTCGAGATTGTCGATCGAATCAAGGAATCAAGGCGAGGCCTCAGGGCTCTGGAAAGGGCAGGGCTTATGGACAAGGAGAATTCCCGAAGGAGAATTCGTGAACTGCCAGACCTGATCATGGAGATCGAAGAGGAGACGGGAAACTTACCACTTGCCGAACAGCAAGTCACACGAACCAGGGAACATTCAGCCGAAGAGCAAAGGCTGCGACGGCAACATCGAGAAGCGATGGTTCTCAACGATGGAACTCGACCACTGGCGCGCGAGGATATTATCGAGAGAGAACATACGTCTCCTGCATAGGATTTGTGAGAAAATGGTACCCAGTATTAATATTGCCACAACGCGTTTGAGAAAAGCACCTGTGCCATTGAGTTGTTAACAGATGAGCCACGCCAAGCGCTGTCGACTACACATCTACTTCTTTCTTCAAGCGAGTGGAGTTCCCTTCTACTATTTAACACTCACTCTGCCTGTCTTAAAACGACAATATGTTGCCTTGCGTCACATGAACCGCCACATTCAAGAAAAATTACAGTTCTGCAAAAGCCCCAACTCCAGTCTATGTACTTTTTCTGTCTCTCAGTCCTGGTCGTATCTTTGCAGTTCCTTTTTCACCCATCTACGACTGAGACTAGGGAAATGAAGCAAATAACCATTCATACCGTTTTTATTCCCTCTTCTAGTGTATCTCCAGACCCAATTTGCTCTCCAGTCCGTCCAAACCTCTGCCCAGCAGTAGTCTCAAGAACATCCCTGAATTAAGCATCAAAAAAGTTGGCCTTCTCGGACACTAGTCTTGCAAGGTCGTCTGGATTAGTCGACGCTTCAGATTCATTGAGGGTCGCCGCTGTCTGGATCATGCAAGGCAATCTCATCTCTCTCGTACACAGCTCTTCACGTAAGGCATCAATGTACCCCTCATCAAGGGGAGGCAGAATCTCATTGTTATCAACTGGCCCGCGAGCCAGTTGTTGTGGATCAAGAGGCAAATTCGGCATCATTTCGATCCGACTGTACCAAAAGTCAAAATCACCTCCCTTTCCTAAGAACAACAAGAAAACTCTCAACACGTTCGGATCCATCTTACCAAATGCCAGGCACTGCAATAATGCGGGCACAAAATTCTGCCATGCTTGTGGCGAAGCTAGATCAGCAAACTGGAATAGAGAAACCATCAACTGACTCCACCGAAGAATCAGCTCAGGATCCAGAGTACCTTCGAGGTGGCGGAACTCAACTGTCCCTTTACACTCATCTTCAGAGCCTTCACCAAACTCATCAATGGAATGGCACTTGGAAAGACCCAAGCAAGACTTTGAGCCCATGCTAGGAGTTATAAGCAGCTTGAGCCGTTGTAGAGTTTCGGCCGTCCATAGCTTCTTCACAATACCCAAGGTACGGCGGTCGACGACCTTGTCGACGGGAATGTACTGTTCGAAGTCAGCTGGAACATTCATTTCCGACCACTGATCGGTACATAGAGGTTCTAGTAATGATGCTAGACTTGGTGCGTATCTTGACTTCCTTCTTCCAGGGCAACAAAGGAGGTAAACAATGTTCTCCGCCAAATACATGAGGACGCAAACCTTGCGCACGAGGTGTAACAACATGGGCCCAGTGCCTTTGCTCACATGTATGTGGAATCCACATGATTTGCCCACTGTCAGTCTGAAGTTGTTTCGCAGGATGAAGACCATATCCAGTACCTCTTCCCAGCACTCGGGCGTGTTTCTAAGAACGGGACTGATGATCTCTAAACCTTTCAGCTGCCTGTATCCTCCCCACTCAGACATTTGGCGTAGCGATACATCGGTTCCAATGGTCCACGTCTGATATTGGGGGTCAATATCGTCAACAGGCACCATCCCGTGACAGAGGAGCTTGCTCTCCCAGGACTTCTGGTCGAAATACTCGTCCCAAACCAGAGTCAACGGCCCTTTAGAACTGACGATTTCTTTCATTAAAGCAACTCTGTTGGGGAATCGCTCGGCACGGCTGAGCTCCCTGCCATCATTGGGATGAGGGTCGGGCCGGCCGTCATGCGGTAGCAAAACTGGCATGTACAATTCGAGCTCGATACCAAAACAGTAGCTCTCGTTTCTGGCGTACTTTTGTAAGTATTCTTCGCTATTGGTTAGGAGACTAGATCCTTGAAAATGCGACGCAGATAGATGTCTCGAAGACAAATTTGGAACCACAGTGGGCTCCTCAGGGGGCGCAGCACTTGCGACAGGATGCCAATATCTCAGATCTGGCACTTTGAAATGTTTTGGTTGTGGCTGGAAACATTTGGACAACTCCCCCAGGCCTTGCTCCTCGAGAAAGTCGTGAATCGTGGAGCAATACCTCAGATTGGGATATGATTCGCAGAAGAAGGTACCAGATTTGTTGAGACAGTGTTGAGTCAGCTTTACGCATAGAATAGCCCAGAGGGATGTCTCCAGCATGTCCAGTGTTCCACAATGTTGACTGAACTCAATAGCAACAGTCGTCTTGTTCTCCAGGAAAGAATAAGCAGGGCTCGCATTGGGGTAGTGTCCTTCCTTACCATAAATTACTATATCCATGAGATGTAGCAAATCTTGGACGGATGTAGCATCCAGAATTCTGTGGATGCTGTGGCGATACTTCGGGCCGCCCAGATCTCCTGGATGGGGTAGAAGTTCCAGTGGTTTCCGGCCAGGCGAAAGGCGATTATTCCAGGGATCCTCAACCTGGACTGCGGACAACATCTCAGCCTGGATATCAATGGCACCGTCCCTAGCAAGATTAGTATACTGTAGCCCTAGTGAATAGAGTGAGTTAGGTCCACAGTGAGCAGGATGAAAATTACTCAACAGCGGGTCTACCAGCCAAAGAATGGATACGGTGGCCTTCATCGAGTCCAGGCTCACGAGATGCTTTGGTATACACATTTTGACCACCAGGCGCGTCTCTGCATTGGGAACAGTGAGGAACCTCTTGTTCATGATGTCCATGATTGTCTTTGAGTCTGTTCCTGGAATAAAAGTTTCGGGACGGAAAAGAGGAGATTTCAACCTCAGGCCGACCCATGCATACTCTTTACATTGATCTTCGTTGATCAACCCATCGTATTCAACTGTCCAAGACTGAAGTTCATTCTTGACCTTTAAGCCTCTCTGAGGGTTGGCCGTTGTGAGATTACCGGCATGGAGCGCCATCTCTAACTGATCGATAGCCCATTGTGCTCGAAGAAGGTGCTCTCGAGATTGGTAGCGGTAATCTTTTGCATTACTTGGGAACCTGGCATACCCAGTAGGGGGGAAAGGCAGTGGTCTGCATGGATGTTTAGGGTGCTCGCCATGCCCAATGTCAACTCCGTCATCTGGATTGTGGCAAACTGCAAGGAGAAATCCAAGTTGCACTTGGAAGGTTATGGAAGCCATGGCAACTTCTAAGAAACAATCTCGGACTCCTTCTGAAAGTACCTTGCTATGTATAATTTGTTCGATGAAGGGATCTGTTGTCGTATCTCTTAGCAGTTATCTTGCAGAGCTAGGTACACAGCAGGGCTTTCAGGGAAATGATGATGAAATGGGAATAAATGAGCTATATAGTCGCAACGCCAAGTCCAGGGCAATCTCAAAAATGTTCTTGTTTCTCACAAACAGCAGCAGTGATCTGCCACCTCTTCTCCGGTCACACCCAGAACATGAGGCTTTCGTTGAACAGTGGCTGTTTGTTCTCGGTGGATCTAAAGCCCAAGCTGGGTTTTTGGGCACTGGCAAAGATATTGCAGGTTGTCACATTGAAGGATTCGACAAGTGCCAACGCGTATTATCATTAGGTCAATATGCCACTCCGTTGTATTGAAGGACGGCCTCACCCAGTGCGGATGCGTCTGGGCCTAATCTACTCTTGTCTTCTCCTCATCTGTGGCGTTCTTGAGTTTCTTCAGAGGCTCCAAGCCAAATATCTCATCTGAGTTCAGGGGATTTCGACTCTCAGTGACTTCGCCGAACAGGAAGGCATTCTTCTCACGGCTTGCGCTGTTCGACATCTTTTTCCTATGCTGGGGCGGTGGTGACTTGTTAGACGCTGGAGACGCTCTTGAAGACCCCGACTCGTCTGGCTCCAGCATCCAGGAGAAAGACGATTGCGCCAGTGTTGAACGAGTAGGCACGGGAGCTGGCCTTGACGGGCCCAATGAGTTTGCAAATCTGCCATCGTCGTGCGGGACTATGTCCATATGATTAGGGCTAGGAGGGCGTGCTGATACGCTCTCGGGGGATTTCTTTGATTCGGATACCTGAAGAGCCGAGATATCAACCTCCGCAGATGCCACTGACACAGGCTCAGGCTGAACAATAGTTGTTTCAGCTACAGCCACTTCTTGTGGTTTGTCCTCGGGTGGTGGAGATTGTAACACTGGAACCTCCATAGAAGAGTCGTCCAAGTAAATCTTGACAAACTGCACCTTGGCCGCCGCAATCTCGATGAGCTCCAGGCTTTTAGCCTTGTCGTCGAGATTTGAGGCAGATATAGCTTTGAGGTTATCGACCGTCTCGTCAAGCATTGCGGCAAGTTGCTGATTCCGCCTCTCCAATGCCACCAGGCTCCGGGCTGATTCTTGGTTGTTTACCAGGGGTTGCGGAGATCTAGGTGCAGATCTAGCCTCGTTGAGATTTCGCTTGATCTCTCCCATAGCATCTCGTACGGCTTGGTTAATACCCAGCTTTTCGCCTCTTTCGTAAACTCCTTTGGCTCCTTTAGCGGCTCCCTGAAACAGAGCTTCCATGCCACCCTGTTGTTGCAGAAAGCGCGATGGGGATGATATTTGCGGCCTTGGGCCTGGTCCTTTATGCTTAAAGGAGTTGAAACCACGAAAGCTCGGAGTGCCTGCTCGCGAGGTCTGTGGCGGAGAAGATAACGTTGGCATCTTCCCAGTGTATTTCATAATCAGTGATGATCCTCCAGATGGTGAGAGATGGTCCCTCAGGTACATAGCATCATCAACAAATGTATGAGGACCGTGAGCTCCTGATGGAGGGGGGTATTTGAGAAGTAGTTGAAGGCAAACAGAATAATCGGCCTCTAACACTAAAAAGGGCGTTAGCCAAGGAGCAGGCTTTCTTTGCCTCGGTAACTTACAATCCCACCGAATTCTAATCAGCATAGCAACACAAATGAGATCGATGAGTTCCAGAGTTGGATCGACAGCAAAGATAGTATCCCAGAGTACCAAAAACTGCTCAAAGGGGAACTCTCTGCTGAAGAGTAGCCGAATCCACCGACTAGGTATTCTGCCGTCAGTGATAACGTTAGGATAGGCGCATGGGTTGATACCTACATGAGAAAGATTTGTGGTAAGATTTCAATGTTGATTAGATGAGTAGCCAGTTCCGGGTCAACTTTCTGTAGGCAGACTTCGTGGATGAATTTGCTTCGTTCAACAATCGCCGAGCTTTGTTCTGCGAACTGGGGGGGTCGCAGAGAAGCTCCTGGTGCTGGAATAACATCCTTGACTTCGTAAAATGATTGAGCGTGTTCCATAAGTTTTGAAAACAGGATAAAGGCGTCATGCTCGATGAAAGAGTGGTCGAGAGTTTTGATAAGAGCATCGTCCAGAGGAATCTCTTCTGGCAAAGTCGCTGGATCCACGGCATCCTGCTCAATGACATGTAGAATAGGCGCAAGCAGCTCATGCATACCCTGCCGGTAGCCGCCTCGGTCCGGATTTAGTTTACAGTACATAAACAGGATATCCAAGATGATTGACTGGGTCTGGTCTTCATGGTATGAAGCTTCATCGGGGAGTCGCTGAACGTCTTGCAGGATCTCAGCACGGACAACCTCATCTTGACGAATCGTATTCCACGGAGACTTTTTTATATCATATAAATCAGTTAATTGGTTACGTTCCAGTTTGGCCGGTCTTACACTAGGGTCCTCTGTCAGAGGATCGATGTTCAGCTCTGCAAGAGCTTCTGGGTGTTTCATATACTTGAGGAAGTGATTCCGTTTCTCAGCGTAGAGCTTTCTTTCATCGTCCAGAACTTGAGACCAGCTCAGTCCTTCAGCAGCAGTAGAAAGAAGAAAAGTCTTGGGGAAAGGTTTAGTTGCGCATGTCATGTCAAGCCAAAGGGCACAAGTGAACATACCTTCCAGCAAAGAGAACGACATCCTGATATGCACGGGCTTGCGGGACCATTATACCGAACAGCACGTCGAAGATCACCAAGGTGCACACCTTGGGATTGTGTCTCACGCCATCTCGAACTACGTAGGGGGTGCTCTGGTCAGTGGAAGTATTATTTGTTGTCGCTAACGGGCGCAACATACAGGGACTCTTGGAGGGGTCTCATGATGCCTGGCTGCACCAAAGAAGAGTATAAGGGCAGTTTACCGGCTTTGCAGACAAGGCCTGAACTGAGAGTAACAACGTTGCGTGTAGACCACGGCACTGTAAGGTCGATGGCGGAGGATGGACAGAAACCTTGATTTAACGTTAACGTAGGTAGTTGAGGTACCAGCTAACTACTACCTAAACTAACGTGTCAGCTCTTCAGGTTCAAATGGGTCTTCGCCTCAATAGCTTGGCCCCACTTCCTCACTACCTGGGTAGGTACTAAGGTAGGTATCTCAGGTTGCCCTGGACTGCTTATACTGGACTCCGCTCCGCCGCCCGGCCCTCGGATTGCGATACTGCCCCAATGACCCAGGAGGTTTGGGTAGCTCAGGGGCTGACCGCCAAACAAATAGCATCATGTCACCACCACCTCCCACTACTAAACCTGAGGTTACCGGGCTATCTTCGAATTTCACGACGCCGCTCAGCTCACCTCTTTGACGCCTCTCTTTAAGCCTCATCACTGCCCTTATAAAGCGCATCTTGCGACACGTGCTCTCGAAGTAATGCATTATTAGGCGACGCACTATGTCTGCAGATCTTTTTGCCGAGTTCAATAGTCTTTCAAATAACTCAACGCCTGCTTCAGGTCAGCAGCAACAGAAAACGGCCACTCCTTTTCAAGCTCAAGCTCAGCAACAACGGGAACCTCTTCAACGGGCAGCAACACAGGACCTCTTTGGTCTGTTAGGCGACACTAGCAATGCCTCTGCTGTAAAATCCCAGCCATGGCCAGCCTTTGAATCCCAATCAACCGCGCATAGCGCATGGGGTAGTGCTCCAGTACCGTCGAAGCTGGCGGAGACAAATGACGACGATGATGGATGGGGAGATTTTGAAGTCGCCGAGCCTTCGCAACCTGCAATAGTCAATGAGGCTCCGGTTCAGTCCCCAAGTCTTGCGCCGTTTTCCGCATCAGGTTGGGGTTCAGCCGTAAATGCTCCCTCAAGCTCAGCAAACTCATCGTCAATACCATGGCCCAAGCCAGATCCAAGTTCAGCTGCAGCCGTAGCCCGAAGGGTGCCCACAGTGAAACAGCAACCGTCAACCCGAGTTGTGAGAGCGTCAACCATGGATCTATTATCCAACAGTCTTGTCGATATAGGAGGAGCTTCGAAGCCCGTCAGTGGCCCGAAAGCCCAGCCCTCTGGAACACAGTCACGGTTTACGCAGGAATGGGCACAGCCAACAGTTAGTCAGGAGCCGCCGCAGCGGATGAAGGCGAAACTCAAGCGTTCGGCGCAACAAGATCCCAGTGTATTGTTTGATGCTGAGGACTTTGAGCTTCAAGTTACTGAAGGTGATGATGACGATGATGACGATGATGAGTTTGGAGACTTTGAAGGTGTCCCTCCTCCGGTGGCGACGAAAATAGCACCTGCAGTTACTGCCCAAGAACCACCTCCAGCTGCTCTACCAATGGATCTTCTTTCTTTAGATGAACCACCCCCAGCTTCATCACAAACCACAAAAAAGCCACCGCCCGCTAAGCTTCTCGAGCCTCTTGCTTTTGGTGCCACTGCTACGAATTATCCCCAGGCACCAAAATCGCCCTCTTTCCAGGATCGTAATCCTTTCCCACAATTGGCTATTAAAACACCTACTTTTGAAGAACCAAAACATATTAAGAAACCCAAGGAAGAAACACCCACCACAGCATGGCCATCCTTTGAAAGTCCCAAGCCCGCCGATCTTGTTGAAGCCAAGTACCAAGATGATGAGTGGGATGCCTGGGACGATTTTACTGCCTCCGATGATAAGAAAGCAAACACCAGCACAGGAAAAGCACCGGAGGGTTGGGGTTGGGATGCAGTTGATAATGTTCAACCTCCACATAAGGAATCCCAGGATAATGCCCCTCCACCAGTCAATGTCCCACCTCCTTCAGTCATCTTGTCTGCATTCCCTGATCTTCTCAACTCAGGTACAGCTT